ATATTGGGGAAATCGCCTTCGTTTTGGTGGTGTCTGTGTGTGGGCAGGTGAGGTGGCGGAGGGAGATGGTGCTTGGGACAGCCAGGTTGGTCCCTCTGGGGTTGGCACTGCCAGCCCTGGTGTCACCCTTGGGAGGGATGCTGAGCACGGGCACCTCTGACCACCCCAGCTGGATCCGGGGCTGCCCAGCGGGATTGGGAGCTGCTGGGAAAGAGGCCGCTAATCCCCGTCTCATTTCCCCGGCCCCGCTAAAGAAATAGTCATTATTTTCCTTTTAATCCCATCTCTCTCCTCTTTCCCATTAGGCCCTAAGCTGCAATCTTGTTCCCGGGGGATGTCATGCCGGGGATAATCCCGGGCGCTGCCCGGCACAGCTACTTTGGGGCAAGGGGGTGGTTTCCAGCCCCGGGTTGGGGTTGAGCTGGGGCTCCCCAGTCCTGCTTCCCAGCACAGGGAGAGGAGCTGGGATGAGCACCCCAGTGCCAGCACAGCAGGGTGAGTAGGGGGCAGGGGGGTGCCCCCCAGAATCCCGTGTCAGCTGTGGAGATGGGAATAGAGAGTTCGTGGCTGTTGGGATGCCGGGGTGGTGCCTCTGCCCTGCGGTGGCTCAGAGGTTGGATCCGACCTGGGGAGCCCTTTGTGCCGTGGTTGGTGTGAGGGATGGAAGGAGCTGCAGGGACGGTGGGGTTTGGGGTGCCGAGAGGAGCCAGGAGGCTGCTCCACCTTTGCCCCCACCAGCAGCACAAGGTCCAGGTTTTAATTGGGGACAGGTGGCAGGAATTGAGTTCGGAGCCATTTGGACCAGACACACCATCTGCAGGTGTCCAAAGGTCTCAGCCTGTAAACCCAAATCTCCCCATCTCTCACTGAGAGGGTCCCTGTGCCCCTCATGACCCAGCCCTGGCATTTGTGCTTTCTGCCACCACAAACCAATGATTTTCCAACTTGATAACGGTGAGGGAGGAGGAAAACCCAGTAATTTGTGATAAGAAGTGTCACTGAAATGGACTCAAAGCATCAAAGCCCCAGACAAAACCATCTCCATGGGATGGAGAGAAGGAGAACCGGTGATGGGTTTAACTTCAGGCCATTTACAAATCACCACTGCTCTGGCCCTGGTAAATAACCATCCCTTCCCACCAGGTTTGGAGCTCCCATTTATTTACCCTGAGCTGGGAGCAGGGGGATGGCCCGGCCGCCTCTTGAGCTGCTAATTTTTATAGATGTCAGGATGAAGACGTCAGGAATTATCCAACCTGGATAAATCAGGCACTGGAAGTGCAGGGAGCAGTGTGAGAGCTCCCAGCCCTCCCTCAGTGCCAGAGGGGTGAGAGTGGGACCTGCACCCGTGCAGGGTGGGTGAGATGAGACTTCATGTGCCCAGGGCATCAAGGTCTGTTCCCAGGACACTGGGGTCTGCTCCCGGGATATCAGGGTCTATTCCTGACCCACACGATGTGCTGGAGCCTTGCTTTCACTCTCTCTCTCTCTTTATTTATTTATTTTTATTTTTTTTTTATGGAGAAATTATTATTTACAGTTTAATATCTCCATGTTTCTATGGGAACTCCGTGGCTGTGCCGGGCGGAGGAGTCAAAACCAGACGAGGAAATGGGAATATTGGAAAGCAAAGAGAGCGGGGTGGGTGCTTGGACTGGGGTAGGGGGCAGGTGCTGGATGTGGGGGGGACCCACCACGGTGTCTGTGGTGCTCAGGGTGGTGCCGAGGACGTGGCCTCGGTGGCTGCGCTTTGTCCCTCCTGCCAAAGCCAGATCCTTCTCCCAGGCTCAGCAAGGGCTCTGCGAGCTTGGTTGGAGCTTCCTCTCTCCTTCCCCACGCCGGGAATGCTCCAGGCACAGGGAAAACCCCTCGGGAACCAATAGGTCTTTGGCATGAGAGGGTTGGCTGAGCCCCCTCGCCACGGGCACAAGTGGGCATCAGCCACCCGTGGGAAGCGCTGCAGTCCCGAATGTAGGTCACACACACACACACACACACACACGTGTTCATCAGCACACACGTGTGTTGGCTTCCCAGAGCTCGTCCTCGCTGATCCCAGCCCCATCCTCGCCGATCCCAACCCCATCCTTGCTGATCCCAACCCCACTCTCACCGATCCCAACCCCACCTGGCCGATCCCACCCCGGAGCGTGGCCGGTGAGCCAGTCCCCATTTCGGAGCGCAGGGCACGTGCGTTGGGCCCCATGGGGTGTGGGGTGGAGGGGGAGGCCGGGGGGACCCCCCTGCCCGGCACCAGCACCGGAGCTCATGCGGAAAGCGCGCGGTGGCGGCGCAGACCTTCTCCCTCTAATAGCGGGTGACAGGGACTCGCCCGTGGCCATGTCCCTGCGCCGGGCGCGCGGCAAGGACGGAAGGTGTGCCACGTCCCCGCTTTTGTCAGAAAGGATCCGTCAGAGCGGCGGGGAAAGGTCAGCGGGGAGAGCACGAGGCGCTCCCCGAGGACGGCGCCCTGTCCGCCTGCCCGTCCCGCTGCCCCCACCGAGGGGAGCGGGAGATGGGCCTCGAAAATCCCGGGAATTGATCACTGTGGGTCCCATCGCCGCTGCCTCCTGGTTTGGGGGGGGTCCTTTGAGGACAGTGTTTTCAAGCCTTTCCTCCTCTGCTGCCACCAGGAATGTATTTATTTATTTTTAATGAAAAGCACGATCCCGGGGCTGCTCCGGGGCTGGGCCTTGGCCAGCAGGGGAAGGTGTTGGGAATGGGGGCTGTGCCACCTCCGAGGAGCGACCCTCCTGCTCCACCATCCCCGGAGCTCCCCGGGAGGCTGAGCCCAGACTTTCTCTGCCCTAATTCCCTGGGAAACCAGGCGAGGGCTGATCCTTGTGCGGCTGTTTATTGTCTGCTGGAAATCTTGGATTTCCACGGAGCGTGGAGAGGATTTTTGGGGCAACCACCCCGGGCTCGATGTCGAGGGGGAATCAAGGTGTGATGCTGCCCCGTCCCTGGGGAAATCCCATCACCTCGTGTGTCAGGCGGGGATTTAATGGGGAATATTCACTCCAGGAGCGCTAAAAGCTGGTTGTGAAACCTGGGCATGGCCAGGGCGTGGAGTGGAGTGATGGTGTGTTTGGGGTCTCCCCGGCTGGGTGGTGGAGGGGGTCACAGCTACCAACCACGTACTTTTTTACCCCCTTTCCGTTATCCCTCAGCTCTTCCATCAAAATCCAAGCACGGAGACGCCAGGGATAAACGAGGCTGGGGGCACTAACACCAGGGTGGCTGCCTGGGGTGTGGAAAACCTCCCAGGTCCTACACTTCTCCACAAGACACCCCTTCCAGGGCGGACTTTAGGGCCGAACCCCCGTGGCAGCTGCGGCGTGCAGAGCCGGGAGGGGCCCCACGTGTGCTCCCACGGCCACCCCCGGGCTTGCACACGCGTGTGCACGCGCAGGCAGGCCGGGCCCGGGGCCGGCTGCTCCGGGAGACAGGGGTTGCGAGTGGCATTTCAATGCGGTCCGGGCGGGAACAATGAGGTGTGTTTTTAAGGGACTGTGAAAGGCGTTTTTTTTTTTTTGTTTTGTTTTGGTTTGGTTTGGGGGGTTTTTTTGGGTTTTTTGTGTGGTTTTTTTTTTTTTTTTTTTTGCTGAAGGACTGAAAAGGCGGCGGGGTTGGGGTGGGGGGTTAGGGGGGAGGAGGGAGCCGGGCAGCCCCTCCATTAGCTCAGTGCAGCAGCGAGAACAGCTGTGAAAAGAGCCCAGGCCTTTTTCCCACGCCCAGAGGAGCGGAGCGAGGGAAGGAGCCCTCCCAGCGAGGTCAGATCCCATCACTAATATATACACAGGCTGTGCCCTCATTCACGTCACCCCGGCGCAGGTTTGTTTAAGGCACACACACACACTGACACTAATTTCTCCTCGCCCTCGCTCCCCCAGCCGGCCCCATTATGGTCCCCGCTGCATTAAACCCTCCCCGTGCCCCGGCGACGGCTGGCGGCGCGCAGGGGGCGGGAGGGCTGGTGTTTTGTTGTTTTTGGTGTTTTTTTACCCCCTCCCACCCCCCCAACACCTGACCGACAAGGTCAAGACGAGCCGTGGTGGCGGCGGCGGCGGTGGTGGGGATGGGTTGTGGGGTTGTGTCCGGCAGCTGCTGCGCCGGGGCCGCGGCTCCAGGAATGCGCCGGGCCCCGCAGATGGGACCTGGCGGGGTCTGACACCCGGGACTCAGCTGGTGGAGGCGGAGAGCAATGGTGGGGGAGGATGCTGAGCCCGTGGGGGTGGGTGAAATAACCCCTAAGCCCCCCCATCATCCGGGCTGTGGGCATCCCTGGAGCGTGGCTGATTGATGCCGGCAGAGCTCCGGCCTCGTGGCTGCGTTGGCGGGAGGGTGGAGTTGGGGGGGGGTCTTGGCTGGGGGAGAGGGGTTTGTTCGAGCCCAGCACCCTGCAGGTTGCAGAGCCCTAATGGGGAGTTTTGGGGTGGTCTGGGTGCTGCCAGCGGGGTCTCACTGCACAGGGCACAGGGCACAGGGCACAGGGCACAGGGCATGGCCGGGCCCTGCTGGTGCTGCCCTCACTGCTCCCAGCCCCATCCCCTGCACCCCAGCACTGGGGGGGCTCCGGGGGTCATTGCTGCTGAGAGGGTGCAGGATGTGGGGTGCAGGGATGCTGCTTTGCAGCCCTCACAGGGGGCGAGGGGGCTGCTCCCATCCAGGCCCTCCCATCCCTGGGTGCATCCCATCCATCCCCACGTGCTGCCAGCCCAGCCCAACCCAGCTCAGCCCAGCCCAGTCCGGCATCTGCCGCGAGACGGGCAGCAAATAAATCAGGCCTTGTTTATTCTGGTGCCCGGGTTTGGTGTGTGAGTTCATTTTAAAACGTTCTGCCTTAAATTACAGCCTAATAAATCAATACCCACTTAGCGAGGCGGGCGAGCGGCCGCGCTTCGAGCGGAGAATTAAAGATCTGAAGTTGCCTCGGCGGCTCTCGGGCTTTGGGAAGGGTGAGGGAGAGTCCCAGCTGTCCTGGGACACGTGTGGGCATGGCTGGGACACATGTGGGCATGGCTGGGACACGTGTGGGCACGGCTGGGCTGGGCTGGAATTCACAAGTGCACGGACATGCCAGGTTAGCACATGTGTGTACATGGCTGGGACACGCCTGCCATGGCTGGGGATGGCCAGAACAGGTGTGTTTGTGGCTGTGCATGGCTGGAACATGCATGTTCGTGGCTGTTCATGGCTAGGACATACATGGCCATGGTCAGGACATGTGTGTGCATGTCTGAGGCACACGTGTCATGGCTGTGTATGGACCAGACACGCATGTCAATGGCTGTGCATGGCTAGAACATACATGAGCATGGCTAGCACACGTGTGTACATGGCAGGGACTCAGGTGCAGTGCATGTGGGTGGTTGTGCATGGTCAGAACACGTGTGTGTGCTTGGCTGCCCTGGCAGGGCCACATGGCAGGGCAGGTTTGGGCCACCAGCCACCTTGGGGGTTCTCTGGATTCCCCCAAAAGGGTCCCCCACACCCACATCCCACCCTCCTGTGCCTTGGTACCCCTTTCCTGCTCTGGGCAGCCCGTGATGCCCCCACTCATGGCTCTCCCCGCCTGTCCTCCCCTCCCTTCACCCCTCTACTCACACCTTGCCCTTGGCTAATCCCCTTGTATTTGTCTGGGCCGCCTTCCAGGGCCACCCACCTCTTTATGGGGCCGCTGCTGAGTAAACGCTGCCTTTGCTCTGCTAAACGGGGGCTCCTCCTCGGCACGGCCAGGGCTGGTGGGTCCTGACCTTTCATGTGCTGCTCACCTTTCTCAGGGGCTGCCCTTTCCCTCCAACCACAGCTCCCCCCATCCTCCTCCTCGTCCTTCCCGAGGATTTGGGGCATCCATGGCCGCCTGATCCCACCAAAGCCACCCTTGGCCATGCCCAAGGACCCTCGTGCCTGTCCCTCCCCACCCACCCCCTCTGAGTGTTTCGAGGCCTGTTTCCTCCCTGCCTCCCTCCCTCCCCCCCTGCCTCGTCTCCCTTGCCAAGCCCTGACACTCGATGGCAGCCCCATTCAAAATGCATGGGCTCCCCTTTCCGAGCGCCCCGGTCCTTTTGAACTAAAAGGATTTTCTCAGAGGCTAAGTTCAAATGTGCGGCCGTTATTTATTTATCAGCCCCTCTATGTATTATTCATTTATTTAAAAATGTATGGCAGCTGGGAGCCCCCGTGTTTTAATCACCCCCTCGGATGGCGAGGGCCAGGTGGGGCCGTCCCCCTCGCTCCGCCGCTAACCTGGCGCGGTGGCCGCCGCCGGCCCGCCCGGGCTCACGCCTGATTTACCGCCAGCCCGACCAAAACTAAACCCCCCCTGCCCCAGCCCCACGCCAGGCCGGGAGCCTGAGCTGTTCCGTGGGGATGCCGAGGGCCTGCTGTGCCCCAAATGCTGCGGGTGGGTGTGCGGGGTCGCCACCTTTGTCATCGCCCTCCCTGGCGCTGGGTTTTTCTGGGGATGGGGATGTGCCCTGCTCGTCCCTTGCTGGCCACTCTGGTGTCCCCTGCCCGGCCCCTCTGGCAGGTCCCTTGTCCCACAAGGACAAGGCTGACACCGCTGCATGGGAAGGCTGGAAGGGGCTGGCGTTGGGCTGTCAGGGAGAAAACGAGGCAGAAAAAGGGGAAAACCAGCAGTGCTTCTCCTTGCCCGGCACGGTGGGGAGGAGGGGACACTGCCAGCCCTCCTGGCACCCCCGTGGGGGTGAAGGACCGAGTGCCCCGGTGGGAGGAGCACCAAGGGTTAAGGATGCTCAACATCCCCCCCCCACACTCAGGGAGCCCCCACCACCCTGTTCCTGGCTGGGACACTCGCTAATTGAGACAGCTTCAGCCCCTGCCTCCCTCCTCTCCCCCTGGGGCTGAGCTGCCTCTTCCCAGGGGGAGCACATTGTCTGCTCCAGCGGGTTGATGTAATCCCTAAGCCCGAACAATACTTCCCCACCCCGCTCCGGTTGAAAGGGTATTAGTTGCCCAATGAGATAATTACTCCACAGGCCACCCTAACCATCCCCTCGGTCCAGCCGCTCTCCCCGCCCCGGCTCAGCCCTGCGGGCACCCGGGATGTGGGGTTGGGGTACCCCGGGGTGACACTGCTGGGAATGCTCGTCCTGCACAGCCACACAGACCCCAAAAAACCATCAGGAGAATATCCCATGGAAGGGGGATGAGCTGCTGAGATGTCACCTCCAGCCTCGTGGCTGCTGTCACCTCAAAATGCCACCCATTGCATGGGGTGGGAATCCCAGGACGTGCTGTTGGAGCCCGGGGGGGGATGAACCTGCTCCCGGTGCGACAGGATTTGGGATTTTCCAGAAGTCACAACCCCACCTTGACCCCTCGGGAAGGAGCTGGGCTGGCAGATGTCCCCTGAGTGCCCCACAGCGAGCACAGGCCCATCAGCACATCAAGGAACTGATCATCGGGCTGAAACCTGGGGCAACAAAATTCCACGTTTCCATCAAACATCAGCACTCACAGAACCGATGAGGCTGGACCCGATTTCAGAACCCCAATCTCAGCAGTTTAAACCCCTGCCCCAATCTAGGGGATAAATGTGAGGTTCCCAGGCTTGGTTTGTCAGGGAATAATCCCAGTTTTCAGCTCTGCTTTGTGCAGGCTTTGCTGCCAGAGGGACCCTGACCCTGCTCCGTGTGGAGCCACGTGGCACACGCGTGGCATTAGCGTGTCCCCACGGGCACACGTGTGTGCTCACACAGTGCTGGATGCTTGCCTGGGCTGCAGTCCAGTGGTTTTCCCATCTGGATGGTGTGCCAGGGCTGGATTTCCCCTCCTGGAGCAGCAAAGGACCATCATCTTCAGGGCTTCCCCATCCCTCAAATGCCTGAGATGGAACTGGGAATGCTGTAGGAAAAAAGGGCCTGTTTAGGGCTGCTGAAATTAAGGCCTAGTTCTTATTAATCCTGCTCTTTGCAGCTCTGGCAGGGATTATTCCATCCCATCCCATCCCATCCCATCCCATCCCATCCCATCCCATCCCATCCCATCCCATCCCATCCCATCCCCATTCTGGAATGCTGGTACAGGGAATTAATCTCCTGGAGGTTTTGTTGATCCCAACCCCAGGAATGGCGGCCAGGGGGGAATCCGAGGGGCTGGGGGAGAGAGACAGGACCAGGACCCTCTGCCACTGGGTATTTGTGGTGGGAGTCGGTGTTTGGTGGGATGATCACTGGGATGCTCATTGGGATGCTCACTGGGATGGTCACTTGGATGGTCACCAAGGTGGTCACTGGGATGGTCAGTGGATGGAATGGGATGGGTTTGACCAGGGATGGGGTCTGAGTGACAGGTCCAGCAGCATCACGGTCCCCAGGCTCCACCACTCCAAGCTCCCAGCACTGACTGGACATTCCCATTCCCCGGCAGGACCAGGAGCATCCCTCCCCGGCAGCGCCGGGAACGCGGCCGGCAGCGCCGGGGCCGTGCAAGGCCAATGCTGCGGCTCTGCCGCTCCCGCCGCTCCTCCCCGGGCCCTTTCCCGACCGATCCCACCACCCCCCCCATCACCACCACCCCCGACAGACAAACACCGGCTCTTTCTCCGCCACAAAGTCCTCGTCCAGCCGCGCACACAAAGCCGCTCCATTATCCGAGGGGGGACGGAGAGGAGGGGCCGGGGGGCGGCGGCCGCACAAAGCGCACAAGTGGCGCGCGGGGCCGCCCCCATTGTGTCTGGGCAGGAAGGGCCGGGACCCCCGGCGCGGCCCCTCAATGGCCCCATTGTGTCTGAGACACCCCCACCCCACCCCGTCCCCTCGGGTGTCCCCCTGGGGGTGGGGGGGGTGTGTGTGTCCCCTCCCCGCCTCCAGCTCGTCCCCACCCAGCCCGGGATTTTTGGGGTTGGAGGGGATGGGTTTTTAGGGTGGGTGCCCCCCTCTCGCCCCCCGGGGTGAAGGTGGGTGCTGGGGCCAGCGGGAGGTGAAGTTCTCACCTCCACCTGATGTGGTTTTGGGTGATAAAAAGGCCAATTTGGGGCAGATTAAGGTGTCCCCTCCCCAGCAGCGGGTGCTGTGGGTGATCAGTGTGGTTTGGAAGTGGTCACTGAGGTTTGGAGGTGATCAGTGAGGGTTGGAGGTGATACATGAGGGTCTGGAGGTGATCAGTGAGGGTTTGGGCGTGACCCATGAGGGTTTGGAGGTGATTATTGTGCTTCTGGAGGTGATCAGTGGGGATTTGGAGGTGATCCATGAGGGTTTGGAGGTGATCACTGTTGTTTGGAGGTGATCAGTGAGGATTTGGGGGTGATCACTAGGGTTTGGAGGTGATCCAGTGAGGGTTTGGGGGTGATCACTGAGGGTTTGAAGGTGATCACTGTTGTGTGGAGGTGATCAGTGAGGGTTTGGAAGTGATACATGAGGGTCTGGAGGTGATCACTGTTGTTTGGAGGTGATCACTGTTTGGAGGTGATCAGTGAGGGTTTAGAGATGATCACTGTGTTTTTGGAGGTCACCAATTGCCCCATTTTGGGGTTTTTTTGCAGAGGAGAAGTCCCCACACTGCTCTGATCACCGTGATCCACCCACACTCCTCATCCAGAGCAGGGATGGGGCGAAGCCTCCAGAGCCCCAGGAAGACCCCCCACCCACCCAAAACACCCTCACCCTGGAAATCCAAGGATGGATGAGCCCCATGGGTGCCATGGACTGGGTTTTCCTGCCCCTGGGAGCTCCCAGGCTGCTCCTGGAACGGGTTTGGAGTGACCAAGCTGTTCAGTCCTGTCCCTCCAGGATGAGGCAGCGCTGGTGGATCCAGGCTCGGGATGTAGGCTTGGCTTTCCCAAGGATGCTCAGCACCCTCTCACCTCTCCTGGACCGGGTAAGGTTGGGCTTTCCTTGCTTTCCTCTCCACTCCTGCAAGCCCAGACTGCTGGCACTGGGTTTTCCAGGCACAACCTCCCTCCAGCAGGGATTTTAGGAGGGATAAGGGGGCAGCTCCTCACCTGCACAATGTCCAGGCTGGGAGGTGCCACAAGGATTATTTTCTGGTTGTTTTTGGGGAGGAGAAAAAACCCCAGGTTTTATCCCCATATTACAGATATTCCTCTTCTGGGAACGTTTGGGTTGCTCCCCCTTCCCGAGCAGGTGGAAAACTGGGCTATCACTGCCAGATTTTGGTTGCCAAATCATTGACTTTTCCCCCCTTGCTCTCTTTTTAATTTACATCTAAAAATCTTTCCTCCACGACCCCAAACACACCCTTTGAACAGCACAAAGAGGAATTTTCCACCTGCCCTCACCTCTGGCTTTGCCCCCACCTTGAGTGTGCGGCCTCATCCATAAATCCTCCAGTGCTGCCCCGTCCAATCCTCCCCCCAAAAAAATAAACCATGCTTTTCCCAGGATTTAGCCACAAAAGGGACTTCCAGCTCTTTCTGGGAGCCTGTTTTGGGGTAAGAGCTTCATCCCAGCCCCCCCCTCAGCGCTGGGGAAGGGGGGGTGGGGAGGACACAGCCCTGCAGCAGCAGCAGCAGCAGCTCATCCCATCCTTGGGAGTCAGTCAAGGGAGAAAATCCACATCCCCTGCGGTCCTCCCTCCTCCAAGTCTTCCCCACGTGACAGCAGAGCTGTCCAAAACATTAGGAAAAATAACTTTCACCTCTCCCAGGGTGAGCCTGGCAGCTGGTGCGGGCACTGCCACGGTGCCCACGGGCAGCCCACGCTCTCCGGGCTGGTTTTCCGGCAGGGATTTGGCTCACCCCAAACTCCCAGTGGGGAGGTGAGGAATATTTATCCCCATTTTCCCCCCCCAAAAAACCACGCCTGTGCAGGACAGGGTGGGTTGTGGGTCTGCTGGTTGAGGCCTGGAGTTCCTCGGGGTCTTCCTGCTGGGTGGCACCCGAGGGAGATGGAGGGGTATCCCTTTGGGATCACCCTCTGGAGGTGGGTCTGGAATGCTCGCTCCTCATCACCCCTCCAGCAAACACCCCTGGGGGCACCAATCCCCACGTGGACCTTCAGCGTGAGTGGGATTGGCACCATCGAGACCCCTGGGTGGCGTTGGGAGCCCCAGCTGAGATCCAGGACCCCCTGACACCCCAAATGACGCTGCTCCATCCCACTGAGCCCCCCTGCCCACCCAGTTTGCCGTTGTTTCTCCTCCCTCCTGCTTTGGCACATCCTCTTCTCCCTCCAAGGAGCGTTGACACCGGGCTGGGCCGGTTGGTGCCCCCGGCAGATGCTCAGCGCCGTGGGCAGAACCATCTTCCTCCTCCTCCTTTTCCTCCTCCTCCTCCTCCTCCTCCTCCTCCTCCTCTCTAAGATGGCCGGCGGCCCCAAAATGGTGCTGAGCATGAGACGCCATCTGCAAGGCTGGTCCCACGCCCGCCGTGGCCTTTTTATGCAAAGGGGAATTAATTAGATTTGAATATGGTAATTAAGCCATCAATTCCCCCCTCCCCTCCTGCTCCCGAGAGCGCCGGGTGCTTCACCAGGGCCCTTCTTTTTTCCCCGGGCTTTCTTCTCGCCCCCCGTCCCCCACCGCCCCTTAACCCTTCCCCCTCCGCTTCTTGCACCCAAGGCACCGCTCCTGCATCCTAATTAACGCCCCATCCAATCCCAGATGGACCGGGAATGTCATGCCCGGGAATGTCGTCCCTCTGTCTTGGCCAACGCGCGCCGTTCGTCCCCCTCCAAAAGAACATCCGGGTGTTTCTTTGGGTGGCCGCCCAAAAAAGGGAGGGAAAACGGGATTTTGGGGCAGGCCATGGGATCACTGAGAAATCATGGTCCAAAATTAACTCCCCTCCAAAAAGAAGTAGGATTTTAATCCTCTCTGGTCCTCGCATTCCCAATATCGTCCTTCTTTCCGACCTCCAACGGGCCTGGTGTTGTCCAAGTGCTGCCCTTTGCTGGTGGACAGGGATGGGTGAAGCTCCTCTTGGGGATTTCTCCCATAGGAAGGGCAAGATTTGGGAATGGAAGGAGTTTCCAAAAATCCAGAAAAGGATTTTTTTTTTTAAAGTTTTTGCCATTCCCACCTTTTTTTTTTTTTTTTTTTTCCCCATGGTGCCCATCCTGTAACCGCTGGGATTTATCCACCTGAGCTGGGTGACGTGAACAGACCTGGAAACTACCAGAAAGAGGGACCTGCACAGGGAAAAAAACCAAATTCCTGGGATATATTAGACACATCTGTATTTATAAGGAAAATATTTCCCCTTTTTTTCCCTCTTACCTCATGAAGCGAAGGAAGGAAATTAGGAATACCTGTGGGAGAAAACACCTCCCCACACCCCACCTGGAGAACTTTCTCATCGAGTTGGTGAGAACTGGGATTGGCTTGTTTAAAAATGGGAATATTTGTGATATCCTGGGAACACTCATCATGGTGTTGGGGAGCTACTTCTACCTGAAATTATGCATATATATATAAATATATGTGGGGAGACATATATATATATAGGGTGATAGGGTGTGTGTACTTTGATCTGTGTTATATACATTTATCTGGTGGTGGTGAGAGGCTGCCAGGGTTTAATCCCAGCTGGAATCCCGGGATCTGACAGGGGCCACCCCGGGGCTGGGCCCCCTGCTCTCCCTCGCCACCAGCCCTGACCTACATAGCGGGTGCTGGATCCGCCTGCAGTGACAGGCAGGAGCCTCCCCTTTGGCATCAGTTTGGGTGAAAGAAGGCAGGAATGGTGGGTTTTTCTCCCCCTGCTCCTGCCAGGGGTGGGCACAGGGGGCTCGAGCAGGGCTGCCCTGGGAGCCTGTAGGGCTGAGCTCATGGGTTCTGCCTCGCCCCAGAGCGGGCTCTGCCCATTTCTCGGGGTGCAGGAGACACTGGTGGCATCTCCTGGGCTGGATTTCTGTGGCTCAGCCCGAAATAGGAGTGGGAGATTCTCCTGTGGGACCCAATTTACCGGGGACAGCAGCCCCAGGGGGGATTGTCCCCATGCCCACCATCCTGCCAGGCCTTCCTGGGGTGGGCAGAAAATACCCCAGGGAGAGGGAAAAGGAGCAAGGTGGGGGGAAAAGGAGGGCAACCTGCAAAGGAGGGGAGAAAATAGACCAGAAAGAGAGAGAGAGGAGAAATCAGAAAAAGCACGGAGAGGAAATGGGAGAGAGTGGAAGAAGGAGCGGGTGACGGGGGCCGGTGGGCTGGGACACAAATGAGGGCGAGGTGATGAAGCAGGAGATGGGCAGACAAGACAAGAGAGGAGCAGCAGGGGAGGAGGCAGAGGAGCTGGTACCCCCGGCAGGATCCTCCAGGACCCATCTCGTGCCAGGGTGGGAAAGGGGGAGGGAGGAATGTGTGACAGCGGTGACAGCCACGTCCCCTCTGCCCACCTGGGCAGAGCCGGAGGTCTCCGAGCCCCCGAGCACCCCCCACGATCCCGCGGGGGATCCAGGGGTGTCCCCAGCGAGCAGGTGAGCAGCGCCCACCGGGGCAGGTGGCTGCGGAGGGCAGGGCTGTTAGACCTCCCTTCCCGGCAGGATTTTAGCTCCTCTTCCCACTTTCCCCGCCTTCCCGCAGCCGCCACGTGGATTCCCCGCGGCAAAAGGGAAAACAAGCGAGGATGTTTCTTTTGTCTCGGCTCGGGGGCCGTGGCTCTAATCCACACCCCCCACCTCGGCCTCCTCCCCTCCATTCACTATTTTCTTCCCACCTTCTAGTTGGAAGAGAAAAAAAAAAAAAAGAGAGAAATCTTTTATTTTAATTTAAAAAAAATTAAATAAATCAGAGTGGGGGAGATGCCCCCAAGAGCTGGGGCTGGTCCTGGCTGGTCCCAGGGGTTTCACCTCCCCGAGCCCCCCCCATGACACCCACCTCAGCTCAGCGCTGCTCGTTATCCCTCTGAGCCCTTGGAACCATTTCTAGGGGAAAAAAAAAAATTAAAATAAATATAAGTGATGCGCTGGTGAGAGCTCGGGATTGGGGGAGAGAGGGGGGAGAAGGGAGGGGTGGGGAGGATGGAGAGAGCTTAAAAATTACAGTGGGAATTAGCAGGAGTCTGAGCTGTTGTTTGCGCTGCCCATTAGCATCTGCCTATTTATCTGTCACCAGATCCTCGTGGCATCCATCCATCCATCTGGATCCCTGTCAGTCTGTCTGCCTGTCTAATTATCCATTAGCATGGCAAAGCCCCCTGACAAGGCAGACGTGAGCCCACCTCGGCTGCCCTTCCCCGTGTCACAGCGAGCCTTTGATGAGCCCTGCAGGGCCAACCCCGGCTCCTGCCTTTCCCAAACCACACAGGGATGGTCCTGCAGGGCCAAAACTCTCTCCTGCCTTTCCCAAACCACACAGGGATGGCCCTGCAGGGCCAAAACCCTCTCCTGCCTTTCCCAAACCACACAGGGATGGCCCTGCAGGGCCAAACCCAGCTCCTTCCCTTCCCTTTTCCCAAACCCCAAACAATGCAGGGATACAGGGATGGCCCTACAGGGTCAAACCCCTCTCCTGCCTTTCCCAAACCACACAGGGATGGCCCTGCAGGTCTGTGGGATGGGCACACATTCCCGTGGCAGTGGGGGAAAGCCAGGATGGAGCCAGGGATGGGGGGTGTGGGGCACTGCATGCCAAGGGGCTGCTGATGGCGACAACAAATGTCCCCTCCATGCCACGTGTCCCCTGCCACGCTGTGTGGACGAGCTCTCCATGGCTCCCTGCTCCACCACACCCACCACAAGAACCCCCCCAAGGTGGGCACTGCCACCACAACCCCCCCAGGGCGGGCACTGCCATGCCAGGGGCAGCAGCTCTTTGTGCCCAGCCAGCACGGGGTGAGGTTGGGGGGGTTTCTTTGTTCCCTGGGCCCCCCTCCCCGCTTGCCCACGGCCCCCATCTCCCACCCCCCAAGTCCCCAGGAGCAAATCAGCGGCGTTTGCATATTCTGAGCAGGTGGGGGCCCATATGCCGAAGATGCACCAGACAAAATTAGCCACCATAATCATAATCAAGTGTGCCGTGGTGCTGGGGGGAGGGAGGGAGGGAGGGGAGGGCCTGGCAGACAAGGCTGATAATTATGAAGCTCAGCATGTGCGCAGCGGTTTTTCCAACAATTATGCCAAGCTCAGCAAGCTGGGGATGATGCTCCTTCCAGCCACCCTCCGGCACCCACCGGCAGCTCGGGCCCGGGAGGGCTCTGCCAGTCCCAGCCCTTCCCAAGCCGCTTTGGGAGCGTGAGCTCCACGGTCTGACCCCATCCCTCTGCCCTTCCTGGCAGGTCCAGCCCCTCTCCAGGCTGGTTTGGGGCTCGGTGGTGGCTGCACATCCCTCCATGAGCTGACCCCCACACCTTCCTCCTGTGGTTAAACTCACATTTCCCACCCGAACCAAACCCACAGCGCCCAGGAACCGCCCTCCTCCTGCTCCATCAGCATCCTGCTGCTCTTGCCCTGCACGGGGAGCAACACAAACTCCTTCCCAAAGGAGCTCTGCCACTCCAGCTTCCCGAAAAATCCATCTACATCTGCCTGCCAGGACTCTGCCACACCAGGGGTGTGTGTTCATCCCCCACGGACCTGGGGACGAGGGCGGTGTCAGGAGGTGACACTCTGGATCCATCTCCAGCCTGCAGAGCTCCAGGCCTGGTGTCAGGCAGCATTTCCCTGAAGGAGCCCTTGGGAAGGGGACTGGGAAGGGGCCGACAGGAGATGCTCAGTGGAGCAGCCCTTGGAAAGGACAGCACAGCTCGTGCCCCAGGTACCTTCCAACCGGCAGAGGAGGAGGAAAACAATCTGCTTTCCTCCTTAAAACAGGCTGGAAGCAGCCCTGGCTCAGGTTTAGGGGATGCTCCTGCTCCATGGTGGGACAGAGGCTGCAGCTGTTCCCTGGAGGATCAGCTCGAAGAGCTCGGCACACGTGGAAATCACGGCTCTGCCTCCCCCACCGTCCCTCCTTCTCCTCCTTCCGCTCTCCCACGTGGGATTTGGGGATCAGCATCCCAGCACTTTGCTGCCGGTCACCTCCCAGCCCCATTGCCAGGAGGGAGCACCAAACCAGCACCAAAACCCCCCCGCTGGCACTGGAGGATTGACCCGCTCTGCACCACTGTGCTCCCAACTGGAGGATTGACCACAGGATGATGGAAAAGCTGGAAAGGGACCAGTTTGGTTCATTGATCCCGGGACATCTCCCCAAGTCCAATGGAATGGCCCCAAAATCCAGTTCCTGTAGGATGGGGCGGCGCATGGGAGCAACTCCATGTCATGGAAGGGGATTTGGGGTCCCTGAAGATCCTGCCTGGGTGTTGGAAGAGCCATGCAGGAATTCCTGTGCAGCTGGAGAAGCTGGGAACACCCTTAACAGCCTGCATTGGCCCAATCTCCTCTCACCCACAGAGATCCACACCTTCAAGCCCTCTTTTTGGTAGAGTTTGGAATAACTCAGCAGGAGCTCGGATTCACATCCCCTCCCTTCTTGCCCTGATTCATCCACCAAGGAAAATTTGCCCTTCCTCAGGATTTCCCAAATCCAAGCAAATCACGGTCATTGCTGTTCCACACACCTTCACTGATCCTCCTCTTTCACCCCCAAATATTAAGGTTTTCCTGGTTGAACACTTCCCAAAAAAACCCCCTTCCCTTAAATCATCTGCTTCACAACTCGGGATGCTGAGGAGCCTCCTGAGGATTTCCACGGGCTCGGAGTCCCTCCATGTCTGGAGGTGCTGAGGCTGCACCCACCCGTGGAAGGAGGATAAAATATTCCTCGCTGGAGATTTGGGAAGATGTTTTTTGAGGTTTTTTAATCCCTGGAGGAGCTGGACAGAGCGAGAAGCAGAGTTAAACAACCCAGCGCTGCGCTCCCACCGCCCTTTCCGTGCCCGCGGTTTGAGGAGGCTTTGCAAAAAAAACTTGGGAAAAGTGAGAGAATTCCTCCACCTGTTTGCTTTTAATTTTTTTCTTTTTCTTTTTTTTTTTCTCGGTAAGGAGAGGGAGGAACAAAAGCTGGAGGGTGGGAACAGCACCCGGCACGGAGCCGGGGGCAGGACCCGCCGCTCCCACACCCACGGTGGGGAGGGGGGGGGCTAAAGGAGCAGCTGCTCTTCCCGGCTATAAATCCCGCCGGATCCGGGCGGGCCGGCGGTTATTGAGATGCAGGGAGCAGGGGACGGGGTGACTGGAGACTCCATAAATATTATTGGGGGCGACGGGGCTGCGCGGGGCCGGCGGGCGCAGACAAAGCGCCCATTGAGCCGCCGGCGGAGCCGCCACGGCCCAGCTGCCGCGGGGACCGGGACGGGGGTCAAGGTCAGAGGTGGCCCCTGCCTGCATTATTCCCACCCCCACTCCCCACCGTCCCCACCCCGACCCTTTTCCTCGTGCCCATAAACTTAATAAAGCTCCCCGGGAGCCCCTCCGTGCCCGCGGAGGGCGGTGGGAGAAGCGGGAGCTGGAAGGGATGGCCCGGGGTTGTGCCCGCTCTGAGGTGGCTTTGTGCCTCTTTTTGGGGGTCTGTTTAAGGACAAATAAGCTCGGTTTAAACTCTGGTGGGCTTGGCACCCCCAACTCTGCGCTGGAGGAGCGCCAGGATTGGGGCCAAGCTCACCCCAAACCACCCAGCGCCCTGGGCCCGATTTCCCACATTCCCTCCATCCCGGGGGTTTCTCCCTGTGGAAGGAGAACCGACAACCCCTCTCCCCAGGAGCGGGGGTTCAATCCTGCTGCCACGTAAACTTGGGTTTCCCGGATCTTGGGCTCCCTTGGCAACGCTGGTTTCCATGGTGAAGAGCCGGGAACCTCCACGTGGACGCCGAGCTTTGCCTTCGAGGTGGCATCCAGCTCATTTCACTGGGGTGCTGCCCCTTCTGGGGGAGCTCCCCAGCACCCCTGGGGGCTGCCCACCCTGGGGTGGGGCAGTTCTGGGCCCACAGAGCATGGAGGGTTTACCTGGGAATGGGTAAGAACCTCTTCTGGAAAAGGAGGGGGGTTCTCGGAACCCCTAAAAATGCTGCTCCTCATCCCCTGCAGGCCCAGCTCTGCAGCCTCAGGGTTTGAAGGCAGAGCCGTGTCCGGGTGCAGGGCAGTTTTATCCCAAACTGGTGCTGATGAGCCAGCTTTCCCTGTTTTCCCACTGTCTCCAGGGCTCAGTGAACCCCAGCAAACCAGGGGCAGGACTCTGGGTGCTGGTGGGCACTTTGGAGCCCCGAGTGCTGGCAATGCACCCTGGGGCTGTTCCCAAAGGGAATGAATGTGAGTCACTGCAACATCAGGATCCCTGCAGAAAAACCCAGATGGAAAGGGTGGTGGTTTTTTTTTTTTAGATCCTGCACTCTCTGCCCCCCTTGGCACTGTCAAAGGAAGGGGTTTAATTCTGCTTTCCATCCATGTGGGAGCCCTGGCAGTGACAGACCCTCCGTGGGGTCATTCCCTCCTGGAATCACCCTGTTTCTCACCCCAGAACCCCCATTTTTCACCCCAGAGCCCCAAATCAGCATTTCTGTGGGTGCAAGACCCCCCCTGGCATCTCTGGCTTTTCCCACCTCCATCTCCCCGGGGAAGGATCAAGGGAACTCCCTCCTCTCCATGCTTCCCTCTTCCTGCAGTGGAAACGAATCCTTGCATTATTCCTGCCCTGAAGGAGCCTTGAAACCTCCCAAATTCGACAGCCAAAAATAGCTGTTGCTCTGCTTGTTTCCAAGTGTTGGCTCTGCCCTGATTTATTTACCCAGGCTGTTCGGATTCCTGCTCACGCTTTGAATCCCAAATCCTCCTTGTCTTGCCATCTCCCCCAAAACAGGCTCAGCTTTCCTCACACACACTCTCACTCACCTCCACCACCCTGCTGGGAGGAGGGAAATTAATCCCTATGGAAATTTATTGAAATGAATTCCCTCCTGGACACTCAAGCTGTTCCCAAGCCCAAGTCGAGGGCAGGGCTGGGCAGAGGGAAGAGCTGGGAGGAGGAGGAGGAGGGGTGGGGAGGAAGGTGCAGCCATAGGGATAACTCTGGAGACTGGAATTGGGAAGGGGGGGTGTGCAGGGTGAGGTGTGGCAGCACCTCCCACCATCCACGCCCATCCACGCCCATCCATGTCCATCCATGCCCATCCATGTCCATCCATGTCCATCCATGTCCATCCACAGGCCAGTGTCCAGCAGCTCCAGGGCCTTGGCTGACTGCACCCCCCAGCTGGGGCACGGGGGGACCCCCTGGAGGCACCAGGAGCACCAAGGATGAGCCAGGAGGTGCCACCCCCTGTCCCCAGCAGGAGGTGAGGAGTTCCTGGAGTGGGATGGTGGTGGGAGGTGGGGCTGGGGCGGGAGGTGGGCCCCCCCCCTGAACCCCACAGCAGCTCCCAGGGCACCCAGCAGCCCCTTCCATGAGTTTTGCGGGACAGGACAGGTTGGAGCAACCTGGGATAGTGGGAGGGGTCCCTGCCCAGGCAGGGGTTGGGGCTGGTTGGGCTTTAAATGGTCCCTTCCAACCCAAACCATTCCATGGTTCTGTGACCCCTTCTCCTGCCATCTCTATCCATGTGGATTTTCCTGCTCCTGCTGCCACCTGCCCTCTCTCAAGGTGTCCCAGGGTGCCCCCAGGCACTGAAATACCCCAAATTCCTGCCTGTCCCCCCCTGAAGGAGGCTGGAGCCAGACCCCAACACCGATGTCCCCAAGTGCTCAGCGGGACTGGGACAGGAGGAGTGACCTGGGAAGAGAATTGGGATGGTGGGGACACAGTCACCTCCCAGCTTGGCCCTGGCTCTGCCTGGGCTGGCACGGGGCTCACACCAGTTTCTCCCATTAACAGGTGACAGGAGTGGGGCCCAGGGGACCAAGGAATGCTGGAGATAAAGCCGAGGCTGGGACTGGAACGTGGGCAGGACCCGTGGGACACTCCTCCCGTGCCCAGGGTAAGGGCTTGCCCCCTCCTTTCCCAAAATAACCAGCCCCAGATGTGCCCAGAGGGTCCCACCCGGGGTCCCTCACCCTGCAGTGCCAGAGGGGACAGCGAGGGGACATCCCAGGAATCTGGAAGGACACGGAGCTGCTGCCACCCGGCCCAAGGCACCGGGAGGATGATCTACAGCCAGCCAGGGAAAGGGGGAAATTCCAGTGCATTAAAGGTGTTGAAAGCCCCCAGTCGTGTCCCAGCCTGGTGTCTGAGCGGAATTTTACCCCTTTTTCTTGCAGGACTCCCAAAACCCCCTGAGCTGCCGTGTCCAGGGAGCGTTTCCTTCCCAACAGGTTGAGCTTTCCTGTCCCAGCCCTGGAGGGGACGATGTCCTGTCCGGTGCCCAGGACCCTCTGCAGGGTTTGGGGACTCTGGTGGCGGTTCCTGAGCCTGGAGTTGGGTCCTGCTCAGAGATTCCCACCAGGGACCACTCAAACCCCGGCGTGGGGGATCCCCACGGATCCGTGGGAAGGGCATCCTGGAAATCCCGGGCTCCCAATCCCCCCAGCACGCGCTCGGCCGCCGCCACCAGCGACCCAGACGCCCAAATATTGAGCTATACATTAAATTAGCAGGGGGAAAAAAAAAAAAAAGGAGGGGGAAGGGGGCCGGGAGGGAGCCCGGAGCACTTCGTGGAGGGAGCGTGGCAGTTTGTTATGCTAACCCAGGGGGGCTCCGCTCGGGGGGGGACGTGTCGGAGAGGTCTGAAGAGCAAGGAGTTCACAGGCCCTCTCCTTTTGTCATGCTAAAAGTGCAACACAGAAAATATATACAGGCAGCTGCTCAATGGAGCGTGAAATACAAGTGATTTCTGCGGGAGGGAGCGCCGGGTAATGCGATGCAGCCCCGGACAATGCCCGCGCCGCCTTTGTGCGCAATGGGAAACTTCTCTTTTTTTTTGGGGGGGGTGGAGGGGGGGAAAGAACGGGGGATAACGGGCACGGAGAGGGGTGCCAGCTGCCCCCGGCATCGCCCAGGGCTGGGAAGTCCCCGTGTGGCCGTGACTTGGCCGTGCCCGGGCTGTGGGAGGTCGGTTGGGGTCGGTCCCGGCCCGGTGGGTGCTCGGGATTAAAAGTGAGCTCCCGGTTGTAAATACGGGGTGCTGGGCATGGCACCTCCCTCCCCTCCCTCTGGGAGCTGGAAACCCGTTAATTCCCAACTTTCCAGCGTCCCGCGGCCCCAGCTCCCTTTGCTGATGCAAATTGGGGCACCCCCGGCAGGAGCGGTGTAAAATCAGCCCTCAAAAGGGGCTTTTGTGTCCGGGGGGAGGGCGGCCGGGCCGGGGGTGCTTCGAGCATCCATCTTCCACCCTTCCCTCCCTTTTTTTGTGTCTCGGAGGGGCTGAAAGCCGGCCCTGTGGGGGCTCTGGGGGTCTCCTGAGGCTCTGGATTCGTTCCAGACGAGCCGAGGAACCATTCTGGGCAGCCCCAAGTGTCCCCCAGTGCAAGGGTTGGGGGAGTCTGGGGGTCCCGGTGGGAGGGGGGCACCCAGGACATGGAGACAGCAAAGGTGATGGAGCAGCTAATTCCCTGGAGTCTGGCTTGGCTGGAGATGAAGGACTTTGGGAAGTCTAGGGGGGGACTTTTGGGATCACAGCCCGCCACTGATGGAGGGGCTGCATTGCCCAGGGTGCCCCAGTGATGCCTGGGGAGGCTGGGGGATGTGGGACCCCCCAAACCCGGGTACCCCAACCCTCGGGGATGCTCCGGGCACGGGCGGAAGCGACATCTAGTGGGAAACGCATCCCGTCGCCAGGGAGATCCATATCCATGGCAACCCCTTGGGAATACCGGCACCCTGCCTGGACCAGGAGCACCCACCAGCACCGTGGAGCCTCCCCCACCCCTCCTTAGCTTTTAAAGGTCTTTTCCAACCTGTGATTCCACGACTGTTGCTCCAGGGAAGGCGGCAGGGAGGGGAAGGTCCCAGCTCAGCCAGCCCCGGGGGCCGGGATGAGGGAGGACAGGGATGGAGCTGCTGCCACCCAAATTCCTGCACCCTCCTCTGGAATGATGTATTTAAGAAGGGGAAGAAAAAACTGGTTTTCTTGGTGAAAAAGTGGGGTTTTTTTGCAGCCAGAAAGAGCAACAGCTCTGCAGAACCCAAGGCCGGGGAAGGAGTGGAAGGAGACCCCGCTCTGGAGCAGGGGGATGCCCAAAGGAGGCTGTGACCCCCTGGGAAGATCCTGGCAGGATCTGCAGCCTTATGGAGAGAGCAGCCTGTCCTGGAGCAGGGAAAGAGCGTGAGGAGGAAGGAGCAGCAGAGAAAACGTGATGAACTGAGCACAGCCCCAATTCCCCATCCCCCTGTGCCACTGGGGGAAAGGAAGGAGAGAATTTGGGAGTGAAGAAGGGAGGGGCATGGAGAACACGCTTTCAACATTTGGGTTTACTTCTCATTGTCCTGCTCTGATTCGATTGCCAATAAATTAAACCAATTTCCCCAACTTGGAGCATGGTTTGTCTGTGACTTCCATGGGTCCCTTCCGGCTGCGGATGGGGAGCTATAGAGCTGCTTTGGGGTGCAGGAGGACACGTGGATATGATTTATGATAGATATTGATATATGAACCCACGCGGGGTCGCGGGCGTCGCCCCGGGACCCGACCCCGCCGAGCCGGGACCCGAACCCGCGGCCTCTCGACCTCACCGGGCCCAGCGATCCTGGGGGGTGGAGAACAGCTGAGAGCCCGCCCTCCCGCGGGGAGCGGCCTCTCCATTGGTCGATCAGCTGCCAATTACAGGGACAGCGGCCACCTATTGGCTGGCGGGGCGGAGGAGGCGGCGGGAGGCGCTTCCTGCGGCCGCCCTTGCGCTGAGCCCGCCATGGTGGGCACGGGGGGCACGGCGGGGGCGTGCGGGGGGCCGGGCACGGGGCAAGGGGAGGGCATGGCCAGGGTGCCCGGGAGGGTGCGTGCTTAGGCGGGTCCGTGCTCAGGGGAGCCCCTGCCCGGCGCGGTGCGTGACCCGCGTGACCCAGGGGTGTGCGTGGGAAGGGGGGGATGCGGGACCCTCCAAATCTGCGCACCCCAACTCTTGGGGATGCTCCGGGCAAGAGGAACGCTTGGCCGGGGGAGTCCCTGTTCCTTGCATGACCGGGGGGTCCCGGGGGGTCTCTTGGACAGAAGGTCCCTGCCCCGGGGGGAGGTCCCAAAGGGGTTGCATGGTCGGGGGGTCCCAAAGGGGTTGCATGGTCGGGGGGGTCCCTTGCCCGGGGGGTCCCCTGCCAGGGGGAAGGGGTGGGGGTGGTCCCTGCCCGGGGTTGCACGCCTGGAGGGTCCCTGCCCAAAATGTGCCAGCCTGGGTGTGTGCTGTGTCTAAATTTGGGGTTCCTGGTGTGGGGGCATGAGCAGGATGTCCCAAGGGGTTGCAGGACTTGGGGTCCCTCCCAGCCCAGGAGGAGATTCCAGGAGGTCCCATCCCAGGGGGTCCCATCGCAGGGGGTCCCACAGCAGGGACAGGGCTGGGGCTCCCCAGCCCCATTCCCCCCGCCCCCCACCCCTGGGAGCTGGGGGTGACCCCGCGGTGTCCCCGGCGCGGGCACAGGCGGTGATGGGGGTGCAGGTGGTGGTGACCCTGCTGGCCGCCAGCCTCATGCAGAAGATGGCCCCTCACTGCTCCTTCGCCCGCTGGCTGCTCTGCAACGGCAGGTACGGGCTCTGCCCCTCCCTGCTCCACCCTGGGGGGCCTTTGGGGACACCCGGTGACACCCCCACTGTGCTCCTTCCCAGCCTGTACCGCTACAAACACCCCTCGGACGAGGAGCTCTGCGCCCTGGCCGGGAAGCAGCGCCCCAAGGCCAAGAGGGACAGGTGAGGAGGGGCTGGAAAGGGTCGCTATGTGGGTTTGGGGTCAATGGGGTCAATAGGGCCGTGCTGGGGGGCTGCAGCAGCAGCAGCACAGGGGCTCGGGGCTGCTGACAGGGAGCAGCCCGTGGCAGACACTGTGACTCAGGGCACAAACTCGTGGCTCCCCGGGCAGGAGGATGAACGGGGTGCTGGAGGACAAGCCCCTCTCCGTGCCCCGGGACATCGACCTGCGCCTGGACACCGCCCCCATCACCGCCGTGGACGCCCTGGGTAACCCCCTTCCCCCACACACACCCTGCCCTGGGCTCAGGGACCACTCCTGAGGGTCCCCCCGGGGCTGTGACGTGTCCCTGTGCCCCCCCAGTGCTGCGCTATTTCCTGGAGTACCAGTGGTTCGTGGACTTCGCCGTGTACGCCACCGCCGTGTACGCCTTCACCGAGGGCTACTACTGCCTGGCCAGCCCCCCCAGGGAGACCAACCTGGGGGTGCTCTGGTGCCTGCTGACTGTCCTCTTCTCCCTGTATCCTTCTGCTGCTTTTGGGGGGGTGGAAATCTTCATTTCTTGGGTTTATAAACCCTTCAGTGACAGCCCCCCAGGGCCTTCCCTGCAGAGAAAGGTGGTGGTGGCCTGGTGGTGTGGGCGATTCGGGGGTGCTGGTGAGCAGGGGAGGGGGGGGGGGTTCCCCCTGAAGGGCCTGGGTTTCCTTGACAGCCCCCCACCCCTCGCCCCCAGGAAGGTGTTTTTCATGGTGATGCGCCATTACTTCCGCTCGGAGGAGGGGGGGGAGCGCTCCGTGTGCCTCACCTTCGCCTTCTTCTTCCTCCTCCTGGCCATGGTGGTCCTGGTCATCCGCGAGGAGCACCTGGAGTTCGGCCTCGAGGCCGGTGGGTGAGGTGGGGAGGGGTGGGAGGCAGGTGGGTGAAGGCAGTGCACCAGGGGGGTCTGTGGGCATCTGCACTCTGTGGGGGTCTCCCCTGCTCACGGTGGGGGTCTCTCCCCACTCCCTGGGGTCTCTCCCCTGTCCCAGGGGTCTCTCCCCACTCCCAGGGCTCTCTCCCCACAGGGCTGGCCGGAGTCAGCGCTAACCTGGAGCCCATCCTGAAGCAGCGGGGCTGGGAGTGGACGTGAGTCGTGCGGGGAGGGAAATGGGGCTTTTCGGGAGGCTCTTTGGGGCTCTGGGGTGGAGGCAGCGCAGCCCCCCTCACACCCCCCCCTTCTCCTTCCACAGGCTGCCCCTGGCCAAGCTGGGCTTCAAGCTGGGGCTGGTGGCCCTTTGCTCCTTCCTGGGCGCCTGCCTGACCTTCCCGGGGCTGCGCCTGGCCCAGACACACCTGGATGCCCTCAGGATGGCGGCCGACCAGCCCCTGGCACAGTTGGGTGAACCCTGGGGGCGGGCAGGGAGGGAGGGGGGCGGTGCTGGCACCTCGGGGGGCTGGGACACCTCCCCCCCAGCTCTGACGGGGAAGGGTGGTGGGAGGGTGGGGATGGGCTGGGATGGAAGGCGCAGGGTCAGGGGGTGCTCAGGGGGGTTAGAGGGGTCTCTCTGACATGTCCCCCCACAGGCTCCTGCTCCACCTGATCTTCCTGGCGCCCGTCCTGGTGGTGGTGATGTGGGTCAGGCCCATCTCCCGGGATTTCCTGCTCCACGCGCCCATGGGCAAGGAGACGGTGCAGCTGTGAGTGGGACAGGGCTCCGTCCTGCTCCCCGGGGTGGGGGGAAGAACCAAGCCCCCTGCCCCGTCAGACCCTCCCGGGGTGGCACTGACCGCTCCCGTTGTGTCCCCCCAGCATGTCGGACTCGGCCTTCGACAGCGCCCGGCTCTGGGCCGTGGTGGGGCTGTGCCTGCTGCGCCTGCTCGGCGCCCGCCGACACCTCCAGGCCTACCTGGGGCTGGCCGAGCGCTGGGTGGAGCAGATGAGGAAGGAGGCCGGGCGCATCCCGGCCCTGGAGATCCAGCAGAAGGTCGGGATGCGGGAGCTGGGGTGCGGGGGCGGGAGGGAGGGCTCTGTGGGCTCGCAGCGACTGATCCCGCTGCCCACAGATCACCAGGATCTACTGCTACGTGCCCGTGGTCACCCTGCAGTACCTGGGGCCCGTCATCCTCACCCTGCACTGCACTCTGCTCCTCAAGACGCTGGGTGAGGAGCTGGAGGGGGGAATGGGGGGATTATGGGGGGTAGGAGGAGACCTGCAGGTCATCGTGAGGCCACCAGCACCCACTGTGTCCCCAGACTCAAGGTTTAGACCTCCCAGCCATCTGCAGCTTCATCCTGAGGGGCAGCACCAGCCTCTGCTCGCTGTGAGCAGGGACAGGATCCAGGAGCAGCTGGAGCTGTGCCAGGGGAGGTTTGGGATGGATATTGGGGAAAGGTTCTTCCCCCAGAGGGTGGTGGGCACTGCCCAGGCTCCCCAGGGCAGTGGGCACGGCCCCAAGGCTGCCAGAGCTCCAGGAGGGAATATTTGGACAACGCTCTGAGGGACAGGGGGGGATTGTTGGGGTGTCCTGGGCAGGGCCTGGAGTTGGGTTGATGATCCTTGGGGGTCCAACTCGGGACATTCTGGGATTGTGTTCCATGACCCTCCCTGGTTTGCGGTTGGCACAAACCCTCAGGGAGGGTGCTGGGGCTCAGCCCCCTGCAGGGCTGTGCCATGGGGACGGGGCTGCAGCTCAGGGACCGCCCCCCACAGCCCCATCCCCTCTGTCCCCCCCAGGGCACCACTCCTGGGGGCTGTACCCGGAGCCCCCCCCGGCGTCCCCGGCAGCGCCGCCGGGCCCCGCGGGCGAGGACGGCGAGGACGTGCAGGTGGTGGTGCGGCAGATCACGGGAATCCTGGACTGCATCTTCACCCCCTCCTTGCTCCGGGGGCTCTTCTCCTTCCTCACCTGGTGGGTGGCTGCCTGCCAGGTCGTCACCAGCCTCTTCGGCCTCTACTTCCACCAGTACCTGGCGGGGTCCTGACTGGGGGAGCTGGGATGTCCCTGGGGGCGCGGTCAGTGCCCGGCTCCTGCTCCTGCCCTGGCTGCTCCCCTCCCTTTGCACGTGCTGGTTGCACCTGTGGACACGTGGCAGGGGGATGTTTCTGCTGCCAGCTCAGGGCAGGATGGGTTTTGTGCCCAGGGCAGGGTGGGCACCGCCCGTCCCTGTCACCCATCACCGCCGTGCCTGCTCCCACCCCCTCCAGCCCCTCTGCCACCTCCTGGCCCAGCGTGGGGGACTCCACTGCTCTGCTTTCCTCGAGGGCAGCAGCCCCTGCCAGCCCAGGTGGGTACCTGCTGGGCAGAGGGACCTCCAGCACAGACTTTGGGGTGGGCTCTGCCTCGTGTTTGCCTCCACCAGCTGAGGGTGTTTTTGTAGGGTCTCTGCCCTGGCCAGAGCTGGGTCAGAGCTCCCTGTGCTTCCTGGGAACCCTCGGCCTTGGCCTTGGCCGGGTTAGGAATAAATAAGTGACCAGAGTCGCTGCCATCCCAAAAGCTGCTGCTTGGCCTGCACATCGTGTCCCTAAAGCCACCCCCCCCCATCCCTGAGCAGGGCAGGGGGTCCCACATGTGGATGCAGCTGCTTTTTGGCACCACACACTTGAGGAGGAGACCTCGGCTCACCCCAGCCCAGCCCAGCCCAGTGCCTGTCCCTGTCCCTTCCCTCGGCACTGGGGTCACACCGGGGCTGGTGACACCGCTCAGCCTGGTGGCTGTGGGGGTGGGGGACGGGGGACAGGGCCCCTTGTCCGTCTCAGCCGAGCCCTTCCACGCGGTGGGTGCTGGTCCAGCTGCATGAAACAGGATTAGCAGGTCTGGGCTGCTCAGAGAAAGGGAGAGGGGCTCTGATCCTATTTGATAGCCTTGTAATGGTCTTAATTCCCTCTTGCTAAGGGCCAGGATGAGACAGCAGCCCTTTGCCCGGTGTTAACTGGGCTAATCCAGCCCTCCTCCTCCTCCTCCCCTCCTCCCGGAGAATCCACGCTGTGAACACGTAAAAAAACCACACGGGGGACTCCCCATTTCTGGAACACGCGGGGCAGGCAGAGCCGGGCCGGGCAGCGCGGGGCGGGTGCCGAGTGCGAGGGAGAAGCGATTCCCGCAGGAACGCGGGCGCGGGGGGATGGAGGGGACCCTTACCATCCTGCCAGCCGTGCCATTAAGAAGCCAGGCCGTGGCTGGCTCATCTCCGTGATTTCCCGGCGGGACGGGCAGGGAGCAGCCGCGGGCCGCGCTGCCGGCGGGGCCGTTGCTAAGGCCGGGGGTTGCGCCGGAGTCAGACACGCAGACGGATCCTCCCCTGGGATGCGCCCAGACTGACCCTCCCCGGCGGGGACAATGACGGATAGAGCAGCCGAGAGCAGGAGACACCGCCACGGGCTCCCAAACTGGGCCACAGCACATGCAGGGGACGATTCCCACCCCCTCCTCCTCCTCCTCCTCCTCCCCTCGGGTTATTTTCGCTCTTTGTGCCTTGGTTTTGTGCAGAGGATGGGCTGGGCTCTGCAAGGACCGTGCTCGGGCTTTCCAGGAGGTGGGACCAGGAGGTTTTGTTGCCGCAGAGGCTCCGCTGGCACCAGGATTCAGCCTGGCACCTGCTGGCACCTCCCACCGGCCTGGCACGCACCCACCTGAGCCACAGGTGACCCTCTGCCATCCAAACTGAGCTCCCCCTGCCACCCTGCAGAGCTGCTCCCCTCTGGAGCAGCAGGGAATTTCGGAGCAGCTCTCCCCGGGGCTGGCAGCCCAAAGCAATCCAGGGGGGATGGTCCCGAAGGGAGGGATGGTCCCGCTCCAGGGAAGGGGACAGGGACCAGCTCCTACAGGGTTCAGAGCGAGTCTCAGCCCCTGGGTCTCGATTTCCCTTGGGATACAAGGGGACATCACAGGGAACAGCAATGGGATACAGGGAGGCTGCTCTGGGAGGGCTGGGCTTGCCCTCCCTGCTCTGACCTTCTTACCTTGCCCAGCACCGGCTGTCACATCCACACCGGACCTGGAAATGAGGCTGGAAAACACCGGAATCCCCCAAAAGTGGCAGCAGCTGGGGGGTCCCCAACTTGGGGGAAGCCACCAGGCCATGGCTAAGCCGACAGTGCCACCTGCTGCCACCACACACCCGGCCCTGTGTCCCTGTCCCTCACCACGGCAGGGCCTGAACCATCCCCGGGGCTTCCTTCCCTCCTTTCAGGCTTCTCCCAACTTCCATGCAAAGTCCCTCCCCAGCAAACCCACCCCTCTCAGCGTGGGGACCACGAGACACCCCCAGAGAGAGCCTGCAAGTCCAATTCGATTTTTTATTAAATATACATCCTCTCTTGGCACAAATCTCAAAATATATAAACATTATGTAACAAAGTGTCTTCACTGCAATAAAATAGAACTCCAGATCCAAGAAAAGCAGTCAAAACCGACCCACCCACACCCACACACACCGATGGTGAGGACACAAAAGGCATTTTAACAGTGTTTGTGCTAATAAATGCATAGACCACACAGGCAGTGAGCAGTGCTGGGAAACCCTGCAGGGCACGGCATTCTTGGGGGGGGGACACAACAGGAGGAAACAGCCCCTAAAAAGACCCCAAAAAAAAGGCTGTTTTGTAGGAAGGCCACCTCCTCCTCCTCCTCCTCTGGCCCAGTCCAGGTGGGGAGAGTCCAGAAGGTACCCCCAGCTCTCTAAGGAGACCAGAAACCCAGCCAGGAACCTGGGAAGTACCTGCAGAGCCCAGGAACCTGGCCAGGAACCTGGGAAGTACCTGCAGAGCCCAGGAACCCTGTCCAGGCACTGGAGGAATCTCCCTGGGAAGCAATCCCAGCACATCCCCTGCCCACCCAGGACTGGCCCCAGCCACATCAACCCTGCTCAAAGTCTCCTTTCATCTGCTTTTGGGTCACAAGACGAGAGGGTGAAGGTGGTGCCCGAGTCCTTCCAGGTGGAAGGCAATGGGAAGTGCCAGGGGAAGCGATGGAGCTGCTCCTGGAGAGCTCCCAGGGAGCCCCCACACCGCCCACCCCAGGAGGCTGCGGCTCCATCCCCGACCCTCCCACCACGCCGGGCAAACAGGGTTGCAAGAAGCCAGCTCAGATCCCACCCCCAACACCCTCCAGCGACCCTCTGAGCTCCCCAGGAGGACAGGCTGTCCCCAAGGTACCTCCCAGCCAGCAGCCACTGCCAGGGGGCATCGCTGGAGGTACCACAAGGGAACCACACCGAGCAGCAGCATCTCAGGGAAGGTGCTGGGACAAGTGAAGGTGCTAAACTGGACAAGTAGCTCGAGAAGCTTCCAAAAAAACCCCCTCCCTTCCCATCGCTCAGTGCCTTTAAAACTTCTTGTGTCCCCCCCCAGAAGCATCAAGCCCTACGAGGTTGGGCTGAAGAGCTGAAGAGCTGCAGTTCGGTCGTTTTGGATGCATTTATTGGACCTGATTTTCTCCAAGTGCTAGTGCAGGGCTCAAGGTGCAGAAGCAGGAGGGAAGGAGGGAGAGAAGAGGGGCAAAAAAAAAAAAAGCACAAATTCCTGTTTGAGTGTAACTCATTAAAGGAACCACGGGGGAAACGTGACGTGGCAATAAAAAGCAGTTTGAAGAAGGACAAAATGAAAAAGTGGGGGATTGCAGTAGTAGCAAAGAAGTTCTAAAGGAAAGAAGGAGTAGAGGATACTCCTGTTTGACTTGTCTCCTTTCTCAGGGCTAAAGGCAAAGGACCTTCTTGGCCAGCACACAGATATCCCCCTTCCCAAAGCAGGACACCTCATTCCAGGCAGCAGAGAGATCTGGAACACGTCTCAATTCATGCAAGGAATAAGAGAAGGGAAGAGAACACTCTGTTTCTCCCTTTCTACATTCAAATCAGAGAAAAGAACAACAACAAAAAAAACCCCACTATTTAAAACAACCCAAAGCAGTAACACACAGTTACTTCAAACACTTCTGCCCAAGAAAACAAAAGCACCAAAACCACCCTGGACTGAATTCAAAGCTCTGCCTCTGAACAAACACTCAGCCTGCAGAACTTGGAAAAAACAGGTTTGGCTCAAATTCCATTGAATGAAAATCAGGTGCAGCTGCTAATTTAAGGAACAACTTCCCTTGGCCCAGTGCTTGCCAGTTTGGCTGTGCTTGCTCCTCAGCTCCAGGTTCTGGCTGTGAGGTGGGGATTCCAGGCTCAGCCTCTTCCAGAGGATTCCCATCCTTATAATCCACTGGCTGCACTCCTGACAGGGCAGAAGATTCCCTGTGCACACCTGCCCTCCCATTCACTCCCAAACAAGGGGCCAGCCATCCAGCAAACCCCTTCTCAGACAACACACTCAGGAGGAATCAAAGCACCTCTGTGGCCAGGGGGGCTCAGTGATGCTCAGCATCTTTGGATGCTCTCAGATGATCCACTATTCCATGGAGCAAAGGAACCAGCTCCAAGCTGGATGTCACAGTTCACCTTCTCCTCCTCCTCCTCCTCCTCCTCCCTGGCTGTGCAGAAAGGAAGGAGCTGCCCAGGCTGGGAGGGGACTGGGCGTGGATCGGACACACAAACTGCTCCTCACACACACTTCCCAAATCCCTGCACTTGGGAAGCGACGATTCCCTCCCTGGGCTGGGCAAGGTGAAGACAAGAGCGGGATAATTGGCTTCTCCATTGGAGAAAAGAAATCAGGAGCTCTTGCAAGGACCGACCAAAGCTTCCCCCTCACGAAGGGAGGGAGGGGCTGAGATCACCTTCTGTCAGCAAAGGACACGCAGGGCTCGTGGCCATCGCCTCCACGGGCCCTTCCTCACCCCCACTGACAGCTCTTTGACTGCAGACCAGGGGGCTGCAGCCAAGGGATGCAGAAATCACCATTTCTGGGCTTGGAGGCAGGGGCTGCTGAGGTTAACACCCAGCCAGCAAAGCCTGATCCATCCCAGCTCTGGGAACCACACGTCAATACCCCGGCGTGCCAGCTCTGGGCCGTGCCCGTGACAAGTGGAGGTGCTTGATTCCTAAGGAAATATTTGGCATCAGAAGCAAGTTCTGCTCCAAAGAACAAGTGCAAAGACAAAAGGGAGGAGAAGGCTGCTTCTACCAGCTGTGCAATTACCTCCATTCCCACTGATCTGTGACACGAGGCTCAAGCTACGACGGCTAAAACACAAACACCAGGAAAGGACAGATCCTAATTCATGTTTTTCTTTTTATACATTATGGACTGTGCAGGCTGAAAGGGGAACTTTTAATCTTGGTTTAGCTAATCTGATTCTCAGGGAAGTCTGAAGTTTGCTCTGACCTCTCTTGCACTCCAAATTCAATAGAGGAACGGATCACAGAACAACCCCACCCCCCAAAAATCTCCATTTCCCTGAAAACTGATTTGAAACACAAACACCAAAAGCTTCTTCACCATTAATTTCCAAATTACAGGTGGAAGTGATTGGCACTATAGATCATTCCTGAAAGGTCAGCACTGGCTGTGGTGCCCATAATCCCAAGGACCAGGCTGCTCCAGGAGAATTTTAGGAATAGGAAAGCACGTGGGGTGAGGCGTGGATGAACAAACAGAGGTGACACGACCTACACAGCAGGTACCAAAAGACAACAAGGTTGTTCAGAAGCAGGGCCAGAAGCTGGAATCAGCTCCCAGGCTGGTTCCACCACACAGGGACAGCAAAGTCAGGTATTTGTTCTCACGTGGTGCATAGAGCAGCAACAATAATACTGAAGGACAAAACTGCTGAAATCTGAAGGATGTAACACGCCCTCTCTCCTAGTGCATCAACACTGCAGGCTGTCAGAGCCCTTGGAAAACGCTGCCTCCAGACCAGGACAACATGGAAGGGTTTGGGCAGCCCCGAAACGCGACTGAGGTTGGAGTCAGCCCAGCCCTGACCCGACGACGGCGACAACACACACGAGAATTCCATTTACAGAACGGCTCAGAACTCCCCTCCCCTGCTGCCCACAGTCTTTGGTAATCTCAGAGACACCACAAACAAGGGGGATTCACGCAGCTCAACCCAAAAAAAGCGAGAGGAACGGCCGAAGAAGGGCAGAGAAACACTCAGCTTCCAGGAGGAGAGCGCGCTCCCAGCTCACAGGAGCACGCGGAATTCCCTCCAGACTAACTGGAATATTGCACTTGGCAGGCTGCCTCCAGCCAGAGCACGTGTTCTGGGGGCCACAAACCGCCTGCCAGGAGCAGCAGCCACTTCCCACATCCCGGGGTGGGGAGGTGGTCATTCCAACAGCACCGAGCCCCCTCTTCCATCGTCCGCCGCTCCCTCTGCCCATGGAGCCCAGGGAGGAGCAGGAGCAGCACGGGTTGGTTCTGGGAGGCTCCACTCCTGGCACCAGAGTCAAGCAGAAGGGTGAGGCAGCTGCTTTAGAGGACTCAGCCCTTGCAGGACCGGAGAGAGGGGGGGATTTTGTTTAGGGCAGAGTCCCCCTTCGGGCCGAGGTTTCCGAGGAACTCGAGACGCTCGTTAGGAAGGTCAAAAAAAAAAACCAAAAAAACAAAAATCCAGGGGGACAACAGGAAAACCAAACAAGGCAGGCGAGTTCTGAGCTGCGGGAGGGCACGGGCGAGGCGAGGGCATCGCTCTTCCTACGCCGAGGGGCCGAGGGGATCACGGCACTACCTCTCCACGCCGGCGCCGCCCTGCAGCTTCCGCAGGAGGATCTGCGTCAGGTCGAAGGTGGTGAAGCTTATCCCCACTGCAATCGGCCCTTTGACCCAGTTCATGCTGAGGCCCTTGTACAAGCCCCGGATCAGTCCCTCCTCCCTGACGATCTCCTGCATGGTGAGCAGGATGGAGCTGTAGGTGTGTCCCAGCACCCCGGCCGTCTGCATGCGGCGCCGCACCACGTCCAGCGGGTACGAGGCCGACTGCCCGATGAGCCCCGCGCAGGCTCCGAACAGCAGCCTCTCCGGGGGGGAGGGCTGGGCCTTCCCGCTGTGATCTGAGGGAGGGGGGAGAGCAGCAGAGGGTAGGAAATTCTTGGTGGTAAATACCCCTGGGAAAAGGGAGCGCCCAGAGCTCAGCGCTGTTCCCGAGTCCTTCCACGCCCGGGAATTGCGGCTTCTCGGCCCTTCTGCGGGACTCGGGTTCCCTGCAGCTTCGTGGCCTGGAGCTGGAGAGGCTCCCGAAGCTCCACGAGACACACTTTGCAGCTGGCTCCAAGGCCAGGGAGAGGATTTGCAGCCCCTCCATCCAAACACCTGGAGTTGGCCCCAAAGCTGCCCCCAAACCTTTATGTGCACCCCCCCCTCAATTCCAACACTTGGAGTTGGCCCCAAACCTTTACCTGACCCATCCAATTCCAACACCTGGAGCTGGCCCCAAACCTTTACCTGCCCCCTCCAATTCCAACACCTGGAGTTGGCCCCAAACCTTTACCTGATCCCCCAATTCCAACACCTGGAGCTGGCCCCAAAGCCTCCCCCAAAAAGCAAACTTTTACCTGCCCCCTCCAATTCCAACACCTGGAGCTGGCCCCAAAGCCTCCCCCAAACCTTTACCTGATCCCCCAATTCCAACACCTGGAGCTGGCCCCAAAGCCTCCCCCTCAAAAAGCAAACCTTTACCTGCGTGGACTTTCTTGAGTGTCTCGTAGGTGAAGAAGCTCAGCCCGGCGTAGGGGATCACCCCCAGGATGGTGGGGGTAAAGCCCCTGTACAAGGTTTTCAGCCCTTCCTCCCGGGATATCCGGATGAAGACGTGCACAATGCTGCTGTACCTGCCACGTGGACACAGGGGAAAGCAAACCTGGGCTGGTTAGAGGCTGGAAACACTCCAGGAAATATTCCCTAAGCAGCACTTTCTGAAGGATCAGCCATTAATTAATTGGGCCCTGAGCTCATCAGACAGCTCAGAAGGGATTTCAGCAGCAAACGGAGACACCAATCCCTGGCTCTCCCACAGCCCTTCCACCACTTGTGTTCCATCTGCTGGATCTTTCTGGAAGCACCAAGTGGTCTCCTAAAGAACCCAACACACGGTTTCCAGCAGTGAGGTCTCCCAGTATCCATCTCCTTCCAGACCCAGGGCTCTGGTCCTTCAGCCAGTGCTCAGAGCCCAGAACAAGAGGTTTATTGCACCAGAGGCTCTGAGTAAGAAGCGACCCAGAAAAATGGGAGTGAAGTCATGTGACCTTAAAAAAAAAATTAAATCCAGAAAATGGGAATAAAGGCATCCGACCTTAAAAAACCCACAAGCTGTGCATTTGGGTGGTGGCTGTAGGTGTTGTGGTGAGGCACTTACATCTCCTTGGGCGTGACGGCCATGCGGGCACGGACCATGTCCAGGGGGTAGGTCACCATGGCAGCCGTGGTGCCCGCCAGGGAGCCAGCAATGAACCGAGGGAAGGGGGTCAGGGCCCTGCAGGAGGGGACAGAGCAGATCAAACGTGTCACCTGGACAGGGAAAACGCTCTGGAGAACGGCTCTGCTCCACCTGATCCCAAATCCCTGCTCCGCCTGATCCCAAAAACCTGCTCTGCCTGATCCCAAAAACCTGCTCTGCCTGATCCCAAAACCCTGCTCTGCCTGATCCCAAAAACCTACTCTCCCTGCTCCGCAATCCTGACCAAATCCTTCCCTTGGGCCCCCAAACACCCTGTCCCTGACCTCATCCTTCCATTAACCCCCCAAACACCCTGTCCCTGACCCCATCCTTCCATTAGCCCCCCAAACACCCCATCCCTGACCCCATCCTTTCATCAGTCCCCCAAACACCCTGTTCCTCACCCCATCCTTTCAGCAGTCCCCCAAACACCCCATCCCTGACCCCATCCTTCCCTTGGCCCCCCAAACACCCCGTTCCTCACCCCATCCTTCCCTTGGCCCCCACCCCCACCCCGTTCTTTAAGCACACCACATCACACCGCCCCGCTTGGGGCTGGCACAGCTCTGTGCCAGCAGAGCTCCCCAGCAGGGCAGCAGCTCCCTCCCTCGGGGCTCCTCCTGCATCCTTACTTTCCCTGGAAGCCGTAGTAGCTGCCCAGGAGCTGCTTGTACTCCTCGTGCGCGCAGAACTGGATGGCGGCGTAGGGGATCACGCGGACCATGGTGGCCGAGTTCCCCCTCCAGAGGCTCCAGAAGCCCTCGTTGAGGTAGGTGCGGTAGATCAGCCTGTAAGCTTCCTGCAGGGAGAGCAGGGCAGCAGGGGGGCTATCCAAACAATCCAAACAATCCAAACAATCCCGGGGGGAAGAGGCCACCCCCTACGGATTGACCTCTGCAAAGCCCCCCCACCCCGAGCGCAACCCCGACTGCTCCGAGCGAGGCACGTCCAAGGGAAAGCACAGGAGGAGTTTTCCACCCCAGGCATCTTCGTTTTCCCTCAGCTCAGAACCTCCCTCAACCCAAATTAACCTTATGAGGGCAAGGCAGAAACGTTTGGGGTCACAAACACCAGTGGGGCACGTGTGGAACGGCCCAAATGCGGCATAAAAAAAACCACCCCACAGCAAGACTGGCAGAGATTTAATTCCCTGTAAATGCTGAAATAACTCCTGTGGTGGTGGGAGGAAAGGAAAAAAAATTAAAATCACTGGAGTAGGTCCCAAAAAACAAGCCCTGAGTGATGTCACACTTAACGTCAGGTAAAGCCAGGAGGATGAGCGAGGACTGAGCCCCTCGGTGCCACCAAAAATCCAATTAAAAACTGCCCTCTAATCAACAAGGCTACTCCCAGCCTTTCCCTCTGTGCTTTTCACTGAGTCCTCCTAATAAATCCCAAGCAAGAAAGTCAAATGAAGGCAAACAAAAGATGCTGTTGGAGCTGTTACTGCCATTAATCAAGAGGGCAACAGCAGACAAGACACATCACCTCACCTTGGCAGAAAATCTTTTTGAAGACACTAAAAAGAGGGGGAAAAAAAAAAAAAAGGAACGTTAAGCCTTGCAATACATTTGGATGGATCAAATACAAATAAATAAATACGATAAATAAACCATACAGGTGTTTTATCTAAGGGATAAAAAGAGAAGCAAAAGAATTAATGCAGGAGGGAGCAGAGGGGGTGGGGGTTTAACTAAGGGTAACTAGCACAGAAGTCAGTTTGCGCCACACACCACTAAACCAAGGGTACAAACACAAAAATTAATTTAAAACCAACACTTCAGCAGAGCATTTCCATGCCCTGACTCCAAACAGACCGCTTGGTTGGAGCTGGAGGCTCCAGCACGGAACGGGGCCGTGCGGAGGCTCCACGCACGAGCGGCTCCATCCCAGCCCGGCTCCCCTCCCTGCACCCGCTCCCACTGACAGCACCCCCCTAACCAGAGGCATTTGGGAGCAGGGTTTGTTCTCCTGGCAGCCCCTGCTTTGCCCTGCGAGCAGGAAGGCCGGGCCGGCTCGGGGCCGGCGCCGCTAACGAAGCGCGCGCCCAATTAAGCGGCTGCCGCGGCTTCTCCCCCGCTCGTCGGAGGTTTGGAACCTCTCAAGTGCATCCAAGGATCACATGCAAATGAGCTTTCACCCCCCTGCTCCTTTATGCCAATCATCACTTTTGGTTTTTTGCTTTGGTTTTGTTTTTTTTTTTCAGGAAATGAATCCAATTGTGATGGAAAAGAAGCTCCTCTCCCTCCGCCACAGGAAAATTCAGAGTATGTGGAAACCCAGGAGGATTTGGGTTGGAAGGGACCTTAAAGACAGCCTAGTTTTGACCCCCTTCCACCGGCCCAGCTTGCTCAGAGCCCCATTTTTCAGTCTCTGGTTAAGGGACAACCCTCCCCGCAAACCAATCCAGCTTCAGCTTGGGTAGGAAACTCCAACACCTCAATCCCCTCCCTCCAGAGCCCCCACAGCTCCTTGTGTTCCCCCTGGAGCGCTGGGGAAGGGGCTGGCTGAGCAGATCAGAGGAGCTGGTTTGGGCCCTGCCCACCATAATAAGGAGTATTTTTGGAGAAGCCAACAGGACTCACCTTGGAACATGATTTTTGTCCTATCCAGGGGAGCCACTGCAGTTTTAGCAACAGCACCAGCCAGTGCACCAGACATCAGGGAGTTGAGCACCTTCTTCTTCTCCTGGTTATCCTGGAACAGAGCATTGCTCAGTAGGACACAGCCAACCCCAAGCATAAGGAGCAATATTTCACCTTTGCTGTGGAATTTATCCCCTGTTCTCCAGGATTTGGGTTAAAATGCTTTACTGCATTTCCAGGCTCGTGGCCTGGTCCCAGCTCTGCCACCAGGACACAGCAGGGAATCCAGCCCTGCCTGGCAGCGATGCCTCTTCCCAAGGGGATGGAAACTCTTGGCTCTCCCCAGAGGAGCACAAGTTACACATTCCATGGCTGGCACACACCCTCTGATGATCCTTCCCTGATCAACTTGGTGCCTCCTCTGGACTTGCTCCAGCAGCTCCACGTCCCTGCTGTGCTGGAGACCCCCGAGCTGGATGCAGGATTGCAGGTGGGGGCTTGGAATTCCCCCCCCTCATCCCCCTCCTTCCCACGCTGGTTTTGGTTCCCCAGAACCTCGTGCTCTCACCTCTGCTGGGAGATGGGCTGCTGTGACCGGCTCCACATCCTTTGGGAAATCCACTGGACCCTCTCTCACACCATTACCCATTACCAGTTGCACTTCCAAGCGGGCAGAAGGGTTATGGCTCCTGCGTGGGGAACAAAAACCAACGGAAAGCGTCAAAAAAACGGGAAACATCCAGGTAAGGAAAGCCCAGCAAGGGCTGACACACTCCCAGCAGGAAACCCCTCTCCAAGCTCCCATGTGGAGAGCATTCCCAGGATCCTCCTGCAATTCCCTGCCTTTAAGGTGTGAGTGGATGTGTGGGGGGGGTTGCTTTGGTGCCGTGTCAAACCTGTGTCAATCAATCACACATTCACCTCTCCCACCCCACAAAGGGCTCAGCTGCAGGAGGCACCACCAGAACACCCAACACCTGCAGGATGGGGAAGGATCAGGGCCCTGCTCTGCCCTCTCACAGCCAGGATTTCGGTTGCTATTCCCCTGCTGAGCAGCTAGATATCAGAGGAGGAATTTAAAACCCTGCCCCTGGAAAAGGAGGGGTGTGGGGAGGAGGAAAACAGTGCCAGGAGCAAGTCCCCAAAGCCTGGCATGAGCAAGTGCAGGTTATTTTAGGGAAGGGAGAGAGATCCAGTGGCTCACACGTGCCAGGAAGGCTGTTCTGAGGACACCAGGGACTTGACCTGAAGCAGCACATCAGTGATTTTAGGGCTCCCTCTCCTCACAGCTGCACCATGAAAAGCAGAAATACCTGCCAGTTGGAGCTGCAGAGTGCAGATGCTGAGAGAATGCTTTGAAGACAAGCTTTTCTCTTTTTTTTAAGCTTTAAATTTCTAATATTTCTGCTTTTTTACAGGGTAGGGGTTTTTTTCCACCACCCAAGTTTGGGGTTTTTTTTTTCCCATTCTTAATTATCCAGAAATGGAGGAGCTGCAGCTGGAAAAAACCCCGGGGTGGCACAGAGAGAGGTGGCCCTGGAGTGGTGAAAGCTTCTCTTCACCTGCTGGAGCTTTGGGAAGACACAAATCCCACCTGTTTCCAACTCCTGAAGGGGTTTTCTCCCCAAAAAAAAGGTCACTCAGAGAGCTTCTAACTCCTGATACAACCCAAGCATCAGCAGTGCTGGCACCCAGGAGGTTCCCTCACAGAACTTTGGTCCTGGGAGCAAAAACCCCCTCCGGGGTGGAGCCCAGAGATGATCCCACAGCACAGCAGAGCAGAGCACTTGATTATTTCTTGAAGAACAGTTAATTATCTGTCATTGCTGCCCGCAGCCATTCCCTTTCCTCCTCCTTCCTTCTCATCTCACCTTGCCCGGGAAACGCCTCGTAAAATGAAAGGAAGCTTTGCAGCCAAGGAAATCACAGGTGGAGGGAGATATTTCTCTCCCTGGCTCCAACAAAGGAATGTAGGTCACCATATCAGATTTATCTCTGCCAAAAATAACACACACACACACACATAAACCACATACAACCCCCCAAAAATAGAAACGGTGCTAAAGGGCTTGGGGATGCAAAATGCAACTTTTTTCAAGTCTGATTTTAAAAGATGATTGAGAAAGAGACGCCCGAAAGGGAATTTGCAAAACTGATGTTAAAGCCTTTGACTTGTTTTTGGCACTTGCACGGGCACAAAGAGGAGATGCATTTTATTTTTAGTGCCCTGAGCTCACCAACACCTGTTCTATGCTCAGTTTTACACACTAAACTGCCCCCATTGCTCTGCAGGCTCCAAACACCCAGAGGCTTCCAGGTAAAAATAGCATTTATTTATTGTTCTTATTCCCATGTGCTGATGGAAAGCAAGGCAGCTGTGCTTTATTTTGGGGCTGGGCTGGGCTCTGGTGTCAGGGGGTTATTTTGACCCATAATGCACATTTGTTGGAGCCACACTGAATGAAGGTTATCTTCAAATTCAAAAAGTGAATTTAAAGTTTTGGGGTGAATTTGTAACGCCAGGCACTGCTCTGCACATGTATCACCCCACAAGCCACTGAAAGCCACGTGGGTATTTTTGAAATCCCTGTATTTTCATCCTGCTCCCTACACAGTCATTCCCTCTGTTTACAAAGCCACAGGCAACCAGAAAAAAAAATAGCTGTGGATTAGATTTTTTTTTTTTTAATGACACACTACTGGGTTATTTATATCAGAGTTACACAAGGGCCTTGTCACACATCTGGATCCTGAGGGCAGAGCAAACCATTCCCCCCCTGAAGGAACCAGGCAGGGAAAGTGCTGGCAGAGGGGAGTGTGGAAGTTCGAGGGGTTTAATGAGTAACACATCCCGTGCTTTGACAATTCCTGATCGTTGATGGAGGGTGCAGAGCCCTCCCCTCACATCCAGCAGAGTGCTCTGCCCTGGATTAACACAGATTAAAGATTTCCCAAGCTGAGGGGAAATGGGGAATCTCAGGCCCCTCCTTTCTGGCAGCCCAGACAAAACTGAGGTTATTAAAATGGCCAAGCTCTGCCTGTGATGGCCCTCTGGACCATGGGAGCCTTCCCAGGTTTATCCTGGTGTTCCAGCAACTGCAGGAGCACCTGGGCATTAAAACAACCTTCCTTCCCCACATTCCAGGGGATGCACAAAGAGTTTTCCCCTTCCCTTTTCCCAGCTTTCCTTGGTACTCCTGGGCGATTCCACCCCGCTGTCAAACCCCGAGTCACTCCCCCTGCTCTTCCTGCTGCTGGGCTGGAGTAAAAGGACAGAGAAGACAGAATCCAGTTATTCAGGTGATAAATCAGCTGATAAAGCAGCCTGGGAGGGACAAGGACTTACAGGGAGGAGCCAATTTACTGCCCAGAGAGGGTGAAGGTTCACAAGCACCAACTCCGTCCACGCCACTCCTGACTCCAGCCATGGTGCTCAATTCCAGCTATTTATTTTGGTTATTTTAACAATTATATTTTTATAATCAAGCTTTATAATGGCATTTCTATAACTGTGATTTTATAACTGCATTTCTGTAATTGTATTTCCAAAGAATTCCATTTTAAACCATCCTCACCGTAATGAGCCCCTCAGCACAAGAGTCAGTGACTTCCACAACTAAAAAACCAGCACAAACTCCCCCACATTTTGTTAATAACTCCAAATTAAACCTTCTTTAAAAGTCTGCCTTCCCAACCTGCCTGAAATCCCTCCTTTATGGATTTTCCCAGCTTTCCCATGGCAGGGAAATACCAACCCCCGGGGGGGAAGAAGATCAGAAAGAAGGGCAGGGGGTTTGGAACTGGATGATCTTTATTATTTGGGTCCTTCCAACCCAAACAATTCTGGGATTCCACCAAAGGAGGGTGGAACAGGTGGGGCTCAGGCTTTGCTCCCAGGGAACCTGAGCAAACAAGTCGTGCCAGGGGAGGTTTAGGTGGAATATTGGGAAAATCTCTCCATGCAAAAGGTTGTCCAGCCCTGGAACAGGTGGGGTCACATTCCTGGAGGGATTTAAAAGCCAGGAGGAGGCACCTGGGACATGGGCAGTGGTGGCCTTGGCTGGACTTGATCTTGGAAGGGTTTTTTTCCCCCGCCCCCGACCTCAACAATTCCGTGCTCGCTGGAAAACATGTTTGTGTGATGTTCCCCGGTGGAATTTAGATCTGTCCCAAAGCACTGAGATCTCTGAGGGGAATTATCATCTCCCCAGCAAAGCAGAGCAAACAGCAACCAACAGTTATTTGCTGAGAAATGTTTGCTTTTCTCCCCCCAAACCTGAACAACCCCAGCAGGAATTACCAGAACAGTTCCAAGCCCGTGCCCTGTGACAGGGAAGGGCAGAGCTGTGCCTTTGATGCTCACAAAATTCACTGGATTCAAGGAGAAATTTCGGGGCTGAGGAGATGCAGACAGAAAATTAAAGACTTTTCAAATTGAGCAACTGGGAGCAGCACATCCCACTCTCAGCCCACAGACACGACCCACACGATGCCACAGTTCACCTCTGGGGCATAATCTCCATTTCCTTCAGGTAAAGCCCCTTGTATAACTCCAGTCAGACATTCCAGCTTCCCTCATTGCTCAGTTATCCAGCTCCTAACTCCTTTTTTTTTTGTTTTGGTTTTAGTTTGTTATGTCATTAACGTGGCTAATGAAAGCACATAATTAAATCAGCAAAGAAGAAAACCCAGAAGGCTCCTGCAGGAACATTCACACGTTTTTCCCAGGCAGGCTGAAGTGACCCAGGGAAGTTGCTCAATTAGGTTTCCTTCAATTGTTGTTGTTAAATTGAGCAATTGAGTCTGACAGAGAGAGAGAGAGAACGTGGTAAAAAGTGAGATTACTGCAGCCTTAAACTCACCCTTGGAGCAAAAGCATCACCCAAAGATCACAGGAAATCACGGGAAAAAAGGGCTGAAAACGCTCAGAAAGGGATGAACTCTGAGCAGATGGGCCCTGGAGGTCCAGCTTTGCCTTCCAGTTTGATCAAGCTGCTAAAAATCAAGCCCTGCAGCCCCAGCCCTGCTCAGCCACATCATCTCCTCGCACACAAATCCAGCCCCAAAACACCAGCTGGGAACAGTCCAGAGCCCCCCTTCCCTTAAAGACCTGGATAGAAACTATTGGAATAATTTTTAGGGGATCACTGCCCCAAAAGACTCCCTAAATTACAATATCTGGAAGAGTTTAATTTTCTCACAGCTCCTCCTGCCTCCCCCGAGACAAAACTCGGGTCTGCCAATAAAAACCCGGCACGGGGATCCAAATTCCTGGCGTGGTTTTGGATGATCTGACCCGAATTGGGGGCACTGGGAAATGGTTCAACCCAAAGCCCTGCGAGCAGAGGCAGCTGATTATTCCGAGTGCTGGAGCTCTGAACAGAGCTGGGAAGGAGCCCCAGGAGCCGAGGGAATCTTGGCAAGGGAAGACAGAGCTTTCATTCTTCAGCTGCTGAGAGGAGCCTGTTGCTGGGAACACCTCAGCTTGTGTTTTCCACAGCCAAAAGCTGGAGAGCTGCTCTTATCTGCCAGGCAGAAACCGCCTTTATCTGAGGGAGGACACGGCCCTGCAGCCAAAGAGGGGGGCTGAACACTCTCCACGGGTCAGGGAGCAATTCCCTTCCTCCAGGAGAAGGTAAGGAAAACGAGCAGCCCACCCACCTACCCCACAAATCCTCAGCCTGAACACTCCTCAAAAAAAAAAATCACTTTTCCAAGGTGAACACCACGAGGAAAAGACAATAAAATATCATCCACAGCTCATGCCAGCACAGATCCTGCACAGATTGATCTCAACATCCCCACACATGAGGTCCTGAAGGGGCAAATCCCAGCCTGGGTGACGTTTTTAAACGAGATTATTTGGAATATTAGTGATTCCCCCCCCCCCAGTCACTACACAGGCAGTGCTCACCAGGAACTGCTTCAGCACACACAGCCACTGCAATCTCTGCTCTAAACCCCCACCCCAAGCAGTTTAAACTGTGAAAAAGGGAAAATAAGGGATTAAAATCCTCCATCCTGAAGCCACAGCCATGCCAAGAAGGTGCCATTCCCCTCAGGGCAACGATTTCCACACTGATGGAGCCCAGGAGATCAGGAGCTGCCTTCCCCCCCCCACTGGGTGTTGTGCTCACTCTGCTTCAAATTTGGCAGGATTTGAAGCTCAGCATCACCTCTGCTCAGCCAAAACGCTGCAGGTTTCACCTAAATTGGGTTATTTGGTGGTAGCTCAGGCCTGGCAGCACCACCACCACCAAGGAGCAGCAGATTTAAAGCACAGCTACAGAGCAAAGAGCTCCTTAAAACCTTATTTACATGGTGGCCTGGAACGAGCTCTTTGCATCTCAGATCACCTCTCAGCCCCAGGCAAAATGTAACATCCTTTTCCAAGCCCGGGAATGTCGATGGATCACCTGGAAAAGGGCACTGCAGGGTGAAGAACTGGCATCAGTTGTGTAGGGGGGAAAGTACAAACCTGAATCAACTTTCCTGTCACTGGCAGCAAAGCTGCTCGAAGGAAATCATTGCTGGTTCTCTCCAAACCTGTCTGACCTGCACCCAACCACACACTCAGGGCTGGGGTTTCTGCCTTCTGGAACCTCCTGGACACACCAGACACATCTGAAACGTGCCCTCCCTTAACAAGGCAGGGCTCCAGCCCCCCTCAAAAAAACCCCAGGCCAATTCTTGCAGCTCCTGACTCATGTTCTGGGCTTATCAAGGGCCCAAACTCCCTTGTCTGAAGCAATCACTGGGGCCAGAGTTCCTGCTGAAACCCAACACCAAGGACAGCCCCAGTGCCCCCTCTCTCCCCAGCACCCACATCCAGAGGTCCTGAACAATCCTTTTGACTTGGCTGGTTGAAAGAAAACCAAGTGTTGAGCGCCCACAGCTCCAGGAGGGTGTAAGGATGCTCAGCCCCCCAGAGTCCAGCCCTGGTGTTTTAGACACTCAGGTTATTTTTAAGTACCTTCACCCCCAGGTTCTTGGTGTGATCATATCAACCCTCTGGTACCTTTATTACAGCCTCTCCTTCCTCAGCTGGTTTCCAACACCCACAGACATCTCCTCTGTTCCTTCACACACCCCCCCTTCTCCAACCTGGAGTCATTTCAGCCCCACAATGTTTCCAAAACACTCCAAATTCATCAGACCACAGGGGAAAAAAAAAAAACCAAACCAAACAAACACCGGAGGAGCAAAACAACCTCCAGCCAAGAGCTCTGCAGCTCAGGCGACCGTGAAGCAGAAGAACCCAAAGCAAAGTGACAGCAGGTTCCAAACCCACCCTGAATTACCAGCCAACAGGAAAAACACACACCAAGCACGTCTGCAGCGCACACAGACGCATCTCCAGTGCCTCCAGGCCTCGGGGGAGCCCAGGTTTAAGGTCATCACGGGCAGAAGAGAAGGTGGAACTGTGTTTATTAACCCTGCACCAGCATTTCCAGCACTTCCCAACTGACTTTTCACGTTACAGTTTAAACCCGGTCCTTCCATCCCCGCCTCTGGAGGCAGAGCAGGGAAGTTTCCCCCCCAGCTCTGCAAGTTTTTGCTGGTGCTGAAGTGGGAGAAGCAGGAGGGGATCTCTGTTTGACACCTCCGTGCCCTCTGGTACCTGTCCCTCAGCACAGAGACACCACTGCACCTCATCTCCAGGTTCATTCCAATTTACAGAGCCCAAAATCCCGTCTGGCACGTGGGGCTGAGCCCTGATCAGGAGGCTCTGAAGGGAAGAGGAGCCTGAAAGCTCAACACAGACAGCGACACCCCACACCTGAGAGAGGGCACGGGCTGGCAGGGGGGGACAGGAGGTGGGCAGGGGGACAGGTGGGCAGGGCAGGAAGGGGGTTGGCAAGGAGCAGCGAGGTGAGGCAGGGGGGAGGGAGGTGCAGGCAAGGGCAGAGTAAGGAGGGCAAGGCAAGGGGCGAGCAGCAGGGCAGGCAGAGGGAAGGTAAGAGGAAGGTAAGGCAAGGGAAGGTAAGGGAAGGCAAGGCAGGTCAGGCAGGCAGGTCAGGCAGGCAGGGAAGGCAAGGCAGGTCAGGCAGGCAGGGAAGGCAAGGCAGGTCAGGCAGGCAGGGAAGGCAAGGCAGGGAGGGAGGAAGGGCAAGGGAAGGCAAGGCAAGGCAAGGCAGGGCAGGCAGGGAGCGCAGCCCGCACCCCCCCGGTTACCGGGCCGGGCCTCTCGGCGGTGCCGCCGCCCGGGCTGGGCTCGGCCGAGGCCGCTCTCCCGCAGCTCGGGCCGGCCCCGGGCCCGGCTCCAGCCGCTCCCTGAGCTCCCGGGAGGGGTTGCGGCCGGAGCGGCCGGAGCCCCGCGGGGCCGGGCCGGGCCGGCACGGGGTGACCCCGCGGGAGGCCGCGCCAATGTCACCCGGTGCCTCCCGCTACCGCACAGCCCGGGGCCACCCGGCCCAGGGCCACGGTGAGGTGCGGCCAGGGCGGTGCCAGCGGCCGCGGCGGGTCCTTGTCCCAGCCCCTGTCCCGTCCCGGTCCCGTCCCGCACTCACCGGCTCCGCTCCGCTCCGCCTCGGCCGCCGCCGCCGCCGCCAGGCCGCCCCCGCTGCGCCGCGGGAGGCGGGGCCCGGCCCGCCGCGGGGCCAATCAGCGCGGGGGAGAGCGGGACGCCCGCCGAGTGACGGCGCAGGCGGCCAATCGGAGGGGGGAAGGGGCGGGGACAAAGGGGAGGTGGGCGGGGCGTGCGGTGTGTCCGCACCGGGCGGGGGCGGCGGGGACGGAGCGGGGAGAGACGGACCGGGGACAGAGCGGGGGACAGAGGGGGACAGAGCGGGGACACCGACCGGGGAGGGACTGGGGATACTGGGGAGAGACCGGAGATGCCGCCCAAGGACAGCGGGGAGAGCCCCGGAGATCCCGCCCTGTCCCACCCGTGATCCCGCCCGGCTCTGCCCCGGGGGCAGCCCCGGTGTCCAGCCCGGCCCCGGTACCACCCGGTCCCCCCGGGATAACCCCCAGGCACTGCAGGTACACCGGTTACACCAGCACCTGCTTCAAGGGGAAGGGAAGTAAACCCTGTGGGGCAAAGCCCACGCTTGATTCTCCCACAGCCTTGGTGCTGCTTTTCACCCATCCCAGACGCACCAGCAGCCCCCAGGCTGCACCAAACGTGTTCCCCAGAGCGGCCAGCCTCTCCCAAACTCTGGGCACCCCAAGGACTCGGGAGCTCAAAGGTCTCTTCATCCTCTTTTGGTGCCCACTCTGCCCCAAAGCAGGGGGGCACATTCACCTGGAGGTCAGAGTAGTGCCCAAATCCCCCCAGGCTCTTCCCCCAGCACGCAGAGAGGAGCCAGGACAGCCTCTCCTCCCCCAAACACCAGGGTAGGAACCTCTGAAGAACACAGTGACCTTTGCTATCTGCTGGCAGAGACAGCACAGGGCTGCAGGAGGCTTTATGTCCAAGCTCAGCACAGAGGCCTTTCCCCCACCTTTCTTCTCCTGCCTCGAAAAGGGCTCCAGAAAGAGCCAACCACCCTTGGACATTTGTATGTTTTATAGGGTCAACATTTCTACAGAGAGTTACCACGTTAAAAACATCCATTCACGCACAACAGCAGCAGCAGCAGCACAAAAGGAAGGCTCAGCACCACAGCAGGGCTGGTGACACAGCCCAGCAAAACACAGGAGCCTTTAGCTGAGACTTCAGAGCCTTTCTGGGGCCTGTTTTGCCCCCAAATCCACAGTTCTCCTCAGTCCATGTGGTTCTTTGCCTCTCCACCACAAGTAGAGCGCTCCTGGGGGTTCAGGGAAGTGCTGCCCTGCTACGAGGTGCTTCCTGCTTCCCCACTTTGGGAACCATCACCCCCCACTGCTCATCCCACTGAGGGAGAACACGAACCTTCCTCCTGGATTCCAACAGCAACATCCCAGGGAATGTTCCTCTGGGCCCTGTGTCACCCCCAGTCCTTCCTTTGCTTTTGTTTCAAATGTTGTGTTGGCTGAAAATCCCAAACAAAGCAGCGGCACAGAGGATGGTCAGCAGTAAAATAACGGGGGGGGGGACAGCACAACAGGACAGAAACACGTTCATAGACAGTGCAGTTTCCTCCTCATCCATCCTGGGACCGGGCTCCACCAGCACGGGGACAAATCCTGAGCAGGAGGGAGCAGCCCTGTCCTGCACACAGGGAGCACGGCTAAGAGGGGAGCAGATCATCTTCAGGCATTAGATGATCCAGGGAATGATCACGACACAGGGTTGGGTGGCAGCCTGTGAATGCACAAAGCCATTGCAGCTGTAGCTCCCGATAGAAAGTTCCCTGCAGCCTCCCAAGCCAGGCATTTGCTTCAGATATTCCAGCTGGGTGTCAGTGCAGATTAATCCATGCCACTGGGTTGGTTTTTTTTTTTCCCCCCTCTCAAGATTCCAGGTGCAGAGGTGTTTCAGAGCCCCCCACCCCCGGGGGAGGATTCACTGGGCCAGGCTCCCCTTCTGGCCTGTCCACAGCTCCCTCAGCTCCACTTTGCAGCCCAGATCCCTCAGAGCAGCCTTGGCCACGTCGTCGCAGTCCCTGTGGGCAGCACGAGCCTCTGTGATCAGGTTCTCAGCTCCCATCTCCAGGATGGGCTGGGAAAAGTCCCGGCTCCGGGAGACCAGGTTGCGGATCAGCATGCAGGCCTGTTTCTGGGGAGAGAGGGACATCAGAACCTCCTGCAGAGAAACCCCACACCTGCAGGATCTGCCTCCAGCTACGGCATCTTTTCTAGGACACCAAACTGAGATGCTGCAGGCAGTCACAATTCCCTGGAACAACAAAACCCACGGACAAAGGCATGGAAGCGATTTCCCCTCGAGGTTCACACAACCAGAGCTCCTGCTTTTGTCAGGACACCAGCAAATCTCAAACACCAGCCAGGCAAGACCAATTGGTTCCATAAATACTAATATTTAGTATTTAAATACTCATATTTAGTATTTTAATGACAACACTTAAGAACTCTCCAGTTCAGCAGCCCCACCTTCCCACCATCCCCTCCTGTGCTGCTCCAGGCACCTTCCCTGGCACTGAGCTTAAATCTCTCCTTCAGAAAACATTTTCTTCAGGATTTTTAATGTTCTGAGGAGCGCAACAGTGGGCAAAGAACCTACTGGGACCTGCATGAGAAACCAGAGGCAAAACTTCTTGCCGTGCAGGTGTTTTACTTGACTCTGGAGAACTGATGGCACAGGCTGGGCCTGAAGGAGCTAATCCTCAGCCTGCCCTTTTTCAAAGAAGAGGGAAAGTAATGCCTGGAAGAGGAGCAGGGCATTCCACGGTTTTATGAACCTGAATTCATTAATTATGGCTTTGAAACCCAAACCAAGTCTGGCTCTGATCAGACCACGGTGCCAGACGCAGAGGGTTCTGCTGCCCCGCCAACACACCCAAAACCCGCTGGAATCTGCCCAGTCCAGGTCAGAATCCCAGGGAAGCAGGTACCACAGCCAAGCCCAGCCCTGAGCAAAGCCCCAGGTGCCCTGGGACACCTACCTGGACAGCCACTTCTCGGGGGTGTGCCTTCATGGCCTGCAGTGCCGCCAGGGCCCCGCCGCCCTCCATGATGACGCTGCAGTTCTCGGGCTTCCGAAGAGCCAACATGCACAGGGCAGCACAGCCCTGCTCACAGATCTGCAAGGCAAAGGGGCAGGCACACTCTCAGCTGGCTGAAAATGGGGCCTTTAAGGCAGACAAAAATGGAGTTTGTTTCCTTTCGTGGCGATTTTTTAGTTCAGTTTTGTGGGGTTTTTTAAGTTTCCCTCCTGCTGCTCTGGTGGGTAAAGTGAGCTGGGCTGGATGATCTTGGAAGTCTTTTCCAGAGTCACAGAACATGCCAGGTTGGGAGGGACACACAAGAATTACTGAGTCCAACCCTCAGCCCTGCACAGGACAATCCCCAAGACTCACGCTCTGAGCCTGAGAGGATCATCCAAACATTCCTTGAGTGAGTTCTGTCAGCCTCGGTGCTGCGACCACAGCCCTGTTCCAACCTTAACTCCAGCCTTAATGATTTACACCCCAGAGGTGCAAATACCCACTCTATCCACCTAAGTCACAAGAAAAAACCCCAACACCCAGTGCACACACCTTTCCATTTACACAAACACCCGCCAAGCGCGCGCTCAAACCGCACGTTCCCTGCTCAGCTGCAGACCCCCCCAAAACTGCAGCTCCCTCACGCAGCCCAAGCTGGAGCTGCGTTCCCATCCCAGTGGGAGCCGTGCAGGTGGTACCTGGGGGTTGGCCAGGTGGTGGCTGATGGCCAGGACGATGAGGTCGGTTGCGCCGGCGTCGACGATGGCGTCCTTCACGTCGTCGTTCCCGGCCACGGCGCGGATGGCGCTGAGCACCTGCTTCACCACGTCCTGTGCCACCAAGGAAAACCAGTTTAGAACTGGAAAGAGAGCCAGAGCATCCCACCAGCAGCTCCATGCAAACAGGTGTGATTACCAGCTACAAGGGGCAAGGCTGCTCTCACTTATGGAGTTATAAGGAAACTTGAGTTTGCCAGAGGTTTTTAAAGCAGTTTAAAGAATCCAGCATCAGCCTCTGGGACGTGAGCATCCAAATCCTCTCCTCTAGCTAAAATGGTGGAGAACCAGACACTCAGCTGATCTGGGAGTGAGCAGAGTTCTGCTCGTGGAGCACAGAGGACAGAGGAGCAGCTGTGAGCAAAAGACTCACAAATCTTACCTGCAGAGCACATGTAGCCATATTCTACATATAAGGCTGTAAACAGGGAGCAGAGGTTGGGTTTCAACCCTAACTGCAGCTAAAATATTGCACGTTCCCTAAAATGAATCCTGTTCCTCAGAACAAAGAGCACGTCCTGCTGTGTTCCCCCCACTCCCAAAACACTTCACATCACTCACTGGGTGGTCCATGCAGTCAGCCAGCAGAGTCACCATGAAATTTAAGCCCCCAAGGTCCACAATCTCCTGGCAGAACTCATTCCTGACAGAGAGGCGAGAGAGGGTGGCACAGAGCTCACTGAGAACGCCGGAGTTGTCCGTGAACGCTGCAGAGGAGAGAAGATGGGAGGGAGTCACTATGAGCAGGGAATTAAGGTGGTTTACTTTGCTTCATTAAAAAACATAAAACAACAGGAAAGAGTGTTATTTCCCTTTATATATTAAAATAGGAGAGATGACACCTGCTCACTCTGTTTCTAGACAGAGTCAGAATGTCTTTTCTCGGCAAGAAGCACCTCAGCAGGGATAATGTGCCTGCAGAAAACCCGCTCTGGGCTGTAAAATACTTCCTAAACACGGTGACAAATAGCTCTGATAATGTGTCTGCTCCAGAGGTTATCAGCAGCACCGAGGGGGCACTTATTTTTCTCCCTCAGGGCCCATTTCCTCAATTGAATTAAACACCATTTTAGCAGCAAATCTCTGAAATCACCTCGGAGGAGCTGCGAGCGACAACAAAACTTGGAGTTTTGAGAGAGGAAAGGCTTAAACTCCAAGGCTTTAAGAGAAAAAAATCACAGAATGTGCAGCTGGAAGGGACCCACAGGGATCAGAGTCCAACTCAGGCCCTGCCCAGGAGCATCATCCAAACGCTCCTCAGCCTCGATGCTGTGACACCGCCCTGGGGGAGCCTCGTCCCAGCGCCCAAATCAGCACCAAGAGCAGCAGGTGGGGGGTTCATTCTTACCTTTGGCAGCTTCAATGAGGACCCTCAGCCCGTCGTTCTCCAGCACGATCATCTTGGCGTGGTCGTGGGCGTGGCCGAAGGGCACGCGGATGTCGTCGTCGAACGTCATGACCCGCAGGGCCGAGGCCGCCGTCCTGACCACGTCGGCGCTGTCCCCGTGCTGCACGATGGCCCCGGTGAGCAGGGGCAGGATCCCGCCCTTCACAAAGTCCTGCCTGTTCTGCTCGTGCTTCAGGCAGGCGTTCCGGACGCACCGGATCCCCGCCAGCGTCATCTCCGCGTCCTCCCGCCGCTCCCGCAGGCTCCGCAGCAGCAGCTCCTGCCCCGCCGCGTCCAGCAGGTCCGGCTGCCCGTCCAGCAGGGCACACAGGGTGGAGAAGGCTTGGAGAGTTAAATCCCTGTCTCCTGAGGCCAGCTGGCAGGCAGAGAACACCACGGGGTAGGCCCCGTTCTGGCCGGCCAGGTAGCGGAAGGCCAGCTGCTCCCGGCACTGCGCTGAGAAGCTCGCCAGCTGCTCCGGCAGCTCCGCCAGGTCCGCCTCAGCCACGGCTCTCCCCAGGGAATCCAGGGTCTGGGGGAGACACCAAGGGTTAGTTCTCCACGGGACCAGGCAGATCTGTTCATTCAGTCCTCAGTTTCAAGCTCAGCTTGCTGTCTCTAAGGTGGTCTCGAAGAGCAGCGCTTTGCCCTCGTGCAAAGAACCCCTGGAGGAACGGGGGTTCCCTGGGCTCCTGCCCCCACTGCCACACCACCACTGGGTACCAGTCTGACCACTGGCAGGTGAACTGGGTCCAACCAGCACATTCCAGCCCTGGAAGTGCCCAAGGCCAGGCTGGACGGGGCTTGGAGCAACCTGGGCTAAGTGGAAGGTGTCCCTGCCCACGGCAGGGAGTGAATCTGGATGAGCTTTAAGGTCTTTCCAACCCAAACCCTTCCATGATTTTATGATTTCCCAGGGGTCAGTGGAGAGTATTTTTATATCTGGGGGTATTTTTATACCCTTGCTGGTGAGGGACTGTGCTCAGCCTTTTCATCACCCTCAGAAGAGCCAGCTCACACCTACCAACCGAGTTACTTTTGTTTCTTTCACCTGAAGTTCTTCTGTGGTTCGAGTTCCCCTGGCCACAGCAGAATCTGCTCCTAAGTCATGACAGGCAGTTCCTGCACTCCCCAGGCAGGAAATGCTGGCATTTTGCACTTGGAATCCCAGAATGCACCCTTTCCATGGAGCTATTCCTCCTGCTGTCCAGCCTGACCTTCCCCTGGCACAGCCTGAGGCCGTTTCTTGTCCTGCCCCTTGTTCCCTGGGACCCCCCTCGGTACAGCCTCACTCACACAGGTATTTCCCTGCAAAGGGCAAGAAGCTCTTTGAATTTTTTACATTATTCCTACTGAACAAATCCCAGAACAAACGGGATTAACTTCTTGAAGAGCTCCCAGAGAAATGGGACGGGGGCAGAATCAGAGGGCACGTGCCATTAATTCTTGGCCTGCTACTTATATTGTCATATAATCTTGATTCTTGGGAGACAACAGCAATTTGTGCTCCTACCAGCAGGATCTGATGCTTTTGCCTCTGCCCATTCTCTGAGGCAGGCTGTCTCACAGCTTTCACAATATTGCTGAGGTCCACACCTAAAAGGGGGAATAAAACCAAGATTAACATTAGTGGCAGGCTAATGAGAGCAAAATGAACAGCATTATTTACAGTTATAGGTAAAATCTGCTAAGTTTACCACAGCGAGCTAAGATGAGCTTGTAAAAATCAATGCCCAGAGATGCTGAAATGTTAAATTCTGACTATAGTGGTTAAATCCACCCTGGAACAAAGGATGAGGGGAACAAAAAAAAAAAATAAAAAAAAAAAAGGAGCTTAATTTCCTTGACCAAATTTCACCCTCCAGTTTTTCCCTTCCAAGCAGTTTCCCAGTCATAATTACTGCATGAAACCAGGTCAGCTTTAACAGTGCCTCTGTTTCACCTCACAAAGGCTCCTTTCTAACAGTGGCTGGTCTGCCTTTGAGAGCAGGTTCCCCTTAAACCCTCACAGATGTAAAACCCTGTAAGGCCTTGAATGTCAAATACCTTGGGACTCGAACTGCTGCACAGCTTCTCTCACAGCCTCCTCCGGCTCCATCTCGAACTCGGTGATGTTTTCCTGCACTGCATCATCAAACGTCTCCTGGGCGATCTGCTTGGACCCCATTTTTCCCGGGAATGGGATAAACCCCCCCTCCGTGTCCTGCGGTGGAGAGAGAGCCCATAAAAAGCTTTTGGAGCCAAAACCATCCAGAAACAGCGCGAGTGACTCGGGGTTCTTCCCCTCGAAACAAAAGCGCGGAACCCCCCCCCCCCCCAAAAACCGCCCCGCCGAACGTACCACGGGTACACCGGCACGGTATTCTTGTATTCCACGGAGGGGAAAAAAAAACCGCAGCGACGAAGAAGAACGAGGAGGCGTTTCAGGGGGCCGGGCTGGGGATGCGCTGCGGTGTCACCGTGACACGGAGGGCCCCGAGCCCCGTTCCTCACACCTCTGTCCGTTTCCAGCCGCGGGGAGGGCCCGGAGAGCGGCGGGGGGTGCTGCGGCAGCCGCGGGAGGGCCCGGAGAGCGGCAGGGGTGCTGCGGCAGCCGCGGGGAGGGCCCGGAGAGCGGCGGGGGGTGCTGCGGCAGCCGCGGGGAGGGCCCGGAGAGCGGCGGGGGGTGCTGCGGCAGCCGCGGGGAGGGCCCGGAGAGCGGCGGGGTGCTGCGGCGGCAGCCGCGGGGCGCGGCCCCAGCCCCGGCTCCCTCACGACCCGCCCGCGCTCCCGCCGGACAAAAGGCGAGGGCGGCACGGCCCCGCTCGGCCGCCGTACGGGCCCCTCCCGCCCCTCCTCAGCGCACGCGCGGGGACCAAAACTCGCGCCGAGCCGCGCGAAAAAGAGCGCGGGGCGTGGCAGCGCGCATGCGCGGCGCCCTCCGTTCTTCTCCCACGCGTGGCCGGGGCGCCCCCGCGGGGCAGCGACAGAACCGGCCCCGCGCAGCCAGAGCGGGAGGCCGCGGTCCGCTCCCCCACCCCGCGCCCCGCTCCGCTTACCGGCACCGCGCCCGCGCTGTCGGAACCGCCCGGTACCCGCAGCGCTGCGCCCGCACCGCCCGCCTGCAGGGGAGGAGGCGGCGCCGCGCGGCGCAGGCGCGGAGGGAGGGGCGTGGCCGGTGCGCGGAGGGGGCGTGGCCAGAGGCGGGAGGGGGCGAGGTCAGGCTTATTATATTATCTAAAATATTATCTAAAATATTATCTATAATGTCATGTGTCTGTACTGTAGTATAGATTATACTATAATAATTAGATCATACTATACTATAGCATTATCAGTAATATTGTCATAGATTATCTATATTATTATCATTATTATGTTACCTATATATCATGTATCTAAACTAGAGTATAGATGATACTACAAAAATTAGACAATGCTACATTATAGTATTATTTATACCCTTATAGGTTATCTATATTATCTATATAGTTACTATATTATCTATATGATTATTATATTATCTACAGTATTCTATTATCTATATTATCACTAATATTCTATATTTATACCGTAGTATCGATGAGACTATAAGAATTAGATAATACTATACCATAGCATTACAGATAATACTATATCTATAGCCTACTATTACCTATAACCTTACTATAGTTTACCTATATTATTGTTCTTGTTATTATTATTACTGTTACTGTATTATCTATATTATCAGTAATATTCTATATTTATACCGTAGTATCGATGATGCTATAAGAATTGGATAATACTATACCATAGTATTACAGATACTACTATATCTATAGCCTACTATTACCTATAACCTTATTATAGTTTACCTATATTATTGTTCTTGTTCTTGCTATTATTATTACTGTTGCTAATTATAATTATCAATAAGGTTATATATCTTCATTATACTACAGATGACACCACAGAATCAAGCGATACCGTAACCACGTAAAACCCCCACCTCCGTGCGCCTCAGACGTCTTATTAAACAGCTGGTTTTTGGTGTGTGGGGTGGGGTTTTTTTATTATTTTTTTTTTTACCTTTCCACTCTAAAAAACGCCGCGCGGAGCGTTAACCGGATTGGGGGCCGCGCACGCGCAGTGCGGACCCTCCCCTTACCCCCCCCCCTCCTGGCTGAGGGCGGGCCGGGCCGGGGCTGCGGCTCCGCTGCTCGGGGCGGCTCCGCGGCTCGGGGCGGCTCCGCGGCGGCTCCTCGGGCGGCTCCGGCTCCTCCTCCTGCTGCTGCCGCGGACAGCGAGGGGCGGGCGGGCGGCCCTGAGGAGCGGCGGGCCCCGCTGCGGCCCGGCCGCGGGGTGTAAAATGGCCTCCCGGCGCATCCCCCGCGGGGCGCTGGGCCCCGCGCTGCGGGACAGGGCGAGGCGCTGCCGCGGGGACGCGGCCGGCGAGGCGAGCCAGCGCTTCAAAGGTGAGGGGGGGGCCCTTCAAATCCCTTTTTTTTTTTTCCACATCCATTTTTTTTAAAATTTTTTTTTCTAATTTTTTTTAATTTTTATTTTATTTTTTTTTTTATATGGCTGGCGACGCTTCGCAGAATTCCCAGGGGGAGGGAGGTGGAGGGAGGGAAAAAAAAAAAATAATAAATAATGGGGATTTCAGACAAAGGAGCTCCGTCCAGGGCAGTGGGTCCCGGTTTCGGGGACGTCGCCGCAGGATGGATGGATGGAATTCTGGTGATGGCTGATAAGTTAAACCAACGTAGGAAGGAGCCTTTGGGGCTTTGTGCCTCCCGTGTTATTTTCGGGGGAAGAGCCAAAGCATCGAAGCTCGTGAACGCACAGAAAACGAGCGATCTCCCAGTGATTCGGTCTTCTAAATTTAATGTATAAAATGGCCATAAAAATAACTCGGATCACGTTCACGGGAATGTGCGTTCATAGGAGGGTTTCGAAATGGGATCTGTTATTTTTAAAGTGAGCCCTGGAGAAATAATTTCTATTAAATGCATCTTATTTTTTTTTTTTTTCACCAAGCATTCTTTACTTTCTGCATTGAACTGCTGGAATTAGGGAATAGGGATCTTGGATACTTTTGAAGTCAGAAATACTGGGAATTGCTGCAGTGCTATTTTAGATAATTTTTGGATGAGTTTGGAGGAAATGTGAGCTTCTGTTCAACTGTGGAATTCCTCCACTCAGCCTGGGAATTCTGGGCTGGGTGACAAGGAGGGGATCAGTCACAGGTTGGACTTGGAGGTCTGGGAGGGCTTTTCCAACCTCAGTGATTCTGGGAAAGAGCAAATTCAGGAAAAACTCGGATATTTTTCCACCTGAGAAACCCCATCTTGAGCACAAAAACCCAGCATCTTGTGCCGAGAAAGCGCTGACCGAAAATAAAAAATAGGGGTTTATAGCAGAATTTGTGCTACGTTAAGTACGTAAGAAACCGAATGGGAGCATCCTAGAGTTAGACAGGTGTGTTTTCTCCGGTCATTTCCACATCCTGACTCCTTTCAGCCCGTGAATGTGCTCCTGGAAGGGGTTTTCTCAGCGCTACTGGCAGTGCATTGGTGTGTTCTCTTCCCCCAGGGCCCCCCCAGGCCCGCGCCGAGGCCGCGCTACGACGAGAGCTTCCCCGACGGCGGGAGGTACCCCCACGACAACCCCCAGCACCGCCACCCCCACGAGGAGTGGGGGGAAGACCCCCGGGAGGACTACCCGGGCCCTTCCTACAGGCCCGCCAGCCCCCTCCTGCGGAAGGACAACTATTACCACGAGCAGTTCGGCCGCCCCGCGCCCCACGAGCGGGAGTACGGGCGCCCACCTTCCCAGAACAGGGAGTACGGGCACCCAGCTTCCCAAAACCGGGAGTACGGGCACCCAGCTTCCCAAAACCGGGAGTACGGGCACCCAGCTTCCCAAAACCGGGAGTACGGACACCCGGCTTCCCACGAGAGGGATTACGGGGGCCTGGCCTCCCACGACCCTCAGGATTACGGCCCTCCTGACTCTTGGGAAGCTGCCGAACCCGACTTTAGCTCCACGGATATCCTGGGGGACTTCAGGTCGCCGGGGCTCGTGGACGAGGAGTTCGGCGGCGCGGAAGACCAGGAGTACGACGCGGAGTTCGGGGTTCAAGACAGCGAGTTCCGGCCCCCCATACGGAGGGGGGCCGTTGGCAGGGGGAGGATCCTGAGGGGAAAGCGGCTCACGAGGGGCGTGGTCAAAGCTAAGGTGTTCAAAGGAGAGGTCAAAACCCCCCTCAAGAAGTGGGACGTGAAGAAACCGCAGCCAGGCCTCGATCCGCAGGCTCCGGAGCAGCCCCTGGAAGCTGCCGAGCGACCCGGCCAGAGGCCGCTGCCCGTCCCAAAGCTGCCCCCACGACCTAACCAAAGGCCGGCCCTGGCAGCCCAGAGACCCATCCTCAGGCTCCCCAAGCCTGCCCACGTGTTCAGGAACCTCAACTTCGACCTGGTGGATAAATCAGACATTTTCTCCACCTTTGGGGTGGAGATTATCAAGTGGGCCGGGTTCCACGCCATCAAAAACGACGCCGAGTTCTCCCGGCTCTTCGGGGCTCTCTTCGAGCTGGAGACGGAAACCTGTGCGAAGATGCTGGCCTCCTTCAAGTGCTCCCTGAGGCCGGAGCACAGGGATTACTGCTTCTTCACCATCAAGAGCCTGCAGCACGCCGCCCTGAAAACCCCCAAGGTGGACAACGAGTTCCTCAACATGCTGCTGGACAAGGGCGCCGTGAAAACCAAGAACTGCTTCTTCGAGATCATCAAACCTTTCGACAAGTACATCATGAGGCTCCAGGACCGCCTCCTGAAGGGGGTCACCCCCCTGCTGATGGCCTGCAACGCCTACGAGCTGAGCGTTAAGACCAGCGGCTTCGGGAACCCCCGGGAGATGGCCGGCGCCTTCGAGACCACCGTGTCTCTCTGTCGGAAGTCGCTGGCTCTCCTGGGCCAGACCTTTGCCCTGGCGTCCGTTTTCAGGCAGGAGAAGATCCTGGAGGCCGTGGGGCTGCAGGAGATGGCCCCGGCCCCAACGCTCTTCCCCAACTTCGACGACTCCACCCTGTTCGGAAGGGAGTACATCGAGAACTTGAAGGCTTGGCTGGAGAAGAGCGGCTACCCCATCCAGATGAAGAGACCCGAGCCCGAGGCCGCAGAACAGCTCAAAGCAGCCTCTCCTGACACCAAAGGTAAAAGGGAGGGAACTGCTCTGCTGCTTTTTTTTGTGGTCAGGAATTGCTAATTGTGGGGATTCTGTGTAAATCCCCAGCAGCTGAGGCAGGGAGTGAATGCTCTCTGTTGCCTCCTCCCTCCCCTCTCGGGCACGTGCCGATACCTTAAATCCAGGATTTTCACCTCGTGCCCTTGGCTGCCCCTCCAGCCTCCCCACCTCGGGGCAGGGAGGCCAGGGCCAACCTGGAACTGGCTTCATTACAGGGCAAGTATTTGCATATATGCAAATTTGGAGGTGTTACCATCACCACTCTTATCAGATCCAGGTGTAATTTTTAAAAAAATGTTTATATCCTCTCATCCACAGGAACACTCACTCTCCACTGCATTAGGCCAGCGAGTTCCTCCTCCCTAAAACATTCCAGCTCATCATTCTACCCATCTGTTTGTTTTTTCCTAATTGAACTTCAGATCCTCTCTCAGGGGGGTCCTGCAGGGCTGGCACCGACTGACTGATCACTTGGAACGTGCCCCTTTCAGGGCGAGTGTGCAAATGAAATTATTTTATTTTGCACAAAATCCTTTTGGTGCAATAAGGAATGGCCTTTTTAAGGAGGGCTTAACTTGCCCAGGGCTATCATGCTTTTCATGATAAACTGGTGTGGAACCTCAGTTAAAAGTTTAGAGGTTTCCTTAATTTACTGTAGTTTTGGAAGGGTGCACTGGGAGGAGTGTGGTCACGGGTCAGGGAGGGGATCCTGCCCCTCCACTCGGCCCTGGGGAGGCCACATCTGGAGAGTTGGGTTCAGTTCTGGTCTCCACACCTCCAGAAGGACAAGGAGCTGCTGGAGAGGGTCCAGCAGAGGCCACAAAGATGATTTGGGGTTTGGAGCATCTCTGATGAGCAGAGAGTGGAGAAGGGAAGGTTGAGGGGTGATCCCATCAATCCATAAATATCTCCAGAGGGTGTCAGAGGATGGGGCCATAACTCTGCTCATGGTGCTCAGAGACAGGACAAGGAGTGATGGCCAGAAACTAAACCACAGCAAGTTCCAGCTCAACCTGACAAGAACTTCTGTGCATGGAAGTGGCATTGCTGCCCAGGGGAGGGTGTGGAGTCTCCTCTCTGTGGACATTCCAACCCCCCCTGGATGTGTCCCTGTGCCACCTCTCTGCCAGGTGACCCTGCCTGGGCAGGGGGATTGGACTGGGGCATCTCCAGAGCTCCCTTTCCAACCCCTCCTATCCTGGCATTCTGGGATGAAAGTGCAACCTGCTTTCTATGAACATGTTGAAAAACTGCAAATATCAGCGTGTCAAAGAATAAAAAACCCCACAACCTGTCCATACTCTGGTGACGAGAATAATCAATGACTGGCTTTGATGGTATTTTGTGTCTTCCCACAGTCCCACAACGAGCTGATAGGAAAGTTGTGGAGACAATTGAGCAGCTGGTGAAGAGCATCGTGTCAGGAACCTTGTCTGCCAAGGACAGGAGCGCTCAGAAGAACTGCCCTGAGTACTGGTGGGTGTGTTTGGACCGTGTGTTGTGATGCTCCCCCCTCCTGTGGAGATATTTGGGATAGGTTTAATTAGGCTCACTGTTTCCATGGGAGGCAGATCAAAGCCTATTGTCTGTTTAATCAGATTTTTTTGGGAGATGTTTCCTGAGCCAATTACGCTTGCTGGTATCCCTGGAAATGGGGCTGGTGCTCCCGTTGTGTGGAGCAGCTCACGTTTCCCTTTGATGTGTCAGTAACCACTGTCTTTGTCAATCCAAAGGCAAGGTGTTAAAAAAGCAAATTTGCATTTAGGAGGTGAAAAAAGTAAATAAGTGTGGCTGATGGAAACACCCAGGAAGGTAACAGGCTTAGGGGTTTGGTGTTCCACGAGTAACGTGGGAAAGGGAAAGCTGAGACACTTCCAAGCACGTTGATCTTTCCATATGACAGCATCTCCTCGAGTGTGAGCTGCACCAGGGCTGATTAATTACCACCCAAATGATTTGTGTCAAACCCCCTCCGTTCTTTATTCGCTTGGCACACTTTCCTCGCTGCTTTAGACGTGGAATTGGCTGTTCTTCCAAGAAAAACCCGCTCAGGCTCACTGCTGAGTTTCTGATGCTTTCAGCCCGGCTCTCATTCCGTTCCTGTGATTTTTAATTCAGGTTCCTGTCTGATGAGGACAGCCTGGAGTACAAATATTACAGACTGAAGCTGTCAGAGGCGCAGAGGAGGAAGGAGGAGGGGGGAGGGCAGGACCCCAGAAGAAGCCGCCACAGAGTCCATCAGGGCCCTGCTCTACGCCAGGAAAATTGCAAGCATTAAGAGAAGGCTGTTTAAGAGAAAAAGGCCTGGAGGGCTCCCCCAGCGTGGCACCCGAGGAAGGAAGGTGAGGAGAGCAACCATAGGGACACAGACTGTGCTTTCAGCTGGGACAGTGCTGAGGCACCAAGACAAACATCTTCCAGGTCCAGCCCAGCCCAAGGTGTCGGTGGCAGGATCCAGCCTGTCCCACAAGAACTCTCCCCTCGGCACCAGCTCGTCCCCACAGGGTGCCCCCAGCCCCGAGGGCTCTCTGCCACCAGAGGAAAGGGCAGACCCTGAGGATTTACCAGCACCACCAGAGCTTTTCCCGCCGTTGGCCTCTCAGTTTCCTGATGGTAAGTGAAGATTGGGGATCAGCTTTGGAACTATCAGTGATACGAGAAAACTGCCTCGAGTGTTCTGCTGATTTCTGATTTCTTTTGCTGGAGTTGATAGTTCTCGAGTGTTCTGACCTCCCAGCGGGGCAGGGCTCGCAGGAAGCTGACAGAACATTTGGTTTCTTGCAGTGGATGCCAAAACCATGGAAACTGCAGAGAAACTTGCCAAGTTTGTTGCTCAGGTAGGACCAGAAATCGAGCAGTTCAGCATAGACAACAGTGCAGATAACCCAGACCTCTGGTGAGTAACTGCACCTTTACCTGTGTCAGTGGGGCTGATCAGGAACCTCCAAATGCTCCCCTCTCCTGGAATTGTTTGCTGAGCTGTGTGTTTTTATCTGGTGTGTTTAGGAACAGAGGATTTGGGGCAATACTCCCTGTTGTCTGCAGCACCTCCGTTAATGGTGAATATCCCAAATACCCGAGAAGGGGAAACGCTCCCCCCAAATGCACATCCCTTTCTTTTGTACACTGAACAATCAGCTGGAATCTTGAAACAGTGCCCTGCCAGACCATTTTTTAAGATCATGCCACTGAGTTCTTCCCAGCACGGTTTGGGAAGTGCTGCTGAACGCCAGAATCGAGGAGAGTAATTGCTGTTTGTGGTACCTGCTGTCAGGGAACACCACACTTCTACACCTGGTCTCCCCAAAATTAACCCCAAAATTAACCAGAGATTGATTTCTAATGCCTTGCTTCACACCAGCTAAGAGAAGGTCTTTTTCTGATAGTCTTTTGACTGTTTTGGTGGTTGGTTTGTTTGTTTTTTCGCTCAGGTTTCTACAGGATCAAAACAGTTCTGCTTTCAAATTTTACCGAATGAAGGTCTATGAGTTGTGTCCCTCCATCAACTTCAGTGCTGTGTCTGAGGCAGCTGAGGCTGGGGAAGGTGCCAAAGCTGGAGAGAGGAATTTGGATCTTTCAGAAGAGGAAGAGGAGGAAGAGGAAGAAGAAGAGGAGGAGGAAGATAACGAGGAGGAAGCTGAGTTTGAGGAGGACATTTCCCAGCCCTTGGAAGAAACGGAGCAAGCAGAGGAGGGAGACGAGGAGGACGTGTCAGCAGGTAGAAGTGTGGAAAACCTAGATGAAGAGATGGTTTCCAAAACAGGAGAGGAAATGTCAGCAGGTGAAGTGCAGCTTTCCAGCTCCTCTGATGGTGCTGTACCAAATCTGTCGACACAGGCACCGACTCCTGCCCCCGGCACCCCCTTCCCTCGCAAAAGAATCAGCAGCAAGTCCCTGAAAGTTGGGATGATCCCTGCCTCTAAAAGGATCTGCCTCATAGAAGAACCAAAAGGTGGGTCTCGTTCAGCAGAGAGCTCGTAGACAGCAGTAAAGAACTCCTGGATTTCAGGTGCTGCTTTTGCTGGTCGAAAGAATTCGGGTACAGAAATGAAAACAACATTTTCACTCTAAGTGTCCATTAAACTGAATAAATCACGTGACAGTTCTTCTGCCACGGTGCAGCGCAGGGTTTGTATCAGCCATCATTCCTCAGATACTCTCTGAACATCTATTTAATGCCTTCTCTTCTTTTTTTATTCTGTTTTACTCTGATCTTTCCCATTGGTTGTGACTTTAAGTGTCAGGTTTTAGAGCTGAGATGTTTCTTTTTGGGTGGTCTTTTGGAGTCCTGCATCACAAAGGTTTCTCTTCACAACTGATGTGGGTTTTTTTGTCCTTGGTCTGCCTTGCAGTGCACGAGCCTGTCAGGATTGCTTATGACAGACCTCGGGGCTGCCCAGTGACAAAGAAGAAGAAGGTAAAGGACCCGTTTGCTTTGCAGCTGCACCCTGAGAATCAGCTCTTCTGACAAGAGGCAGCCCCAAAAACGTGCTCCCTGCCATGAAATCAAACCAAAACCTGCAGAACCCCGTCCTGGAGATGTCTGGACTAAACCTGAGGGGAGCTGTGACTCCTCCTAATAAACCTGTTGGGTTTAGGTTTGGAATACCTGTATCAAAATGAAACGTTTCGGTGAATAGCTGGGTGTTAAAAAACTACACTGTAAAGAAATGGGTGCTTTGCTGCCCGAAAAACAGGCTGCAATTTCCCCAGAATTGGTGAGAAGTTACTTGGCTGCTTCTGTGTTTGCAGCAGGGCTTCAGTCATCAGATCATTCAATATCTATCTATTTAAAAAAAACAGAAGTACTTTTTAAAATACAAAGGGCTACCATTTGCTGTCATCTTAACAATGCAGTTAAACAATTAGAGAACCTGAAATGGATATTTTTTTGAACTAGCAAGGCAGGTATTGCCCTTTGATTTTTTATTTTTTTTTTTCTGTGTAGCTACTGAAATGCTGCTGGGAAGCTATTTCTGTATATCCAGAAATTCAAACACACCCAGTTTGTGGTGGGGTGGGGGTGGATTTGAGGGGTGGTGGTTTTTTTTCTTTTTTTCATGATCTCCCTTGGATAACAACCCACCTTTTTGTTGTCCTGTTGTCTCTCCTCTCCATAGAAACCAAAAGATTTGGAGTTCTCCCACAAGAGGCTGACACACAGGAATGTGGGTTTCCAGATGCTGCAGAAGATGGGCTGGCAGGAGGGGCACGGCCTCGGCACACGAGGGAAAGGGATCAGAGAGCCTGTAAAAGTGTATGTAATGGGAACACAACACCCTCCAGAGCCTCTGGCAGCTCTGGAAAAGCCTGGGAGTGCTCACAGTAGCTTTGTCAGGGATTTTTTAACACGTGGGGGATCTCCTTGCTGCCACAGCAGGCCCAGTAGAGTGCAGATGGGATTTGGGAATGTCACACGTTGGTAGGTTTAGGCAGCTCATTTGTTGGCACTCTTAATTGTGTGGTTCATCCCACTGCAGGAGGAGAGAGGTAAGTGCACCTGCCACGAGGTAAGTGTGTCTTCTCCCTTTAAATTTTGGGGGTTTTTAATCTTCATTTTGTCATTTAAAGCCGCTGTCTCCAGTGCCCACTGCTGCCAGAGAATGGATAATATCTCCTCATGGATAATCCCTCCTTCCCTCCCCAGCTGAATAAGGAGCAGAATGTTTATTTCTCTCTGAACCCACATAATTTATTTCTCTCTGAACCCACACAAGCAACTTTCTGTCTGTGGTTTAACAAGTCTTTTTTTCTCCAGGCATTTTCTGTGCTCTCCTCGTGCCTTGGCCACTTAAATGGGTTATGAAATGATTTCATTCCAGCAGCCATAATTGTATTTCCATGTTTCCTCCTTCAGCAGGGAAAAGACAGTGAGGAAGCAGCTCATGCCACCTGTAGCTCAGCACTCTTAGAACCTTGGGGTTTTACCTCCCAAAACCTCTTGGGACCAAATACACGAGGAATATTTGTTGTTTTCTGTAGCTCCTGGCTACAAGTTTTGCAGCTCATTAATTGTGTGTGGTCTTGACAGCCCAGCACATTCTGTGATGTTCTGGCCACCTCTAATTTTGAGTGGGGGAAAATAGGGGTTTTCCAGCTTTCTTCTGGCAGGGGGGTTTGCATGTTGAAAGGGGAGGTGGGGATGTTCTAGATGATCTCTGCTCCCAGACCTCTGCTCCCCTTCTGCCCCAGGTGAAGCAGAATGACTTTCCCCTTGAGTTATGACTTGAATTTTGACTTTCCCCTTGAGTTATGACTTGAATTTTGACTTTCCCCCTGGAATTCTGACCTTCCCCTTGAGTTGTGTCTGGGTTGGAAGCTGTTGTTTTCTCTTTCTTCTGCTCGTTGTGCCATGTCCTGGGCTCAGAGTGTTCTAACTCTCCATTTTGCTCCCTAGGGGTGCTACCTCTGCAGGGGAGGGCTTGGGTGTTGCAGGGGAAGAAAATAAAGAAGATGCATTTGACGTTTTCCGTCAGAGAATGATACAAATGTACAGGCAGAAAAGAGCAAGTAAATAGGTAGGTGCTGTGGCCACGCCTGGGTAGTCATTGCTGCCAACATTAACTCCCAGGGCTGTTGAAACCCTCCCCTTCCAAGAAATCAGTGCTGTTCCCACGAGTGTAGCTGGCTTTTTTGGTTTTTTTTTTAACCTTTCACCAGAGTCCAGACCTCCAGTGAAGTGCTTTGAACTGCTGAATTACCCCAAATCTTGCTTTCTAGGTTTGACATAAGAGACTGGCTGGCTAAAAAAAGTGCCTGGAAATGCAAAGCTGCTGTGGGAAAGATCTTCAGCAGAGCAGGAAGAGCACTCTGGTCTCTAGTAGTGGACTCGAATGCTAATGTGTTAAAACATCCTCCAAGAGTCAAGTTAGTCTTGTGTTGTGCAAGCTACACTTGGGTGTCTCATCTTCTGAGGAAGAAACAGCTGGTTTGGGCTCAGAAGTGCCTGTTTTTACCTCTCTCTGTCTCTCTCTCTCTCTGTCTCTCTCTCTCTCTGGCCAAGTTTACCTGTTTTGGGATGAGATTCCTCACCAAAAAAAAAACCAAACCTGGAATAAGTGGCAGGAGAACCCTGAGGGACCTGCTTTGGTCCTGGTCCTTTCTGAAATCAAGAACCTGCCCAGATCCAGATCCTTTTGCTGGGCAGTTCAGATTTTGTGACCCTGCATTTTGCTGGGGGGGTCCACCTTCCCACCCACTTCTGCACAGAGCAGCTTCCTTTCCTCCCCACGCCAGTTTTAAGAAGAGCCTCCACCTGTGGGTTTATTTTGGGGTGGGAATCCAGACTTTTGAGTGCAGGGTGAGCAGCTGAGGCTCCTCCAAGTCTGACACCACCAAACCCTTCCTTGGGAACCTCGGCTGGGAAGAGGTTTCTCATTCCAGTGAACAAGCTGTGCAGTTTTTTAAGTGTACTTTTTATTTTGACACCAATTTGGCAGCTCTCCCCCAGTTTCTTCTCCTCCTCCAAGGAGTTGTAAGTCATGAGCAGGTGCAGTTCACGTGCCTGCAGGAAATACTGAAGGAAACACTTGGAAGTGGATCATCAGTTTTATAAGACCACCAGTTCAGAGAGTAATTTCTCTTAAGCATTTTCCTGGCACAAGTTCTTTGATTGAAGAACCCCAAGACAAAGAAAAACTTGTACTTTTAAGGGACTTTTCCAGAATTTACTGAAAGAGAAGACTGGATTAATGAACAAAACCTGGAAGATTTAACAGTGTTACCAAAAACAACCCTCTGAGGTCTGATCCTTCATCTTTTCCCTGACTTGCACACCACTGAGGCATTCCTGAGAGGGACAGAATTTAACCTGTCTTAAAAACCAGCCCCAGGTGTTCACTGGAGTGTTACAGTGCCCAGAGCCTGCTCCACTCTCCCAAAGAGCTGCTCCTGAGCTGGCCAGCAGCGAGTCCTGGTGTTCCCATCCTTGCAGAGCTTGTGGCAAAACCACTGGCAGCACCCAGGGGGGTGTGGCAGCATCTCCAGCTCCTGGCAGTGTGTTCTTTGCTCACCAACTTGCCTGTGTCTGCTGTTTAAAGACCCTTTTTCTGCTCTTCCTCCACCAAAACCTGGAGTTGTCTCCATGTCCAGTCCCCAGCAGCAAATTCTCCTTGCCTGGTACCAAGCACTGTTGTTTTATCAGTGCAAGTTGAGTTTTATATTTTGGTTTTTTTCCCCTTTTACTGACTTTGGAACCAAAAGGAACAAGATCATGGCGTTGTGTGCAATTTTCTGCTCCCTCAGTTTTAGTTGCCCTGAAGCCCCAAATCACTGAAGGACCCCACAGGGAAACCCACTGGTGGTTCTGGTTTTGCCATGAGCATCACATGAATCTTCACCTCCAACAGTGCAAGCAGCTGGAGCACAGAGGCCATAAATCCAAATAAGTTTGTCTGGTTGTCAGACTCGAGGGCATCTGAGAGCCCAGACGTTTCTTACAGGCTGGTTGTGGACCTCCTGAGGTCCCTCCTGCTGGGAGAATCCTCAGTGCCAGCGTTTGGCAGTGGATGCTGAGCTGTTTAACTCCTGTCTGGGTGTGGTTTTCACTGCCCCTCTCCCCTTCCTTTCCTGGGCCTAATCAGTGTAAAACTTCAGCCAGTCTGGCTTAGAACAACTGGACCCAGCACTGTTGGCCTCTGATTTTATTGCTCAGCCCCACCCCAGAGGGTTCACAGCTTTCCTCTTAGCCCAGGGACGAACCTGCCGGGGTTGCTGCCCCTGGTTTTGAATCCCCTGCACGATTCCAGTTCACCTCTTCTTTCCCATTTACATTTTGGAAAGATTTCTTTGCTATATTACGTGTCCCACACCCCCCCCTGCTCCCCCCCTCCTCCTTTTGGCTTTGACCTGCCTTTTGCAGGCAGCTTTGAGGAAGTTTGTAGGTGCTTTTGTTAGGTGTGAAACGTTTGTGATGCAGACGCTTTGCCTCGCTGGAGGTTTTTACAAGCTTCTTTTTCTGTTATTTTAGTTCCAGGCTCTCTTCCATGAAGACTGCAAGCTTCAGTGAACATTTTAACTAACTTCAGTGGTGTGTCTGCTGTCTTTTGGTTGGGTTTTGCCATTAATCCTGTAGAGAATTTGCTCGTTTCTGTCCCGTGCAGATGCAGCAGTGCTAAGCCAGTGGCAATGCTTATGTTCTGGATAACTGACATTTCCCTGTAGTGTAAGTAAAAAAAAAAAACCCAAAAAACAAACCCTGTTAGCATTGTTAACCTTTTAATAGCTGCAATAAATGTAGAACTTAACACAACCTCTGGGTTTAAATGTTTTCTTTGCTTGTGAATTTGGCCATTTGGGAGAGATATGCATCCTTCTGGCACTTCAACCAGTGCAGCTGGGGCCGTGTCCCAGCAGTGTGAAGGCAGGATTTTTGGGAAGGTGCCTCTGTTCTGTGCTGCTAAATGTCTCTTAACCTTGAGAGAACCCACTAAATCACTTCTCAGTTCCTTTCTCACGTGGCTTTTGGTGCATTGAATCCGTCCCCACAGCCTCGCTGTCCACAGCTGGAATGCCAGAGTTTCCCAGGAATTAACCCTCTCTCTCGATTTTCTTGCTGTGCTGGCTTGAAAACAGCAGCAGGCTTTCCCTTGCCATACCTCTGGGGTTTTTACTGTGGCCTTTCAATCCAAAAATTCCTTTTTTTTCTTTTTTTAAGGCAGGAGGGGAGGGGGAAAACTGCAGAGAACTGCAATTTTTAAACCTCGTGCAGCCACTCGTCCCCAGGGTGGAGGGACAGTCCCTGGGCGAGTCCAAGCCCTGGCTACACCTTTTTCCCTCCTTTTCCTTCAAAAATTTAGGATATTTGAGGACCTGGTCAAGAGGGAAGGCCATTTGCTCTCCTTGGAGAGAAATGAGGAGATCCCCATTTTGGGGGAGGTGCCCTAAAACTACAGCCAGTGATTCAGTGTTTGGACTAATTGTGTTGGACTCGTGGAGATGGTGTTATTTTTTTTTGCCCTCAGAGCTTTTCCTTGGTGTGACCCAGTGACATTTTTCCTATTTATTTTTTGGTGTGTTTTTTTTTTTTTATTTTAGAACCATCCTTGGTGTGAACACCTCATCTGCTCTCAGATGGTGTTTTCTCCCAAATCAGTGTTTATTTTTAATGTTGACATCCCGCTCTGCTCGGGTCTGGACTCAGAAATTCAAAGTATTATCCTTTTGGGTTGTTTTCTACCCCTACAGCAGGTCTATTTTCTAATTAAAAAACAAAAGCCTGGAAGTCCTGCATCACCTGGAGTTGTGCATATCTCGTGACTGAGTGGCCAATCACAACCAGACTGTAGATTTGAGCAATAATAAACACCTGCAGTGAGAACGTGCTCAAAGAACAACGGGGTCCTTCTGAAATAAAGAGGTTTTATTTTTGGGGGGGTTTTTTTTGTGTGTGTGAACCTTGTTAAGTAGGAGACTTGCTGGAAGTGCAGCGGGTGTGGAAACTGTTTGCGTTGTGTGTGGGCAATAAAGTTCTGCTGTTGAAGGAATCCCTGCACGTGGTGTGTTCTCTCCAGCCTCAGAGAATCCCGGGATGGGTTGGGGTGGGTTGGGAAGGACCTTGAGGGTCGTGGAGTTCCAACCTGGGCAGGGACACCTCCCACCAGCCTGGATTGTTCCAGCCTGGCCTTGGGCACTCCAGGGATGGGGCAGCCACGGCTGCTCTGGGAAATCCATCCCAGGGCCTCCCTCCCAGCGAAGGATTCCTTCCCAGTGTCCCATCTATCCCGACTATCCCTGCCCTCTGGCAGTGGGAAGCTGTTCCCCCTTGTCCTGTCCCTCCAGGCCCTCGTCCATCTGTGCCTTGGGGACTGGGACTGTATCTTGGGGACTGGGACCATGCTGGGGGACCAGATCCATTCCCTGGGTTCCATGAGTATTCCCTGTGTTCCCTGTCCATTCCCTGTGTTCCCTGTCCCTTCCCTGGTGTCACACACTGAGGGATCGGTCTGAGGGGACACCCCCTGTTTGGGAGAACCCTTAATGGCAACAACCAACCTTTAAAGTTTTGTCCCTCCCTTTGTGTTTGGCAGGCAGGTGTCAGCCCTGGAGCTGTGCAGTTTGTTAGAGATCCCCCCCTAACGGAGGATTCCAGAAATCCAGCTGGGATCCGGCTGCAGGGAGGCTCCAACCACGCCAGGATCGCGGCAGAGTCGCTCGATTAACAAACACACCCATGGCCTGTCTCTGGGAACAGGTGATGCTTTAATTTTAGGAAAACATACTCTGCATTTTTATGTCTTTTGTTCCACAGTTGTTTTTCCCTGAGACTTAAAAAAAAAAAAAAAAAAAAGAAAAACCTGAAAGGATTCTTCAGCTCTGTTTGAAGTTTCATGTTCAGAAGTCGCCTTTAAGAATTGTCAGCAGATCCTGTGGCTGTTACTGCCACAGAAATTAAGGATCATGGAGTGGGAGATGAGGATTTCCAAGCCCCACCTCCTGAGGAGGCAGCAACCAGAAACCTGTGGACAGAGAGGACCTTGATTTAAGGCTGGATTTGCTCTTCTCCTCTTTTTCTTCTTGGTTTGGAGCTTCTAAAAGGGCCTAAAAGAGCACAGAAACCAGCTCAAAAAACCCCCACAGAACAGCTGGTGTGGGAATCCAGCCCTGGTGAGAAATCAGCCACCCAAATACACCCGGTTCGCGTTCCCAGATCAATCCTGCGTGTCAGTTTGGGTGGGAGTCCCACACCCCCAGTGGAAGCTGCACAAACAAAGTTACCCCTTCCTGCTTTTAAAACACAAAATCCCTTCTCCAGGTCCCCTTTTCCACAGGACAGAACCAGCGGAACGAATTTCTTACCAAAACGGGCACTGATCCACTTTTATGTAACGCTGGGGTTGCCCAATTACAGAAATTAATCCTTCAGCAGCTAATAATACTTAGCACTCGGTGCTTTCACCTTCAGCCTCGCTGCTTAATCTACGAATAGCAACTAATTAAGTCTCCCGGTGCCCCCCGGGGCTGCTGCTCTCCTCGTTTTACACGGGAGGTTAAATTACTTGTCACTGGCCGTGGCAGGATCGGTGTCAGAGCTGCTGCTTTGTTAGAAGCTCCTGAGTCATCTCCCTGTGTTTTCTCTTCCTCTGTTTTCTCCTCCTTTCCCTTTATTTAGGCTTCACACACACACACATTTCTTTTCCTTTTAAATGTGTTTTTTTCTGCAGTGCATCTTCCTCTGTCCAGAGCTGTTTGGAATCAGCTCAAAAAGCTTCCTCCTTGCTTAGGATTTACTCCCGAGGTGTGGCCAGAACTTGGACATTGCAGCTCCCTCTGCTAAAGGCCCTTGAAAATTGAGCTTTTTTTTTTTTTTTTTTCCCAAGACACTCTTTTCCCGAGTTTCCCTTTTCTTGCTGGGAAAACACCAGGAATTCCTGATCCTGAAAACCCCTGGACAACCAGGCTGTGCTGCCTCACTCTGCCTTCTGGCCAGATGTGGGTAAACTGCAGGGCTGATGCTCTTCCAGGCACAGACAGCTCCCTTTTCTCCAGTTTTCACTGGGAAAATGGAAGGAGAAAACCTGCTTGGGAGGGGGTTCTCCCACGTGGAAGTCTGTCCCAGCTGTAGCAAGACACCTGCTTCCAAGGGGAACGGGAATGCTTGGGAATGAAGGTGATGTAGATCCCTGGGATGGGAAGGAGGAGCAGAGAAGCAGCTGCTCAGGGTTTTGTCTCCCTTTAAAACATAAATGAACGAAGATCCCTTCACGAAAGTCACAGAATCATGGAATTATTTAGGTTGGAAAAGACCTCCGAGACCACCAAGTCCAACCTTTGAAGAGATCACAGATCTCTTCCAAGGTGCCTTTTTCTCCCAGGATCAAATTATCCTTCTGCTCCTCTCCACAACCTCAGGTTCTTGGTGTGTTGTGTGAAAACACCACAGAAGGAAGGTGAGGAGTCTGCCTTGATCCTTGTGGGTCCCTTCCAGCTGAGGATATTCCAGGATTCCCTGATTCTCAGGGCGGGAGGGAAGCGCGGATGGCACCTAAAACCCCATCCCAGAGAATCCCCCCCCCCAGGCTGCCAGCCTCGGGCTCGAGTTCTCAGCTCCTGCTGATCTAATTGCCCCAATTTCACAGTGTCAAGTAATTACCTTCCAGGAGAAGTCGGAGCCGAGCTGGGCGAGCGGGTCGATGGGAAAGACACCGCGCCCTAATTCCTTCCAGCGGGGTTTTGGTGCAGTTTGAGTTCCTTTCTGTCCTTGGTGGCCAAGCAAGGACGCCAGGAGGACACGGGGCACGGGAGGGCTGCTGGCCCCAGAGCTGCTGGTTTGCTGCCAGCCCTGCACAGCCCCCCACCTGCACCCTGCCAGGGCCTTTGCCAAGCCTGGCCCCCCTTCCCGCGGCTTCCCCCTGGGTCCCGTCGTGCCGGTGCCAGCGATCCTCTGTGCTGGCATCTGCCGTGGCTGCCTCCCCCAGCGCTCGGGATGCACCCTGATGTCACGCCTGGTGACCCCAAACACGGGGACAGCAGCAGTGGTGGGGACACCGAGGACAGGGAGTTACACCTGGCTCAGCCAAGAGCACCTTGGATCCAGTTCCTTTCTGCCACAAGATTTTGTGGTTGTGACCGAGTCACTCCGTGTCCTCTGAGGAACACATGAAGTGCTTTCATTCCCTCACTGCAAAGTGTGTGCTCTTCTCTCTGCTGGCTCTTCCACGAGCCCTCTCCTGGGGTTTGGCACCCTGGAGGTGTGGGCATGGGGCCTGGGAAAAGGGTTCTGGGGGGCAGAGGGCTCCAAGGGGGACAGAGGGCTCCAGGAGACAGAAGGTTCTAGGGTTTAGAGGGTTCCAGGGGACAGAGGGTTCCAGGAGACAGAGGGTTCACTCCTGCCCAGTGATCGCACCCAAGGGTGGCATCAGAGACACCCCATGAGGGGCCAGTGATCCCCTCCCCTTCCAAGCCCTTGCAGCCTCCCCTTTCCCGGGGCATTTTCCCATTTCCTAACAACGTGCTCGTGGTTTGCACCAACTTTCCACTCACACACAAATGGCTTCTCTGGGGACGGAACAACAAAGAGCCCTGATGTCTGTGATGTCTCTGATATCTGTGATGTCCCTGATATCTGTGCTATCCACGATGGAAGGGTCTGGGCTAAGCCCAAAGGACGCAATTTCCAGAATCCCAAGATGGCTTGGGCTGGACAGACCTTAAAGATTATGTCATTCCACCCCCCTGCCGTGGGCAGGGACACCTTCCACTTAGCCCAGGCTGCTCCAACCTGGCCCTGGACACTCCCGGGGATGATGGGGCAGCCACAGCTGCTCTGGGCAACCTGCGCCAGGGAGGAACCCCTTCCCAACATCCCCAACATCCCCTATCCCATCCACGCCTCCTCCCTCCGGCAGTGGGAAGCCGTAATTCCCCGTGTCCCGCGTGGCCGCGGAGCCCCCCGGAGCCCCCCGGAGCCGCGCTGGGCCCCGCCGTGCCCGGCAGGTGGAGCAGCCGAGCCGGCCCCGGGAATAAAGTCGGGAGAAGGAGCGGGGGAAAACGCGAGCGGGATGGGGCGGCCGGCGCGGGGAGGGAGCGCGTAGGGGCGGCAGCGGCGAGAGAACAAAGAGCTCGGGGCTGCTGCGCCCACACGCGACTCGCGGGGAGACGCCTCGCCTGGAGAAGGGCTTGGCGAGGCACCACCTCATCCCGCCGCTCCCTCCCTGCCTGCCTTCCCTCCCATGCTGGAGGCGAGGAGGGCTCCTGGGAGCGCGGAGCCGCGGGAGAAGCCGCGGGAGAAGCGCCGGGGTGCGCGGGGGGTCCCGCCGGCCCTGCCCGCCCCGCGCCCCGCACGCTCCGCTCCCCCCCGCAACCCCCGCAGCGCCCGGTGAGATTCCGCAGGAAATTTAAAGAGCATCCGGATCCGGAGAAAAGACAGAAAGAAAGAGGAAGGGAGAAAGAAACCCGAAACGCGCGGAGAGAGGGAGGGAGAGAAGAAGAGCGAGCCCCGCGGGGCGGCTGGAGGAGGGAGGACGGGAGAGACGCGACGCCCGCCGGGGATGGGGTGAGAGCGGCGCTTCCTTCGTTCTTCGGGGCTTTGCTTTTTCGGTGGTCATGGCCGCTGAGCTGCTTTTTAAGGCAGCGGCGAGAGAAATCGGAGGTTTAAATGGCATTTTCCCCACTCCCTCCCCCCCACGCTGCGGGCTTTAAAGTTTAGGGGTTTATTTTATGGGTTAGAAAAGTCGGGGGGGGGGGTTGCGAGTCGCTGCAACTTCTTTAAATAAACTCGTGTGGAAGGGGAGGCTCCGCTGATCCGCGTGTTGTGCGGAATCCAAACTGGGAGGGCTGGAGCCGGGCTGTGTTCTCAAACTTTCCCAGAAGTTAAAAAAAAGGAGGGATTTTGTTCGGTGGTTGTGACTTTGGCATTCGGTAACGTGGGTCCTGTTTGCGTTTCTGGCTGGATAAACAGCTGCTGGAAAACTCCCCCTGATGATTTAGTTTGTGATCTCCCCCTCCCCTCAGATTTTTTTCCAAGAGTGAGATAATGCTGCGGGGATGTGGCAGCGGGTTTTGGCATGGAAATAGGAGCTTGGGCTGGTGTTTAATTTATGTCCTGGTTGAGAGCCTCAATCACGGGACTTTTAGGACCTGACCACGCTGTGAGTTCCTGGTGCAGTGAAGTCTCCGGGCTCTTTGAAAGCCCGGTGGATCTTTAGGAATCCTGCCCGATGATTCCTTCCAAACGTGGGGTTTGGCAGCGCAGGAGAAACAAATATGAAATAACGTTCTCAGGGACTTGTTTTCCTCTCGTCGGTTTTCCTCTGGGAATTTTATCCCCTCCCTCTCCCCCAGATGAAACGATCGAACAGTCAAAACGCTGATTTAAGGAGCAGGAAAGGTAGAAAGTGAGGAATCAAAAGTGACAGTAGCGTGAGTCTGGCAGAAATCCTTTGAAGCTGGCAGAGTATGTGCTGATCCAGGTTAAATCACAGTGTCCCTATTTTCCTGAGACTTTTTCCTGTGATCTGCAGAGTTACTGTAAAACTTCTAGAACTGCCAGGGAGGGTTTAACAAGCCCGAGAGTTTGGAAGCAGCACTTTAAAGCTGGAGTTTGTGGCTGAATCCTTCTTGGATCTCCTGCAGGCACACCCAGCAAAGCCCTGGGATTTCTTTAGAGGGTTTCCAGCTCCCATGGAAAATGCTGGGATGCACCACCTCTGTCTGCTTTAGGCATCACTGTGTAATTATGGCATTTCCATCCAAATTCTCCCTCAGCTCTGGGGATAAGAGCGTGGCTTTGCCTGTGTGTTGGTCACACGGGGACAACCCAGCAGCTTCCAGCAGCATTTCCATGGCTCTGGATCCTGCCTGACTCCCAGCTCCCGTCCAGGCAGCTGATTTGAGTTCACTCCCTTTTTTTTAAAGCAGGGATTCTGCTTTCCCTTCCTCCACGTGAGGGTTCTGGGTGCCCTCGTGTTCTGGGTGGGCTCTCCACGGACTCATCCGCACCCACCCGCTACGGGTGTGGGTGCTCTGGCACTTCCTCCCCTGAAAGAGGCAGCTGGGAATCACACCCGACCCGGAGGGGAGTGAATTTGGTTCCATCCAGCCTGGAAGTGCTGTGGATGTGCAGGGAGCATTCCCAAATGTTCCTGTGCCTCCACGTTCTCTGGTTCTCATTACCACAGGACACGTTTCCTGGGGTGTGTTAAGAGTTGCTGAGCTCCACTCTGGCTCTGCTGGGTATTTTGTTGTTTGTTTGTTTGTTTGGTTTTTTTTTTTTTAACTTTTAATTGCTGCACAGACTTCCAGCAGTGCTCTGTGTGCCTCAGAAGAGCTGCTGCAGCTCGGTGGCAGCAGTACCAGTTGTCCCAGGCAGGTGAATGCCCAGATTGTGCTGGAGACACCCAGGAGCGGCCAAGATGCTCCATAGGTGGGGGACTGGCTTCCTAAGGAAAAAAAATCCCTCTCAGCTGCGTTGTGCCTTTAAATGACCTTGATCCCCCTGTGTGTGTGTGTGTTTGTGCCTGACCTTGCCTGTCGCTGTTCCCTGAGCTGATCCAGCAGGAACACGCTCTGCCAGGGCCCCCTTTATCTGCACGCAGCTGCTTTCCCTCCCCGTGCTGAGCCCTGCGGGGTGATCCTCCTGTTCCTGGAGCTGCAGCTCCCGCACCTCCCCTGCACGGCTCCCTCCATCCCTTCTGGACACTGGGAAGAAGCATCCCTGCTCTTTTTTTCCCCCGAGGTCACAGCGGGCAGCAGCGTGGAATGAGGGCGGAGCTGCAGCGAAGAGGGGACTTGAAAACCTTCCCGGTCTTTAGGGCAAAAGGGCTGGGAATCCTCCCTCCCGAACTTTGCTCCCGGGGACAGTTCTGCACTTTGAGCAGCGTGCCCAGATCCGAATCCCAGACATCCCGAGCTGGAAGGGGCCCACAAGGATCATCAGAGTCCGGGTCCTGGCCCTGCACATTTTAGCCCGCAGTTCCCCAAACAGCCCTGCCAGACAGACAGCAGCTTCTCAAGCTGCTGAGGGGAGATAAAAGGAACAACAAGGACAGACAGCCCTGCAGGAGGAGGAGGAGGAGTTGGGTTCTCAGGCCCTCTCTGTGCACCAGTTGTGCCTTTGGGAACAGTGAGCTCTGTGTGTCTCAGTGTCCCCCCCGACCCCCCAGGACCAACCCCTCCCTCGGGCTGCCCTGGGCGGTGCTGGGGGGGATGGTTCTCCCAGGGATTGCTGGATTTCCGCAGGGAGAGCCTGGTCCTGCCGGGTTCAGGGAGGCTCAGCTGACTCAGCGTGGCCCCGGGACGGCTGCCAGGGCTGAGCCACGTTTGGGTGGCACTCACACATCTCCCAGCCCTGCTCTGTGCCAGCACCAGCTGCCCCGGGAACACCCCCCAGGGACAGCAGGACTTTGGGGGAGATGGTGCTGAGGGCTGTGGAGCTCCCACCGCAGCAGCTGGGAGATCCCAGAGCCACTGAGGGTGGAAAAGCCCTCCAAAATCATCCAATCCAAGCTCCATCCCCACCTCATCCCCCAGCCCCAGAGCACTGAGTGCCATGGCCAGGCCTTCCTTGGACACCTCCAGGGGTGGGGACTCCAAACCTCCCTGGGCAGAAGGTTCACAGGTGCCTGCACTCTGCAGGTGCCACCCCCAAAACCCTCCTTGTCCCGGGGCTGGGAACTGCTCTGATCCCCCCCCAAAACCCAGGGATTCTGCTGGGGAGGTTCTTTGTGATGGATTGTGAGGCATTTTTGGGGTTTTCAGAGGGGGAGGCACCACGGGCTGCCAGCGGGCAGAGCAGAGGGTTTGAGGTGATTGTCAGTGCAGAGAGGCTCCTTTCCCTGACAGGGAAATGAATGTCCCTGCAAAGAGAAGCTGCAGAGACTGAGAGGAGGTGCAGGCTGGGGAACAGCACGTGGACTTTCCAGAGATGCCCTTGACTGAACCCCATCCAGGAGCACCAAGGCAGACGCAGCTAATGAGGACCAAGTTCGGCCTCCCCAGCACGTTCCAGCTGCTGCCTGGAGTAGTAAAAGACTCTGTCCTGGTTCTGTTCACCATTTGTGCCACTTGGAGTGCTTTGAACTTGGCCTCACCTACCGAATCTCCCTCAAAACTTGCGCCTGGGTTTGAATCCTGTTCCATCATCGCACACCCCGCTTGGGAACTGAAAACAGGGCAGAAACTTCCACGTGAATTCGGGGAGTGGTGGCTCTAAAAGCGTCACCTCTGCTCAGCAAACACCAGGATGCTTCTCCCTGGTCCTGCAGCAAAGGGTGGGGGCAGGTGGGAGCAGGATGGAGTTCAGTTGTCTCAGCGGGCTGAGAGGAGAGAATTCCCGAGAACACACCTGGATCTCAGTGGGAAAACCTCCCAGGCTGCCCAGAAAAGCGGAGGACAGGGACAAAGCCCAAGTCAAAGGGCAGTCAGAAGGAGACCCCCCCTTCCCAACACCTGGAGCAGGAGCTGTTGAGCAAAGGTGGGGGCATCCAGAGCCATCCGTGCCCAGGCTGGGCTCAGCCCTCTCCAGGCTCTGGCACCTCCCGTGCCCCCTCTGGGCAAAAACGTGGTGACTGAACTGGTGCCATCTGTCCCTCCTTGGCACAGGGGCCTGGCCCTGCCTCAGCGTGTCCCGACCTGGCCAGATCCCTCACCCGGCCCGGCCCCCTCAGCTCCGCTGAGGCCGTAAATTAAGAGGACAAATAACGATCTGCTCTCCTGGCAGTGGTGAAATGAGCAGCTATTCATGAAGAAATCAATTTCTGGAGGCTGCAGAGAGGGGAAATAGTATAAGAAGCACGGTGGAAATGAGACCAGTGTGCAGTTCTGCATCCTCCCCTAAATGACCACCGAGTCAGCCACTGGGAAGCGACTGATCCATACCCTCTGCATCCACGTGTCCTCCCCAAAAACCCCTCTGTGACCTTCTTCCAGCTTCCCTGCAAGGAGACACCACGAGAGGAGGCACCTGGGCCTTTGCTCAGGCAGCATCCTGGAGCCAGGTGCTTTGCTGATGTGTGGGAATGGGGGAACCAGTCAAATCATCTCCCTTTTTTTCCTTTTCAGCTGCTTGGCTTCGCTGCTGCTGGAGTTTTCAGGGCTATCCACCCGGGACGAGTCATTTTTAAGCTCTCAGGGGCCGTGGGATATTGAATTTTGCCCTTCCCCCCCTCCCCCTGTGCTGGCAGGGATGAGAGACCTGGACCCTTTCCAGTTGCCATCAGGCACTCGCTGAGCTCTGTCTGTGTCTCAGCCAGATCTTTGTCCTTTCAGCCGTTTGCTTTTGGTTTTCCCTTAATTATCTGCGAAGGACAGCCCTGGGGGGATGTAAGTGGTTTTATTTACACGCGGCCTTTTCGCCGCCGGGGGCTGGGTATTGTTGTGGGGACTCCCAGCTGGGAGCAGGAAAAGAGGAGTCAGCATTTCGGGCTGTTGGGAGGGTTGTAACGGGAGAGAGAACATGACAGCTCCAATCGCAGGCACTTCCAGGGCTATTTTTAAATGCCTTTTTCTTTTTTTTTTTGTAGCTTTTAAATGCTTTTGTTTTTTTTTTTGGGAGGGCAGGATGCAGAGGAGGGGGTGCTCCTCGTGCTGACAGGTCTGGCTGTCACCTCCTGTGGTGTCCCCGTGCTGGGCACCCCTCCGTGTCCCTCTGTCCCTCCCTGGCTCTGGCGAACCCTGCCCGTGGTTCTTTGCTGCTGAAGTGCCAGAGAGGAGGGTTAGGTGAGATATTGGGAAGGAATTCCTGCCTGGGAGGGTGGGCAGGCCCTGGCACAGGTTGCCCAGAGAAGCTGTGGCTGCCCCATCCCTGGAAGTGTCCAGGTTGGAGCAATCTGGGCTGGTGGAAGGTGTGGAAGGGGGGGTGGAACGGGATGATCTTCGAGGTCCCTTCCCACCCAAACCACTCTGGAATTCTAAAATCCTCACATTTCCCGAACCAGCTGTGACTTCTCCCAGTCGAGCCCCGGGGTTTTCAGCTCTCCCTGCTTTTCTTCTCTCCTGGTTCGCGTTGCTGCTGCTGTTTTCTGTCTGCCTGGGGTTTGCTGTGCTCCACCACTCCCATTCCGAGGGAGCTTTTGTTCTGGAGCCTCTGCCTTAACCTTGTCAGACGGGCGAGGACTGAACGGCAGGTTTGCAGAACAGGATCCCGCACAAAGGAATTCTTGTACGAGCTGGAGACGATTTGTATCCTTTGATGGATTCAAAAAAAAAAAAAAAAAAAAGAAACCGAAAAAAACAACCAAACAAAGACTTTCACAGAATCACAGAACGGTTTGGGTTGGGAGGGCCTTAAAGATCGTCTCGTTCCAAGCCCCTGCCAGGGGATTCCTGGATTCTGTGGCTCTGGGTGCAGCCAGATGGGCAGGGAGCACAGGAATGGGATCCAGGTACAGCCCCTAGGGATGGGCAGTGAGCACAGGAATAGCTGCCCTGCACGAGGGCTGATCTCTGAGGGTTTTTTCCTGCAGCAGCACCACAGGATTCCATGACTGGAATCACTGGAGCCTCCCAGGCTCCCCCATGGCCTTCTCCCAGCAGCTGCCAAAGGGATTTGCTCCAGCTCACCCAGTCATCTCCCACGGCAGGGGGAAAAAACCCCCACGTGTTCAGTGATGGGGAATCAGCACAGATTCCAAGCCGTGGGAATTTGGGACGGACAAAGCCCCTGGCTGGACTCTGTGTCAACAAACAAATAACAGCTGACCTTTTCCATCGCTAGGAAATGAATCCCTGTGGAGGCAACACCAAAAAGGAGCCCCAGAGCCTCTAGGAGACACACCTGAGGAGGAGCTGTTGGAGGAGAGGCCCAAACTAACTCCACCAGCTAACTAACACCCTTACTAACCAATGTCAACAACTAGGTAACTGCTGCTCTTCCCCCCCTCTGTTCTTTCCACCACTAGCCCGGGATTTGGGGGTTGAGGGGCACAAACATCAGTTTTCCCCCTGTTCTGTGGGCCCTGTGTGGGAAAGGATAAGGAAAATCTGTTAGTGGAGCCTGGAAAACCTGAATTCCCTCCGAAAGCAAGCTGAGGAAAAGCAGGCAGGGAGGATGTGGAGGACATGGGGAAGGGGCTGGGTGAGACCCCTCGTGCCCTCACGGACCTGGGAACAGGCTGGCAACGGGGAGAGGGGAAGGAAATCAAATATCCCCTGCTAGGTTTTGGTGGTGGGGACAGAAATGCACCCCAGGCACATTCACTGCTTGGATGGACGGGACACCCCGTTCCTGGCAGCTCTCTGAGGGCTTGGAATGAGAAGCAAAACGCGGGAATCCGGATTTTGGGGAGCTCCACGTGGCAGGACCGTGGCCTGTGCTCTCAGGGGGTTTTGGAGGGTTGTTTCCAGCACATCAGATTTCACAGGGTTGGGTCAGGAGTGTGGTTTGGGGTTAAGCAGAGACCCCAGGCTGTTGTGTCATGGAAACCATTCCCTTCCTGCCTCCTGCTCAGGTTACACCCTGAGCTTCAGCTCAGCTCAGACTCTGTGGAGGGTTCAGGGCTTTCCCTGCAGCAGCTGCACGTTGGGAGGGTGAAGGGTTTCCTTTGGGTCCTTCAGGGACTCGCTGGGATGTGACCCCTGGCTGCAGGATGTGCTTCCCAAGCGTGAGTCAAGGGAGGAAGAGCTGTGCTGAGGGGAAGGGCTTTGTTTGTTGTGCTCCCATCCCAAACACGTCCTCCATCCATCCATCCATCCACCCACCCACCCACCCATTTCCCTGGAGCTCCAGCTTGCAGAGATCCCACCAATGGGGGATCCCACCAATGCAGCAGCCAGAGAAATCCTGGAGCTGGTGAAGCTGCCCTGGGCTGAGCACCGAGGTGATGAGTGAGGGTGAGAGAAAGCTCCAGGTCAGGCTGCAAATAAAACAGCCCCTTACTCACAACCCTGCCCCAGTGTGGCTGTGCCAGGAAGGACCACCAGGTGTGCCCTAAATACGAGATTGTGTTGGGGGCTCCTTGTGCTTTTAACTTGCAATTTCCCTACACTGTCCTGAGCGGGCACATAAAATCCAGTGGCCTGAGTGCAGAGCCTGGGATTGCTGGAATGCTTTAGAGGAGTGCCAAGGATGTGGAGAGCACAGGGAAACCCAGAGGACCCGGGAAAACAGCTCAGGGGAATGGGGAGAGCCTGGGCCACCACTGCTGGAGTGAGAGGGGTGACACTGGATGACACCAGTGGGGAGCTGCTGGTCACTTCCCAGAGGGCCAGGGGTGGGCTGGGCGGGAGACACCGTGTGCTTGGCACCCCAGGGACACGGGGAAGGGCAAGGGGGAAAGCAGGAGTTGTGCCCAGGACTCGGGGAAGGGGAAGAGCAGGAAATGCACTTCCCCCCCTGGCTGAGCTTTCCCCCCTGCCCTGACAGCCCTGTCCTCCTGTCTTGCAGGGAGCAGCCCATCTTCAGCACCAGGGCCCACGTTTTCCAGATCGACCCGGCCACCAAGCGGAACTGGATCCCGGCCAGCAAGCACGCCCTGACCGTCTCCTACTTCTACGATGCCACGCGCAACGTGTACCGCATCATCAGCGTGGGGGGCACCAAGGTGGGGGGCACAGCAGGCTCTCCCCCCTTCCCAGAACCTCCCTGCTGCGGGTGGGGTTGGATTTGGGGTGGTCAGCCCTCGGCAGGGGCGCTTTGGTGTCTTCCCATCCTCGGGGAGCTCCTCATTTCCCGCCGTGTTTGGAGGCAGACGCCGCAATCTGTGCCGGTGGGAAACGTGCCCTGGGGTCTGATGTTGTCCCTCACACCCTCCCACAACTCTCTTCTCACCCCCCATTCCAACCCCAAGTGTTTTCCAAGAGCCTTTTACCCTGGGCTGAACCCAACCCCTGCACAGTGAAACGGCAGGCAGAGGTTTTGAGGGAGCCTTGAGGTCACCTCCACAAAACACGATTTGCTCTCCCTAAACTGCTCCTGATGGGCATCCTCCTGCCTCCTTCTCAACACCCTGAGATGGCTCAGAGTCTTCCCAGGCTTTTTGCTGCTCCCCTGCCCGGCAGAGAGGGTTTCATAACACCCAGTCCTGAGAGAGAGTTTCGTAACACCCAGTCCTGAGTGCTGGTTAAGCCCTTTTTTTCCCCTCCCCTGTACTTACTTACCATGAAAATGGAGAACAGCAGAAAGCTGTGGAGGCCCCAGAGACCGTGCTGTCTCTTATCATCTTTTCCAGCAATGGAGGAAGCTGCTGATACTGAGGCTCTTTTTTTTTTTTTTTTTTTGCCTTTTTTGGTAGAAAAGGTGATTAAAGATTCGTTCGCCTCGTCAGGCTGGAAAGACTTTGGGTCGCCAAAAAGCCTGAAGTGAACTGTTGTTTTACAGGTGAAAAGGCAGAGGTTCCTGCCCCTAATTCCCAGAGTTCACGGGGATGATGGTGATCTGAGTGGCACCCCCTCACATGGAAAGGGGTTGGAATGGGATGATCTTTAATGGGATGATCTTTTAAGGTCCCTTCCCACCCAAACCGCCCTGCTATCCCGGTGATTCTGCCATCCAGCCCCACCTGGAGCTTTCCCTGCCTTCTCTCCCCAGGCAATCATCAACAGCACCATCACCCCCAACATGACCTTCACCAAGACCTCCCAGAAATTCGGGCAATGGGCCGACAGCCGAGCCAACACCGTGTACGGGCTGGGCTTCGCCTCGGAGCAGCACCTGTCCCAGGTAACCCGAGTGCCAGGAAGGGGCTGTTCCTGAACTGAAGTGTCTGAGAGGAATTGGGGAGCATGTTGAATGAAATAACCCAGGCATCAGCTCGAGCTGTTCCACATTTTGACTTTTCCCTCCCCCCTCCACCTCCTCCAGTTCGCAGAGAAGTTCCAGGAAGTGAAAGAAGCAGCTCGTTTGGCCAGGGAGAAGTCCCAGGATAAAACAGAGCTGACCAACCCTGCCCTGAACATCACATCCCACCAGGTAATGCTTGCAAAGAGGCAGGAGGGGAGGAGGGAAAGCTGTCCCTGAGCTGCTCTCCTCCTGCTCTCGTCCCCTCCTCCCCACCCAGTGATTTTGGTGGGGCCCTGAGCTCGCTCCTGAAACCCCCCCAGCAGATTAATCAAGAGGTGCTGTAGTGGAGCTCCTGGCAAGGTTCAATCTCCTCCCTCTTGGCTGGTTAAACCATTTCAAGCCTCGCTGGAGGTGGTGGTGGTGGTGGTGGTCAGGAGTTTTTGGGTTCTGCTGTTTCTTTTCGCCTTGGGGAGAGCTCTCTCTGGGCTCAGCGTGGCAGTGCCAGGCCAGGGACGTGCAGAGAGCCCCTCACCCGGCTCAGGACGGGGATGTGGCATTTCCACCTGGTTTTGTTCTTCTCCTGGGGGTCAGGAAGTTCCTCTCCAAGCGCCTGGTGATGGCTCTGTCCGTGATTTCTTGCAGCTGGTGACTGAGGGGTGCTGTGAAAGTTCCCCTTGGGAACCCTCCCCTCGGCAAGAGCTGCGTGTGACAGCCACTCACTCAACTCTCCTTCCCCCAGGAGACCAAGCCAGGGAGCTGGAGCCCATCACAGATCTCTCTCACGTGTTTTCCCACTGCCAGTTGCTGCCTTTCTCCCCCACCTTGCAGCTGAACCCGCTCCAGCAACACTGGGATGGGGTGGGGGGAGAAAATAAATAAAATGGAGTAAGGAAAATAAAATGTGCTGCTTTTCCCCACGGAGATGCAGCAGGGGATGGTGCTTCAGTAGGGGTGATGGAGGTGCCCTCCCAAGGAGGGTCCCTCCAGAGGTGGCTCTGCTCTTCCCCAGAGCTGCTGGCAGCAGGAGGGGAGCAGTGGGATGGATGCAGGACACGGTGTTCCCTGGGCTGGGCGCAGATGGAATGGCAGCAGCCGAGGAGGAGGAGTGTGAACAATACCTTGGCCTGCAGGGAAAGCAGGGGGAGGTGGAGGCAGTGGCTCTGCAGAGACTGGAGATGTCTTGTGGGGTGCAAAGATGGGGAAAATCTGCCCAGATGTTGGCTCCTGCTCGCTGCAAGCCCCATCCTGTGGGGAGGCAAGGGAAGAAGGGAGTGGAGTATTCGGAGCAGAACCGAAGTTTTGGGGTCTTTCACCTAAGGCAGAGGTTCCTGGGTAGCTGCAGCCTCCCCCTCCCAGAGATATTCCCTCTTATCCTGCTCACTCCAGGCAGAACTCCTCAGGTGCCTCAACAGGACACGTCCCCAGTGCTGTGGTGGCAGAAGGGATGGGGAGGTCAGAGAGGGAAGGTCAAACCCGGAGCGGGGAACCGGCCTGAGGCTCTGTTCCTTCCTCTGCCTTGACTCAGCAGTGCTAAAACTGCCCCAGAGGGACCCCACCCTGCCTGTTCCCGCTCCCCCTGCTGCCCTCTGAGCGGGGTGGGCTCAGCCAGGGCCCTGCCTGCAGCCACCCCACAGCCAGGGGGGTGACAGGGACAGTGCGGTGTCCCCTGCTGCGTGGATACACCTTGTGTTCATTCCCTGCCTTCCCCATCACCCCTTCTCCCACTGTCCCACCTCCCATTCCCACCCTCTGCATCAGCAGAGCCTGGAACGCGAGTTTCACCCCTGAATAATTGATCGTGTGTGTGTTTGCCAGCGAGCAGAGAGCGGATCTGTCTCCTGGAATCAAATCAGGCCTCCCTCCTTTTTCTGCCTCTGCACCACTTTCCTTCTGCTCCCCTTCTGTTTCTCAGGGCCGGGGAATTCCCAGAACAGCAGCTTTCTCCTGTCCTTTAGTGCCTCTCAGGCCAGTCCCCATCCCGTTTAGCACCCCCATCCCAGGGTCCATCGCTGTGGATGATGACACAACAGTGTGGGGGGCATCTCCAGCTCCCACCGGTTCCTTTTGGCACAACAAACCAGAACAGGGAACTTCTGCCCCTTCCAGGCCTCAGTTCCTGCTGTGTGCAGGAATGTGGAGCACAGGGAAGGATGGACTTTGGTGCAGAGACTGTTCCTTCTCCCACACCTTTTGGAAAGTGGGTGCCAGGATCACCTGAGCAATGAGCTTCTCTCCCAGAGAGCCACCATCCCAGTGGCACCAGGTGCCTGAATTCCAGGAGCTGGAGCTGGGGCTGAACCCAGTGGGCTTGGGAGTTTAAGCCTTTCCACTGCTCTGAGAAGCAGCAAGAAAATCCTCCTAAGAATTCGGCAAAGCCCTGGAAGGGGCAGTTTGAGCAGCTGAGAGCCGGGCAGGGCTGTGGGACTCAGTGAGGGGCTGTGGCACTGCTGGCATTGCTCAGCTGAGGGCCAGAGAGTTCCACACCTTCCCTCAGGGCAGGAGGGAGGAAGAGCTGGGAGTCCACCTGCACTGGGATCTGCTGTGTGCAAGCTCTGAGCCCCCCCTGCACTGGGGTCACTGCCCCCCCAGGGAGGACGTGGCAGCTCCTGGAAGGGCAAAGCACCAGCCAAAAGAGAGCCCTGTTGCCCACAGAGCTTCCAAAATCATCGCTGCTCCGTGGCTGCTGCTGGGCCACCCCTGAGGGGGCTTTGCCCCCCACCTTGTGCAGACAAACACAGCTCTCCCCGGGTTAGGGCACAGCCAGGTTTGCCGCAGCAGGGCGGGCACTGAGAACTCTTCCCAGGGAAAGTTCTTACTCTTCCCGGGCTGGGAATAAGTTTGCAGAGCCCTTGTGGCCACGTGGCCATAACCACCCCTCCTTCCCCCCAGGTACTTCCCAGCCCCATCATCAGCTCCAATGGGCCAGGAGAGGATAAACTCTTCCGCAGCCAAAGCGCCGACGTGGAGATCGCGACGGAGAAGGAGCGGCTGAAGAAGATGCTGTCGGAAGGGTGAGGCTGCCACGAGAGCTCCCGGCTCCTGAGCTGCCCCGTTCTCTGCCATCCCCAGCACTTCTGACCCCACGCTCCTCCTGCTGAGTCATGCCCTGTGCCCAAACTGCTGCTCCAGCCCTCTTTCCCGGCAGGAAGTTATTCCAGCTGGGAGGTGAAATGCGCTGCTCACGGCAGCGTGGGAAGGAGGCGGCTCCAGTGCCTGCAGCGGGGATGACTCGGTGCCAGTTATCTGCAGATCAGTAGTTTGTGATACCAGAAGATGTTCACACTTTTCCAGCTGGCCCAGGGCTACATTTGTGTTAATTCCCCTGATGGTTCCAGCAAAAGTCCCCGCTGCTTCCTCTCTTTTGTGTGTTCAAAAGGCTCCGGGCTGGATTCTGCCCTGTGGCTCCTCTCAAGCTCCCAGCTGAACACTTAGAACATTTTTAAATCAAAAGCAAGTGTCCTTTGCTGCCTTCTCCTGAGCCCAGGGCTGATGGGGCTTTATTGAAAGCAAACTCAGATTCAGTAAGGATTTTTAAAGTGGATTCACAATCCCACGTTGCAAAGCCCCTTTTGTAGGACCTGCATCTCCCCCACCCCATTAATCTCACAGCTTCCTGCACTCCATGGTGGCCTCAAAGCCAAATGTTACCCAGGGATAAAGGGAAGAGGTGCCGATTCAGGGCTGTTCAAGGAGAGTTTAAATCTGGGAGGTGATGGGAGGGCTGAATGGGAACCTGTGGGGCCCTCTGAGCACTTCCAGGGGTTTTTTGGGCATCGGGGAGTGGGGTGGGGGAGAAGGATCCTCCAAACTCACCCCCTGCCCTCTCACACAGCTCTGTCAGTGAGGTGCAGTGGGAAGCCGAGTTCTTCAGCCTCCAGGACAACAACAGCAAGCTGGTGGCTGCCCTGCACGAGGCCAACGCCAACGTGGACCAGTGGAAGAAGCAGCTCTCGGCCTACCAGGAGGAGACGGAGTCGCTGCGGCAGAGGGTGAGCCCCGTCCTGGGGACACCCTGGGCCCTTCTCCCGCCTGCCCTGCCTGTCAGCAGCACCTGGGGTGGAGAGCCAGGAATGCTGCACCAGCCTGGCAAGGAAAACACGTCGAGGAACGAGGCTGTGGGAGTGGGGAGCTCCCCACAAGCTCCCCTCTCTTCTTCTTCTTCTTGTGCGTTGAGTCCCTGGGGGTGGAGGGAGGAAACCAGAGCTCGAAGTCACAGAATTTCAGCTTCCCTTGGTGTTTTCTGGAGGTAGATCCCAGCTCCCAGCCACACTAACGCCTGTGCCCCCCCCAGCCAGGCACCAGGGCAGGCTCTGGCTGCTGACAGGAAGGCTGAGGGTTGCTCTGGCTGCTATAATTAGCTCCAATCCGAGCTGCAACATCATGAAAGCCGGGTGGTGCAGCACAAGCAGAGCCTTGTTCTGTTGGAATAAGGGGCTCCTTTGACCTCCAGAACGTCGGGGAGGTCACTCTGGACAGCTGAGTGCAGCAGGGCACAGGGGTGACAGTCACATGGGAAGGGGGGGGGGTTTACTGGGAGGGAGGCACCACAAAGGACTTGGGAAGGGCTTTTAGGACAGCTGGGATTTGGCTGGGAAAGGACTCTGGAGCTGTTTCACTTGGAGATGGCTCACTGGAAAGGCAGCAGGGATTTATGGCAATTAAACAGCTCTTTGCACTCCATGGCTGTGGTGTGTGGCCAGTCTGTGCAGTCAGCAGCCATCCCTGGGATCTGCTGTGCCTGCAGCTCATTCCAGGGCTGGAGCTGGGCAGGAAAAGGGCTGCCTGGGCCAGCTTTGTCTCCTCTGGGCGTAGCAGAGGCCTCGTGTGGGTGTCTGTGCGTGGGTTTGTGACTGTCTGGGTCGGGCTGGCTCTTCCCTGCACACTCAGCTGCTCTGTGGCTCTTCCCACAGCTGGGAACCAGCAGGGAGGATTTTGGGAGCTTTGGGTGAGGGACAGCACTGGGGCTTGGCGAGACACCTGAATCACTGTCCCTAAATGGGAGCATTTTGGGACCAGAGCTCGCTGTTGACATGGACCCAAGGCAGCCAGTGCTGCCCCTGCTCCCCCTGCTCCTGGGAACACCCTGGCAAGGTTTTGGCTTGGCAAGGAAGCCAAAAGCGTGGCTGGGGGTGCTGAGGAGCCACAGCATCCCTGAGGGAGCCTTCCCTGCCTGGCAGGTGGCGGAGCTGGAGTCGCAGGGGACCCACGATTCCTCCAGCGAGAACAACAAGGAGGAGCTGAGCCAAACCCTGGAGGAGCTGGAGCTGCTCATCAAGGCTAAGGATGAGGTAAAAAGGCAGAGCCTGAGGCTGGGGGGCCCGTCAGTCACTGCTGGTTTGGGGTCAGAGGCCCCTCGTGCTGGTTCCCTCTCCAGGGAGGCAAAGCTGAGGGAGGGGGAAGCCCTGGGAGCTTCCCAGTGTCTGTGGAAGGCTCAGAGCTCTCTTCCCCCTTCCCCTCTCAGCCCTCTGCAGTGGCAATTAGCCTCTGGTGTAGTAATTGCCTCTAGCTCTCGCTGCATTTCAATGAATGGGTGATTTAAAGCCGGGTTCTGGTTCCAGGGGCTGTGGAGGAGGGGAGGTGTGGAGAGGATCTCTGTGATTCACGCTCTGTGGGCTGTCTGCTGGCCTTGCTTCAGCAGGGTAGGGGGGGGATGGAGCCCTGGGATTGGAGAGGGGAGGTGGTCTGGGCTCCCTGATCCTTACTCAGAGCAGTTTTGTCCCTCCTTCCCCTGCCTGCTCAGGCTGGAGGGAAAATGCTGGGGCCAAGGTGTGCACAGGCTTTTTCACCCAGCAGCTCATCCCTGTCCCCAGGAGCCTGGGATGTGCCCTGGGACAGGGATGCAGAGAGCACTGAGCTTTGCTGGCACTCAGATGAGGGGCCAAGGGCTCCCGGGGGTTCAGAAGGTCAGAAAGGGAGGGGATGAAAATTTGGGGCTGCCTGGGGGTTATGGGAGCTGCTCCCACCAGGAGAAGGAGGGGGTCAGGTCTGACGTGTTTGCTCTTCCTCCTGGTGTTGCAGGAGATCCAGATGCTGAAGAGCCAGAAGTGTGGCCGCTGGGAAGCCGAGGGGGAGCGGGAGGAGACGCTGCAGAAGCTGCAGGTAAAGGTGGCAGGGCTGGGGCACCCCAGATCCCTGGCTCCCTGGGGACAGAGCTGCTGTGCCTCTGGAGGGTGGGAGCAGCCCCCAGCAGCCCCTGACACGGGGGGTGTGGCAGAACTGTGATGTCCTGTCCCCCCTCCATCCCCTGAAGTCCTTCAGGGCTGCTGGGATGGGGAGCAGAGCTCTGGCACAGCCTGGCTGGCAGGAGGGAGCCGAGCTGCTCCTCAGCCCCGGGCACACACACAGATGGAGCAGGATCTGGGGCACTGCCTGTGTTTGTCTCTGAGGTCCAGAGCCCCTGCACAGGCTCTGTTTCGTGGCAAAACTGTCCCCATCGAGCCTGGGGATGATCCACGTGAGCTGCAGTTCCACACCTTTACAGACCTTGGAGTCACCGTGCTAGGAAAGGAAATGTAGCTGAGCAGGGGTGGGTTAATTAACACTTGAGGCACTGAGTTCACTGCAAAAAACGCCTCACAGCGCTGCAGAAACGCTCCTGTTCAGCAGCAGCTCCTGCAGTTTTGTGGAGAGCAGGATAAGCTCATTAAAAAAGCGAGGTGAGGGACGAACCCGGGCGACGAGCGAGTCTCCAGGCACGTCCGTCATCGTGGGCTTCGGAGAGGGGACGGAGAAGGAAAAATTCTGGGCTGATAAAGCCCAGCAAACTTTCCCAGCCTCTGGGAGGTCTCAGGACATTTAAAGCTGGGCAGGTGCCTGGGTTGAGGGAGGAACATTTGCCCCCCTGGGATGCTGCGGGACAGGAGAGGGAGATCCCTCGGGGAGACAGGGAGTGGGGACCCGGCAGCAGGGGCCGTTTTGGGGGGGTGTGGGGGGTGTGGGCAGGGCAGAGCAGCCCCCTCCCCACGCCCACCCCTCTCCTGGTGCCCCTGGCAGGAGCTGGAGGCCCGGAACGCCGAGCTGGAGCAGCGGCTGCAGCTGGCAGAGCAGAGCCTGGCGGAGAGCCTGGCAGAGAGGGAGAAGCTGCAGAGTGAGGTGACCAAGGTGGCCGAGATCATGGACGTGAAGATCTTCGAGCTCAGCGAGATCCGGCAGGGACTGGCCAAGCTGGTGGAGAGCAACTGAGGCAGCAGAGCCCTCGGGGTTAGGGGCAGCCCTGGGCTGGGACTGGCCCCCCCTTCCCACTGACCCAGAGCAATCACAGCCACCCCGTGGGCAGGGTTTGCCACCGTACCAGCAGCTGCCTGGGCAGCGTGGGGACCGGCCAGCCCACCCACTGCCCACCCACACGAGGGCAGGGAGGAGCTGAGCCCCCCAGGGAGCTCCCAAAGGCCTGGCCAGCCCTTCTCCAGCCCCTGCCGTGGCTGTGGCGTGGCCCAGAGGGGACCCTCCTGCTGCCCTGCCAGCCTCCCTCCTGCCACACTGTGTCCCCCGGGGTTTTTACACTTTTCTAAGGGGAAGGGGCTGAGCAGCCTTTGTGGTTTTTTGGGTTTTTTTTGTTTGTTTGTTTGTTTGTTTTTCCAGTAGTTTGTTTTTGTTTTTTTTTTTTAGGAAACCACTTGCCTTTTGCAAGTCAGCTGCCTGTTTCCCCACCTGGGGAGGGAGGGAGGAGAGGTTCTAGCACACCTGGGACAAATCTCTCCTTTTTTCTTCTTCTTCTTCTTCTTCCTCCCCAGCCCAAAGTCTTTCCAACAGGATCCAGCAACTCTGCTCACTGTCAGGAGCATCCCTGCAGAGAAGGGGCCTTGTGTCCTTCCCACTGTTCACTCATCCTCCAGAGGGAAAAAGAACAGCAGGTTTTAAAGCCTCTGTTAGTTTAACACGGTGGGATTTAAGGGCTCCTTCAAACCTTCAGCTGAGCAGAGCTGCAGGCTTTGGTTTGGGAAAAGGACATCCCCCAGGGCACGGCCACCAAAGCTGCTGGATTGGCATCTCTCCGGGCCTCTGAGGGCTGCAGTTAATTGAAATTAAATGGAGCAAGTCACAGTTGCTCTCTTGGTTCCTCCTTTTGTTTTTTTTTTTTGGGGGGGGGGGCCTTTTATATCGGGAAAGAGCCCCCAGGGCCGCCCTGCTCCTTCAGCTCTCCTTGGGAAGGGGACAGGTCCCGGCTTGCCCTGCTGAAAGCAGAGCAGGAGTCACTTGGGAGCAGCTGGGACTGTGCCCTGAGGGGCCCGTGGGGAGCCTGGGAGTTATCCCAGATGCTGTCTGGTCACGGGAATCGAGCAAGGCCCGCGGGATCCGTGGATTGCCGTGTCCCCTGGCAGCTGTGGGAGCGGCTGAGCAGTGTCTGGCTGTGCCTGTGACCTTCCACGAGTGTCCATGGGTTTGGAGGGGTTTTTGGGGGTTTTTTTTTTCAGCCTCTTTGCCACTGTAAGTCAGGCAAAGAGCAGCAATCCCGGGAATGTTCCCCGTGGAGCCGGGGAGAGGCTCTGCCTCTGCCCTCCCTCTCCTGCTGACCACGGAGGAACCTGCAGCTTCCACTCTGCCTGCAAGTCAGGGCAGGATTCGGGGCTGGCACCTTGGGAATCTGCTGGAGTGGAGGACTGCTGGTGACTCTCTGCAAAGCCCTCCCCTTTCCCAGGAGGGAGTGAGGAAACGTGGAGGTTTCCAGACCTGCTTAGCCAGGGAAGAGCTTTTCTGGGTTTGGGGTTTTTTTGATTTTTTTTTTTTTTTTTTGGGAAGAGGGGAGTTATTTAGTTTTTATTTTATTTTAATTTTTGTTGCATGAAGTGTTCTCACAACTGTCTGGGGCTGGAGCTGCTGTAGTGAGGTTTGTTCCGGGGTATTTAAAGAGGGAAGGGAGCAACTGGGTGGCAAAAAGTTTTTCGGGATTGATTTGCTTCCCACCCCGTGCCAGTGTTGATATTTTATTCCCACAGGAGCAGCCTTCTTTTGAAATAGAGATCAGCTCCGAGCAAGGTGTGTTTGCTTTGGTTTTCACTGACAAGGGGAGGGGGGGATTTGGGATTTATGAGAGAAAGAAAGCCGGGAAGAAGCTCCTCGTGTTCTCTGCTCTGTGCCTGTGGAGCTGGGAATGGATCCTGCAGTTCTGGCCTTGCTGGGGGTGAGCAGACCTGGGTGTGCCACCCCTGGGTGAGTCACCTCTCCCCAGGCAGGGACAGGGACCTGAGTCAGGGTGTGCACATCCCAAAGGGGCTCTGGGAGTGGGGGAAGAGCCAAGAGGAGCTCCCACAGCTCCATGGAGTGAAATTCTGGCTGCCACCGTTCCCAGCGCCTGCTCTGACCCAGCTCAGCACAAACCTCAGCTTTTCTGCTCTTTAAGCCTCTTCCTGCCCCCTTTTTCACCCTCAAAACACAACCTGGCACCGCTGGAGAGCTCCACCTGAACCCACAGCGAAGAACTGGCCCACTGACTGTGTGAGAAGGGCCAAAAGTCCTGCAAGGAGGGCCACTCTCCCCAGAGGCTCTCCCCCCTCCACGGGTGCCAGTGCCATCCTTTTCCTTGCCAGAATAATCAGGAGAGTGGCTTTTTGATGAGATCTGTCCCGGGCTCAGCCTTTGTTCCCGGTGCTTTGCCGAGGCCGGGCGATGATGGATGGGTCTGGGAGGCGCCTTCCCTCGCAGCCTTCCCCTCTCCTGAGCTAATGAAAACCCATTTATCACCAGCAATATTTCCACAAATGCCCTAAATCCGCGGTTAGCGCCGAGGCAGCCTCGCTGCAGACGCTCCAGCAGCGCTAATTCCACCTGCCCCGCCCTGCTGAGCACTTCCAAAGGGTTTCCATCGGCAGCGCTGACACATCCCTCCCCTCCAGCCCCTCACCCTTCTTAGTTATGCTTTTCCTGCCTCCAAAGGGGGAGAATCCCGGGCTCCAAAAGCCAGGGCTGGCTGGCAAAGCTGCAGTCCCAGTGTTTGATTCAGTCTCTCCCAGCCACAATCCCTGTCAGCAGCTCCATCCCAGAGGGGCTCCTGGTGGGGGGAGATGCCCCTGAGTGCAGGTTCCTGGGGAGGCCTCCTTCTCTGGGCAAATTAAGGTGTTAATTATTGATAGAAAACCTAGACAGGGCATTAATAAAGTGGGGGGAGGAAATGATTCCCACGTGGGATGAACAGATAAACCCCCCTGCAGCCCTGGGAGGAGCAGCAGCAGCCAGGGGGGATCCAGAGCCAAGGCAAGGCCCTGCTGAGCAGCTCAGCTGGAGGAAAAGGGGCTTTCCTGCTGCAATCTCGGGAAAAGGATGTGCCTGCTGCAAAGGCCAGCTGGGAGATGCCAGGACAGCCCTTGCAGGCCGAGCAGGAATGCAAACCTAGGGCTGGCAGACCCCCTCCAGCTGCCTCCCCTCACCAGCTTTGATTCCTCCTCCTCCACAAAGCACAAAATTACCCTCCCTGGACCCCTGTTGGACTTTAATTGCAGCACCTACGAGGTGCCTGGAGAGGCAGGAGGAGAAGGGTTCAGCACAGGCCACGCTGGGGACTCTCTGAGTCCGCTGAGTGATTTTTTTTTTTTTTTTCTTTTCCCAAAAAGCCACCATGGAGCCCCCCAGGGATGTGTTAGACATTCTCACATCAAAGTCACTTAACAGACTGGCTTAGAGCTCTGGATCTTTATGAGAACACACTGAAACAAGCCCCAGATGGAGGCGAAGCAACGAGGCCCCCCCACTTTGTTCCCAACCTCCGAAGGACGGAACTTGGGGGAATTTGTAATTAAATAACGCCATTAATGAAAAGTAGGTGACCTAAGCCTTCTGAGCTCCTGCATCTGGGCTGCAGAGATCAGCTGCTCCCTTCCTCAGAGGAGAGGGTTATTTTTAGTGCAGAAATGGTCTGTTTACACTTGACAGCACAGGGAGCACAGGCCGTGCGTGTGACACCCCACACACACACATGCACGCCCTGGGACACCATTTCCACGTGCTCCAGAGAAAGGCAAGTGAAATGTGTGGCTGGGAGAGTGTTCCTGAGCACGTCACAGCCCCCCAAAAATCCCCTGTCCCGGGGTAATTTGATAATTATTATGGTTATCAGGTCGTGGTGTGGCGAGGCAGTTCCTGCTCCGAGGGAGAAGAGGGACGTCATGGTGTGCACACAGCCCTGCCTCCTCCCTCAGCTCCCAAAAACCAGCAGCTGCAATGGTGCTGGAAGTGAGGCACTTGTGGAAAAGAGCAGGAACACCCCAGATGGGAGATGTGGCAGCTCCAGCAACAGGGGACATGAGGGAGCCACACCCGGGTGTCAGTCAGCTCCCACCTGGAGCACCTTGGCATCTCCTGCCAAGGAGGGGGAATCAAATTCCATGTCCTTGGAGGCCACTGCAGGTCTAGGAAGGTGTCAGGTGGGAAGGGGAAGGAGGCTGGAATCACCTCTGTCCCTCTGGAATCACCTCTGTCCCCCTGGAGTCATCTCTGTCCCCATGGCATCACCTCTGACCCCTTGGAATCACCTCTAACCCCTTGGAATCACCTCTGTCCCCCTGGCATCACCTTTGTCCCCATGGCATCACTTCTGACCACCTGGCATCACCTCTGTCCCCCTGGAGTCACCTCTGTCCCCCTGGAATCACCTCTGTCCCCATGGCATCACCTCTGTCCCCTTGGCATCACCTCTGTCCCCCTGGAATCACCTCTGTCCCCCTGGCATCACCTCTGTCCCCCTGGAGTCACCTCTGTCCCCCTGGCATCACCTCTGACCCCCTGGCATCACCTCTGACCCCCTGGCATCACCGGGCGTTTCTTCCCCCTGTCCCGTTCCTGCGGTCCCGGTGCTGCCAGGGAGACACGAGGGCAGTGCAGGGTCAGGATCGACCCTGAAATGATGCAGGAGAATCCTGCCAGCGGAGCAGGGTTTGGGGACAGCCCTGTCCCCCTCGCTCCCTGCTTTCTGAAACCCAATCCCAATATCCCCGTGCCTGCATTTCCCTGGGAACAAGGACGGGATCCAGGAGAAAAGGTGTCCGGAGCTCCCCCGCTGCCACCTGCCGGCAAAGCCGGCGGGGGCCACGCCATTCCCGGGGGGAAAAGCTGCTGGAGCAGCTTTTTAGGGCGTTCAGAGGAGCTGAGTTTGTGTCTGCAAAGAGCAGCCGAGGGCGAAGCGGCAGCTGGAGCAGCGCAGAGGGCACCGGGGGGGGGGGAGATTTGGGCAGCAAGGGGACACCTGAGAGCAGCTGCAGCAAAGCTGGGCACCAGCACTGCTGTCTCAGCAGAGAGAAACCCAATCCCGGCCCCAGAAGTTCCCCACTGCAGCTGCATTTTTTATTCCCTGGGGAGATCCAGGGCTTTGCTGCCCCGTCCAGCACCTGGGAGTGGAGGGGGTGCCATCTCCTGGAGGGCACTGCAATGTCACCAGCCTGTCCCCACCTCCACGTTCCCTTGCTCAGCAGGAGTTCCAGAGGGGAGGATTCCTCAAACATCGCGTTTCTCACCCAGGAGGATCCCCAGCCTCTCCCTTCTCCCTGCAAAACTCCTGGGAAGCACTCGGAGGTGTTTGCTCCTCCCCAAGAGGGGCAGAGAATGCTCCAGGGACAAACATTTCCTTAAGTGCACCCAAAACCAGCCAATTTTGGCACGTGATCCATCAGTGTGGAGACAGAATTGCCTGGGAAGGTGGGAGGTGGAAAAACAGGAGCCCCTTGGAACATCTGAGGCAGGTGGGAGGATGAGGAGGTGCAGATTTTGGGAGGATGAGGAGGGTGCAGGACTGTCCCCCCCTGCACACCCAGCACAGATTCAGGACCCACACAGGGTCCAGGTGAGAGAAGATGCAGCAAAGATGCCGAATCGAGGAGAGTTTCCATGGCAACCCAGCCAGGGAACCCCCCCAGATCCCCGGGAAAGAGCAGAGCCAGGGAAGGTACAGGGCACGAGGTGATGGAGGGGAGGGTTGTGATGGGCCAGCCCTTGCACACAGCCCAGGGAATTCCTGATCTGGGAATTTCAGGCATTTTCCCACCTGCCAATTAGCCCAGCAGCCTCCTTTGCCTCCTCAGCCACCCCCAAAGTGCTGCTGGGCAGCAGGAGCATCACCAGCACCTCACAGAGCTCTGACCTCCAGGACAAAGGAGCAGCTTCAGGCACCTCCAAGCCTCCCTGAGGGCACCACACCCACCTCCCCATCACCACGGGGCTGCACTTTCACTCCTGGAAGACCGGCAGGCACCTGAGTGGTTGGAGCTTCCCTGGGGAAACAGCAACTTTCCTCCCTGGAATCAGGGAAAGGCACCCCTGGAACTGCTGCTCCCAGGAAAGGAGGGATTCAACACCCACAGACAGGTTCAATCCTCCTCCAGCTCTGCAAATAAACCCCATTTTACCTCCACACAAGTGCTGCTGCCCACCCCCAAGGCCCCACAATCCCCCTCACCCCCCGAAAATTCAATGCCCAGCCACGTGTTGCAATAATTATTTATTTGGGCAGTGGCCACAGACAGAGCCTGAGCCAAGGCAGGAAAAAATTCACAGCCAGGAGTATAAACTGGATGCACAAAGCAGGCTCATTCCAAGAAAACCCCGGGATCAGCCCCCCCCAGGCACAACCTCCCCACACGTGCTCCAGGAATTTTCCTCTTGGAAAACTCTGGACTGTGGCACAGATAAGAGGCTGAGCTCATTTTGTCACAGTATTTTTAGCCTCTGGCTCAGGGGGGAATCTGTTGATCCAAACAAGTGTGAGTGGCAACCACAGCCCTGGGAAGGGAGAGAGCAGGGACTGAATGAAGGGGGACAGACAGAGGAGCTTTTATGTCCCCAAGAATCCAGGTCTGGCCTCTCCTCTGGTGGAGGAAGGAAAAGATCTGCTTAAAAAATTCCCCAGGGGGCTCATCCAGCCTGCCAGGAATGGCCCAGCCAGGACTGTGCAGGAGAACAAAACTCCTCCCTGTGAGGGTGGGGAGGCCCTGGGATGGATTTCCCAGAGAAGCTGGGGCTGCCCCATCCCTGGAAGTGTCTAAGGCCAGGCTGGAATAACCTGGGCTAGTGGGAGGTGTCCCTGCCCATGGCAGGGGAGGGGGACTTGTTGATCTTTAAGGTCTTTCCAAGCCAACCCATTCTGGGATTTGGGGATTTTCCCCAGCACTGATTCCAGTCAGCAGTGTCCACATCAAAAGGTGCCAGATGCCAATATTCCCAAAGCAGCAGCATGATCAGGGCAGCCCAGGGGATGTCACTGCTCCTCCGGCACCTTCCGCTTCTTCCGCCGCTCCATCTTCTTCTGCAGCTTCCTCCTCAGCCGCAGCTGCTTCCTCCTCTCCAGGGTCTGCTGCACCTTCTCCCGGCATTCCTTGTTCTTCTTCCTGATCTTGGCCAGCTCTGCCTTTCTTTTGGCCTCCAGGTCTGGGTCCTGCAGCGTGGCAAAGGGCAGGACAGTGGGTGACCCCCCCGGGACAGCACCGGCCCCTCGGCCTTTCCCGGGCACCCACAACTGGAAGGGGCTGCCAAAGCCAGACCCTCCTCCAGGGCACTTTTTAATAGCAAAATATTTAATATACCCTTTAAAACAAACCCTCAGCACCCAGAAGGGGAGTGAGCCCTCCTCCCCATGGCATGAGGGAGGAACTGTCCTTCCCTTCTCACACTGAACCAGCTCAAAGCTGGAGCAGCAACTCTCTCACCTTCCCCTCAAGGATCATCTGCTTCCTCTTATTTATTTCTTTCTTCTCATCAAAGTCCATTCCCTCCAGCTCCTGCAAAGGGAGAACACAGCAGGGCACTCAGTGACTGACACAGCCCCACCAGGACATTTGGTGCCTGAGAGCCAAAAAGCACCAGTTTCAACACCCAGCAGCAAAAATTACCTGCTGCAAGAACGTGCAATAATAGAGCAAACCAAGGGAAGAGAAACCAAAACGACCCTCCCACACACCCCTCCAAAGTGTTTTCTGCAGGGATCTGTCCAGGATCTCCAGCCCCCTGGACAAAGGGGCTCCCACTCACGATTTCACACTCCCTCCTGGTGACGTTCACTTGGGTGAGGATGTCCAGCACCTGCTGCTCCTCCACAGAGAACTCCTTCAGCTGCAGCTCTGAACCAGGGGGAGACATTTACACACCACTGAGTTGGTTAAAGAACTCCAGGGGCAGATCCTCAGCTAGGAAAAAAACCCACAGTGGCTCCTCTGACCATCAGGGGAATCACTGCCAGGTCACTCCCCTCTGCCTACGACTCCCCACAGCACAAGATGCTGCATTTACTGGCTCTACTTCCCAGAAAAACAGGACACCTGAACCTGAAGCAACCTGTTCCTTTTGTCCCCCTTGGCAGGGAGGAAGAAGCTGCTTTGACAAAGAGGTCACAGAGAGGACTCCACCAGAAAGAGCAGGAGGACAAACACCCAAACACCTCCTGCCCGACGCGCTCGGGAGCTCAATCAGCAATTCAGGTGCTCCTGCTCTTTTCTGAGCCTTTGCCAGGCAGGGAAGAGAAACCTTTTTGATGCTGAAGTTGCCCTGAGTGCTGAAATGTGTGATCCCCCCCGGCAGCAGGATGCCCAGAGCCCCACTCACTGATCTCCTGCTCGATGGCGTGCACCAGGTGGATGTCGTACTGGGTCACCAGGGTGATGGCGATTCCCTTCCGGCCTGGGAGGTGCAAACACAGGGAGAGGTGAATCCTGGCAGGCAGAGATGAACCCAACCCGTTCCAAACCCACCCTCCCACCCTCCCTGAGTCAGCCTGAGGGGTGCTCTGAGGGGTCTTTATTTGCTCCGGAGGTTCCGTTCGCTCTCGGTGCGGCTCAGCCCCATCCCTGCAATCCTGAGGCAGGATTCCAGTGATCCCAGAGGACCTGGCGCTGCCTGAGAGCCCCGTGGTGCTGCTGGGACACCCCCTGAGCCCGCCCAGGGCCCAGCCCCTCGCTGGAGGCAGTGACAGGGATGCCAGTGGGAGTCCCCCCAGCTCACCCGCGCGCGCCGTCCGGCCCACCCGGTGGATGTAGATTTTGGGCAGCCCTGGAGTGTTGTGGTTGATCACAACCTGGACTGCAGGAATGTCCAGCCCTCTGGAACGCAGGAGAAGAGAGCAGAGGTTGAGGAAACAGTTTTAGTATCACAGAATTATAAAATCCCAGAGCGGTTTGGGTTGGGAGGGACCTTAAAGATTCCACCCCCCAACGCCTTCCACCATCCCAGGGGTGCCTGCACTTTGATTCCTGCTCTCTGCTTCCTCCAGCAGCCCCATATTCCATGAACATGGGCTGATTGTAGGACAAACTCTTTCCCCACACAACTCTCCAGCAGTTAAAGGAATTCCAGGGAACACCCCCTGAGCCTCAGAGAAACCTTCCTCCTAAAAACACCCCCCCCATCAGAGCTACTTCACACACCCACACAGGCTCCAGACCACGGCTCAGAGGGGCTGGGAACACCCCTGTCCCACCCAAGAGTAGGGGATTGAAGGGTCTCCTCTTGCTAAACTCGGCCTAAACTCCCCAGTGGTCGTGACCTTCGGGAACAGAGCCCCTGCTGTACCTGGCAGCAACGTCAGTGGCAATGAGAATCTTGAAGATGCTGGATTTGAACTTGGCTAAAGCTGCAAATCGCTGCCTCTGTGGGGGAGAAGGGTCTGTGTGGGGGATTTGGATCCACAGGAGCTGCAGGACTTGGGGTCTCCCAGCTCAGGGATGCAGCTGGAAGCAGCCACCTCCCAGATGTGCCCGTCCCTCACCTGCTTCATCATGGAATGCAGAGCTACAGAAGGGAAGCTGTACTTCCTGAGCATCATGTTCAGGACCTGGCAGTCCCTTGAAGGAAGAAACACAGGGAAAAACGATCGGGATGTGCCAAGGAAAGGGATCAGGACAGAGCTGGGACAGGCAGGGACACTTTCCACCATCCCAGGCTGCTCCAACCTGGCCCTGGATGCTCCCAGGGATGGGGCAGCCACAGCTGCTCTGCCCAACCTGTGCCAGATGTAAAGACCCAGCAAGGCAGCCACAAGGAGCAACCCCGCTCACTTGCAGGTCTTAGTGAAGATAATGATGGACCAGTCCTCGTGCTCATCCTGGAATGTCTGGATCAGGTGCACCAGGTAGGCATCTTTCACTGCCTCAGGCACCAGCAGGTACCGCTGGTCCAGCTCCTCCACCGTCCTCACCCTGCCAGGGGGGAGCACCAGGTGAGGGCCAACAGAATCCCAGAATCCCTGAGGCTGGAAAAGCCCTCCACAATCACCCCCATCCCCACCTTGTCCCCCAGCCCAGAGCACTGAGTGCCACGTCCTCAGACACCTCCAGGGGTGGGGACTCCAAACCTCCCTGGGCAGGCCCTGCCAAGGCCTGGCCACCCTTTCCATGGAGAAATCCCTCCTGATTTTCAATTTGACCCTCCCCTGGCGCAGCTTGAGGCCATTCCCTCCTGTCCTGTTGCTCCCTTGGAGCAGAGCCCGACCCCTCTTGGCTCCCCTCTCCTGTCAGGGATTGCAGAGCCAGAAGGTCCCCCCTGAGCCCCCTTTTCTGCAGGCTGAGCCCCCCCAGCTCCCTCGGGGGCTCCCTGGACTCACTCAGACTGGGCCTCCCAGAAGAAGGGCTGGTTGGCAGCCAGGCCCCGGAGCTGGCTGAGGGTGGCAGTGAGGGTGGCACTGAACAGCAGGGTCTGGCGCCGGGCCGGGACGCTCTCCAGGATGAGCTCCAGGTCGGCAGTGAAGTCGGCACAGCCCTGCTCCAGCAGCCGGTCAGCCTCGTCCAGCACCTGGGAACGGATCCCTCAGCGCTCAGCCGGTCCTCAGGCACCCCAAAAACACAAACATTCCCTCCAGCTGGGAAAGGGCCTTACCAGGAATCGGAGCTTCCTGAGGCTGAAGGTGCTGGAGCTGCGCAGATGATCCGCCAGCCGGCCCGGCGTGGCCACCACCACGTGGGGCTTCCTGGCCAGCTCCAGGGCCTGGGCCACCATGTCTGGGGGGGAACAGTGCTTGGAAATTGTATGGAAATTGTATGGAAATTGTGTATATTTTATATATATATATATGGGTATGTACATATAAAAATATAATAATATAAAGCATTATATATTATATAGCAATATATTGTATATATTGCATACAGTGTATATGGATATATTGTATATATGGGTAGAAAATCTAATACCATAATTAATAAATCACATTAGACGTTATATAATAATATATTGTATATGCTAAACATAGTACATATATATATTGTATAGATGTATATAAATATAATAATATAAGTAATATAAAACTATATATTATACAGCAATATATGGCATATATTGCATATATGGGTATATTGTATATATGGATATATATATATTGTGTGTATATATATATGTATATATACATATATATATGTATATATTGTATATATGGGTATATTGTATATAGGGATAGAAAATATAATACCATGAATAATACATCATATTAAACATTATATAATAATATATTGTATATATTATACATAGTGCATATATATGTTGTATAGATGTATATAAATAATATAAATAATATAAAACATTATACAACATTATATTATATATATGACATATATATATTTTATATTACACACATTTATGATATATATTACAATTATACATATTGGCTACATATAATAGATATTAAACTAATAAATCTAAATTAATAGATATAAACTAATATATAATATATGCTATTATACAACAAATGCTATTATATCATACATATTATACTATCATATTATACTATATTATACTATACATATACTATCATATAATACATTCTTTATATATTCTATTATGCATATATAATGTACATATTACATACATGTTATATACAATGTATATACTCATATACACAAAATGTGTACAATATATACATTATATATAATATTGTATAGTATGTAATTTATATATATTATATTATATTGTATTATATTTATATTTATAAAATCCAGGATCCCCAGGGCAGTGGGCATTCCCCTCCAGCTCAGGCTATTCCAGGGCTCCATGAAATCCCCCCCTTTCCCACCGCACCCTCTCCCCCAGGGGGTCAGGGGGGAGGGCGAAGCCCCCCCGGGACTCACCGAGGCCGCCCACGACCACGCAGTCCTTGAGGCCCAGGGGCTTCCCCAGCACTCGGAACTGCTCCGCGATCTGCTGCGCCAGCTCCCTGAGGAGGGAAGGAGGGGGGGAGGCTCAGGGGGTCGCTCCCCGGCACAGAGGGGGCTCAGCCCTCCGCGGGGGTGCCTCGGTACCTGGTGGGGGTGAGCACGAGGCAGAAGATGCCGTAGGGGTCCTCGGACAGCGCCTGCAGCACGGGCAGCACGAAGGCCGCCGTCTTCCCGCTGCCCGTCTTGGCGCAGCCCAGGCAGTCCCGGCCTGCGGGAGGGACGGGGACCGTGAGCGATAACCGGGGGGCTCCAGGGACCATGCCCGGGGCAGGACGGGGCCGTTCCCGGGGGATGGAGGGAGGATCCCGTCAGGGACCGGGGATGGGACAGAGGACGCGAGAGGTCGCTCCCGGGGGCCGGGGGGGGGAGGGTCTCACCCTGCAGCACGGCGGGGATGCAGGCGGCCTGCACGGGCGTGGGCCGGGTGAGCCCGACCTGCCGCGCCTGCTCCGCCAGCCACGGCGAGAGCCCGAGCTCCCGGAACGCCGCCATCGCACCGGCACACGTGGGAGCCCCGCCCCGGGCGCGCCCCGATGGCGTCACCGCCGCTCCCGCCGCCCATTGGCCACCTCCCCTCCGGCCCCGCCCACACAGCCGTGTTCAGCGGGTTTTCTCGCCGTCGCAGCGGTGACGTTTACATCTTCTATTGGCGGTCGCCATGGCGACGGCGGGATCCTCGCTCTCCTATTGGCTGTCGCCATGGCAACGGAGGGCTCCTCGCTCTCCTATTGGCTGTCTCCATGGCAACGGAGGGCTCCTCCCGGCGGGCGCTTCCGGGTACGTGTGTGAGGGAGCGATGGCGGCCGGGACGGGAGCGGCGCCGGGCGGGGACGCGGACGAGCTGTTCGACCTCCGCAACAGCTTCTACATCGGCGCCTTCCAGGCCGCCATCAACGAGGCGCAGCGCGCCAAGGTCGGCGGGGCCCTGCGAGGGCCGGGTGGTGCTTTGAGGGGGGGTCCTTAAAGGGGCCCGACTCGCCCCGGGAGGGGGTCGGGGGTCCCTGAGGGGCTGGGGGGGTGCGAGGGGCTCTCCGGGGGGCTGTGCGTGGACAGTCCCCTCAGACGTTCCCGTTTGCAGCCGTCCAGCCCCGAGAAGGAGGTGGAGAGGGACGTGTTCCTGTTCCGAGCCTACATCGCCCAGGTGAGGCATCCACGGGATGTGGGATCGGTCACGGGATCCTGGGGTGGTTTTGGGTGGGAAGGACCGTGAGGATCATCCGGTCCCACCCCCTCCATGGGCAGGGATGTTCCCACTCTCCCAGGTCGCTCCATCCCGGGATTGGGGGCTGGGATGACGGTGCGGGGTTTTTGGGGGGATATAAAGCAGAAATCCGCCTTTCCCGGGGGGGTTTTGCTGTCCTGACCGAGGGTTTAGGGAATTCTTTCTGGAAAACAAGAAGGGACTCACGGGCTGGGCTTTGTTGCCTTTCCCAGAGGAAATACGGAGTAGTCCTGGATGAGATCAAAGGCAGTGCCAGCCCCGAGCTCCAGGCAGTGAGGATGCTGGCAGAGTACCTGGCAAATGAGAGCCAGAGGTAAGAGAGATCAGCCCCTAAAATAGAGTATAATAGAGTATAATATCATATAACATCATATAACAGCACAATGTAATATTATAATATGGGATAGTGTTATATTAAATAAGAAAATATGATATAAAATAATATGTAGTATTAAATATAACAGGATAAAATGTAGCATAATTTTATGATATAATATAGTGATATAGTGTCATAATAAAGTAAAATATAAAATAATAAAATATACCATAATATAATATAAATTAATAACATATAAAATAATATAATATAATATAATATAGTATAATATAATATAAAATAATATAATATAAAATAATATAATATAATATGGTGAGTAATACCAAATATAACAGTATAAAATATAACAATATGACATATGTGATATACTATAATAATTATGATATAGTGTTATAATATAATGAAATATAAAAGAAAATAATAAAATAATATAAAATATAACATTATGACATAATACAGTAAACATAAAACAGCATAATATGCTGTGTAATGACATAATACCATACTATGTAATACCACAATATGTAATAATATAATTACATAAATTGTATAATAAAATACAGAAGAATATGATATAGTAATATAGAACAGATTATATAACACAGTAACTCCAGAATTCCCAGCTGGGAATGTTTCCCTGTGGGAAGTTTGTTGCAGAATGGGGGGGGTTTGTGGTGATTTCTGTGTTGTTGCAGTGAATCTCAGTAAGGGACAATCCCCAGGATCCCAGAATTCGCCCCTCCCACTATCCCAGGTTGTTCCAGCCTGGCCTGGGACACTCCCAGGATGGGGCAGCCCCGTCCCTGTGGGGCTGTTTTACCTCCCTCACCCCCCTGTGCCGTCCCCAGGGATGCCATCGTGGCTGAGCTGGACAAGAAGATGGCCAGGAGCGTGGACGTGGCCAACACCACCTTCCTGCTGATGGCAGCCTCCATCTACGTCCACGAGCACAACCCCGACGCTGCCCTGAGGGCCCTGCACCAGGGGGACAGCCTGGAGTGGTGAGTGGGAGTGGGGCAGCCAGGACTGACCCCCTGATTGCTGAGACGGGCACTGTGGCAGGCAGGGAGCTGGGAGGAGGCTCCCAGGCTCAGGGCAGGGAATCACTCAGCGATTTGGGCTTGGGAAGGACCATAAAAATCACCAAGCAGGGTGTGCAGCCGGGCCTGCAACGCTCCCAGGGCTGGGGCAGCCGCGGCCTCTCCGGGAAATCCATCCCAGGGCCTCATCCCAGAGTCCCCCGAGCTGGATCCCAGCAGGATGCTGGAGCCCAGCCCTGGCAATCCCCCTTCTCTTGTTCCTTCCAGCATGGCCATGACCATCCAGATCCTGCTGAAGCTCGACAGGCTCGACCTGGCCCGGTGGGTTTGGTCTCCTTTTGCCCTCTGGGGGTGTCTGTGTGGGCAGGGCCACACAGGGGAGGGAGGGAGGGAGGATCCAGCCCCTGCAGTGACACAACCAGGGGTGCTTTGGCCCTGCAGGAAGGAGCTGAAGAAGATGCAGGAGCAGGATGAGGACGCGACTCTGACCCAGCTGGCGACTGCCTGGGTGAACCTGGCCGTGGTGGGTACCTGGGACAGGGATCCCTGCCCCACAGCCCCCCCAGAAACCACCACAGCTCCCCTTCCTGGGGGGGCTCCTCTCACCTCCTGCTTTCAGCAGGACACCCAGGCTTGAGTTTTTAACAGAGAACATTCTAGGGGGGGTTGGTTTCACAAACTCACCAGCTGGTTTGATGCTCTTCCTCCTCACAGGAGGCAAGCCTGGCTCATTTGATCATTTAAGTGGTTCTTAATATTTAATATTCCTGCATTTCTGTGATCTGCCCTGGCTGCTGTGCTGTGGGGCAGGAGATCACAGGGAGCACTTGGTGCTCCGCTGTTCCCCTTCATGACCTTGGGTATTAACTCTGTCCCCTGGCGCCTCGAGGTTTTAGGGGCTTCTTGGCAGCCTTGGGGGTGTTTTGTGTCCTCCCTTTGCAGGGTGGGGAGAAGCTGCAAGATGCTTATTACATTTTCCAAGAGATGGCAGACAAGTGTTCGCCCACCCTGCTGCTGCTGAACGGGCAGGCCGCCTGCTACATGGCCCAGGGGAAGTGGGATGATGCCGAGGGAGTTCTCCAGGAGGCTCTGGACAAGGTGCTGCCTGCTTTTCCCACCTCCCAGGGGGGTGCTGGGGAGAACAGCGAGGGCTTTCCCCGGGAAAATCCATGGAAATCCCAGTGTGTGGGTTGGTGTCGCTGAGGGTGGGGCTGGTGGTGGAACCCCGGGATGGTTTGGGGTTGGAATCCTGGGATGGTTTGGGGTTGGAATCCTGGGATGGTTTGGGGTTGGAATCCAGGGATGGTTTGGGGTTGGAATCCAGGGATGGTTTGGGGTTGGAATCCAGGGATGGTTTGGGGTTGGAATCCCAGCATGGTTTGGGTTGGGAAGGACCTTGAAGGTCAGGGGGTTGGGCAGGGCCGGTTCCTGCAGGCCTGGTTGCTGCTGTCAATCCCAGGAATCCGTGGCTGTCGTTGCTTGCAGGACAGTGGCCACCCTGAGACCCTCCTGAACCTCGTGGTGCTCTCGCAGCACCTGGGAAAGGCTCCGGAGGTGAGGCTGGATTGGGAGTGTGTTCTTGGATGGCTGGATCCAAGAACTTTGGGAGTTCTGTGCGTTCCCAGCAGGGCCTGGGCAGTGAAAAAGGGGGATAGTTCTGGGGGTGGGGAGCTCACACCTCTCAGGAGGTGTTGGTGGAAATCCAGTGCACGTGGGCCAGGCTGGACAGGGCTTGGAGCCACCTGGAAAATGTCCCTGCCCTGTGGAAGGGCTTGGAATTAGATGACCTTTAAGGTCTTTACTGGTTTTAAAAGGTCTTACTGGTTTCCACTGGGGCTGCTGACGTGGGGGACACTGAGAAAAGGGGGTTTTTAGCTGTGAACCAAACCCTTTGAGGGGTTGATTTGTTGCACTTTGGGCTTTTCCTCCCCTTTTTTTTGAAGGTTTAAACTTTGCTTTCCTCCCCCACCCCAGGTCACGAATCGTTACCTGTCCCAGCTGAAAGATGCTCACAAAAACCACCCCTTCATCAAGGAGTACCAGGCAAAGGTACAGAGTAGAAATTAATGATATAAAGTCGAATTTATTTGGCCTCAGCTTGAGCTGTGATGGGGCAGGTGGGTTGTGGACTGAGGGGTTCCTGCCCTGTCACTCTGGAGTTCAGTTTTCCAGCCCTTGGGAGAGATTTTTGGGAAGCACGAGCCGGGTGGGAGGTACCTGAGGACGGCACAAAAGCTCTGAGGAACAGGTTATTAAATCCAGGTGGAAATTTGTTGCCATCAGATATTAAATAGAGGAAATGCAAGAGATAAAATAGAATTTTGGGGAGAGGGGAAGGGAAAAGGAAGCAAACTGAAAAAAAAACCTGGGGCAGGTGATCTCATTCCTTAGAATTCCTCTAGACTTAGGGAGCTGTTCTCTTCCCTGGGAATGTGATAAACTCTGAATTAACAGAAGTTTGGATTTATTTAAAGTTTCCTTTCTTTTGCAGGAGAACGACTTTGACCGGCTGGCCCTGCAGTACGCACCCAGCGCCTGAGGGGCCCAGGCTGGGCCTTTCCTGGGGGTTCCTGTTCCCTGGAACACAAAAAATGCCCCTCTGGAACGTGGGAAATCCCCCCTGCAGATCAGCCTGGTGGCCCAGCAGGGGTGGGGCTGTACCTGTGTCCAGCACCCAAATTTGGGGGCTCAGAGCCCACCCTGGGCCCTGAACTCGGGGTTAACCCCGGTGCAGATCAAGAGGGTGCAACCCTTGTACCTTAAATATTCCTAATAAAGCTTTTCCTGGAGCTTTGTGCCCCCCCTGATTTCTGGAATTCAGGTGATTCCACTGCAGGACCGAGCCCTGTTTGAAGGTGGGAGAGTGTGAAGGGTCAGTTTTAATCATCTGCACTCAGCACCTGGATCAA